ATTCTTTTATATTCTTACACGTTTCGCTTTGGTGAATTTAAAAATTTCAACTTGTCAACTTTTGTCACCTAAGCAGTAGTTATTTAATACCATATGTTAATTTTTATTTTTTTTAAATGATTATCAGGGTTTGAAGTTTAAAATATATGAAATATTTAAAATAAAAATAAAGTTTAACAATTTTTTAATTCAATACATTCACATTACTTGGGATGAACGATTTTTTTTATCCATGAAAATAGATCATCAATTAATTTATTATTACTTATTGTGAAATTGAAATATATTTTTATTAGTTTTTAATTAATTAAATTATTTTTTGTACTCGACAACTGACTGAACTTATTGGAGTTTTTTAAAACTTTCAGGTGTAACATGATCTGATTCTCTGATATATCATGGCAACTATTTTTAAATTCTGAAGCAGCTTGCTACATTTGGAAAATGAAAATTCATAAAATTTTATGTAGATAAAGTAACATGAATTATTACTTCCAGTTATAACAAGTTCTGGTTATGAATAAGAATCTATAACTCTCGAGTCACTCAACTTAATTTAATTTCTTTGCCTTCCTCGCAGGGGATTGAGATCAAACCCTCAGTTAAAATCAATAATGTCTCTCAATCAATTGTAATTCCTTCACGAATACGATCGTCATACCAGTCATTTTTATTTTTTTTTTCATCCTCTGCTCTAATGGAGGTTTAAACGTCACGTGGAAAGTATTCGCGTTTCACCGTACCCATCATCATCAACTGAAGTCTGTACTTTTCCATAGTCAACTAAAGACCAATCTAGATCATCAGACGATTGCACAACAAAAATTCCTAATCAAGATACAATTGTTACAAAGATAAAAATTCTTATCAATCTGTTTATTTTTAGTACAATTCTAGTCTGTCACCATGACAAATGTCTAATCCAAGTTTATTTTAAAAATTCATTTGACTGATGCAAACAAGAGTTTTTTTATTCAACGAGAAATTGCCTGGAGCAAAGAATGAACGACACAAGACGAGACTTTTTTCTATTTTTATCAAGAGTATTCCTCCAGGAAAATTGTCAGAATAATTGAAGAGTGTTTCTTCTAAAGGAAACATCAGAAGGATTGAAGGTGTGTCTGAATAGAAGAAACACAATCAAATGACCACCACCCTCCTATCACTCTTATTACCCTTACTCTTCAACTCCCTCTATTTTTTATTTTCTCCAGCAAACGCAGTCAATACTTTGCCTCGCATCCATACGTTCCTAACATTTTATTACACCCAATTAATTGTCATCAACTGATTTTAATTAGTTGCAATTATTTAAAAATATTTTGACAATCAAGAGACAATTATTCTCATAAATATTTGAAATTAAATTAGTAATTGAATATTAATGGAAGACATAAAGTTCAATGACAAACTTTATCTATTGTCTTATCATGGTGAATGATTAAAAAGAAAAAATACCTAAAGAAATTCAACTACATCAGCTCATCTATTGTGAAAAAAATAACTGAAGTAACTGGACTTACCAGACTGCATCACTATCTATCTGTTCAAGGTAATGGGTTATGGAGACATCTTTGCTGTACCTTAGTTCTCAAGTCTCTTCCTCGTTCAGTTCTAGTGTAACCAACAGCAAAAGTGGCGAATTTCACAACGGTAAGATAAATCTATCTTCATGAATCAAATCTCCTCTATTTTTCAATCCATCCTGAAATTTACAAAGAGCTTTAAGACGACATTCAATCAATAAAATTTCTTTCTTAATACCTATTCAACTCTATTAGTTTTATTAAAAATAATTTTCTTTTGGTATACTATCCTATCATTTTCAATCCAGAAAATTATTATTATTATCATTTAGGTCATTGAGAAGATGAAAGTTGATCAAATTTAATTTCCTTTAATTCTTGTGAATCAAAATGCTATTCATCAAATCTCTTTTATATCCTACATCATATAACTCCACTATTCTCTACATTCATTTAATTAAAATTTCTTCAAAATTCAAGCAAGCAATATATACAGAGTTAGATGTTTTTTATACTTCAATCTGATGAATATTTATTTTTTTAAAACTAATAGTATGAATGAAACTTAAACTTTTAATGTATGAATTATTAAATAGTTGATATTTTAAAAATGTTATTAATTTAAATGATAAAATTACAAAAATTTTTATATTCGTTACTTTAAATAGTTTTATTTCGACATTACAAGTTGAACTATAATTTTATATTTCAAGCAACTAAAATGAATTTTATTTGAGAAAATTTTTTTGATAAAAAACTTTTAACTGCCACTCTAGAATAAAATTGTCTATATATAATTTCTATTTTAGTTATTATAATATTAATTTCATAGCAAGTTTTATGGTTTTTTTTTTTTTTATAAAATAAGAGAAAATTCCAACTCAAGTAATAAAAAAATTTTTCAACTGAACTTGATTCAAACATTTTTCTGTTATCAGAAATCAATCTGAGATATCAAATAATTGTTTCATTAGTAAGAAATCTCAACTTTTCAAAAGTAATTACGTAATTCGAAATCTTTGCTTCGCACTTCTGATTGATAAAAAAAACTTCAAGTTTTTCAAGATTTTTCCAAGTTTCCCTTTTCTAGACTAATCTTTTTGCAAGTCGCGTTTAGATATGATAAGACTATCATAATCGCATTGTTCTATTATCTATTAAATAATTAAGAGTTTTCTAACATTAAGAATCTTGCATTTGTGAAAAGAGTCCTTCTTGCCACTCCACTACTCGCAATTCTCATGGCGCGTATATTTGTAGTGGGAGAATTCGTTGATTTAAAAGCCACGGTAGCTTCCAAACACACGTCAGTATATCGTTAAAGTGCAGCAATCAGTGAAGCATCGTATCAAACGTATAATTGAACAATTAACCAACTCTCAATCGTCTGTGTACCCAAGGAAACTTTCTCTGAAACTTTAATTCTTCAGGGTACGATTAATTAACATTTTTTTCTTTTTGCTTTTCTATATCTTCTGTTCCACTTCTTGACTTGAGTCCCAAAGCTTCTGCCTTCTCATTTCCCCCAAGCAATTTTATATCCTTTTCCTCTAACTTTTTTATTTCATGTTTTTTTGTTATTTTTTTTTCGCTTTCTTTTTATTTCATTTCATCCCTCGTCACTCGATCCAATTATTCGCTCCATTCTTTCTTCGCTTTGCACCGACCCTTCGACTATCCTTGGCCAGAATGTTTACCATGAATTACGAATAAACGCAGCCGCATAGCGAAGGAAGAAGTGAATCGATTTGCAAGTGGCCCACCATCACCCTTATTCTCTCTATTGTTTTCTTCATTCTCCTCTCAGTGACTCTAAGTTCCAATCATGAATTTACGACGCGTTTACTCCTGAGAGAAAATGTTTCTAACATTGAATGAAAATTTATTTCAATTTTAAAAAAAACAATCTGATGGCAATCATGAAAATGACTACTCTTTCTTGAAATATAAACTTTTGATGGTAGAAAATTAAACAAAGTGAAAATACCTATTAAGTAAATGCAATGAAGTCAGTAGGAAGTTATGAATAATAATACAATATGATCTAAATACTAATAGTCTGCTACACTGTACGCTTCAATATTGCTACACATAAAGATTAAGTGAGTAAATAGCATTTCGATGAATATTATTAATAATATATTAGCTAGATAACAATTTCTTATCATTAACTGAATTTCCCAATGATATAATAATTATTAAAACACAAATATGTGATATATATTAAGCAATTATTTTTGTGCGTCTAATTAGATAAATAGTAGAAATTATCTAAAAAGGAAGTATCTTGACTGATATCAAGAAACTTACTCACATTAATTCGTTTTTTTAATAAATCGATTGACCTATTTTTCTATCGAAAAAAATATCAATTGAACTTTCACAATACTACTCATTCTTAGTGAGAGCAAAACATATACTTATTCTGCCCATCATAAAGTTGATAATCATATTTGATTAAACATCTGACAATTATGATAAAAACAGTCATTTTCACTTCGTACCAAATTTTTTTCTCAAGATCACTAATCGTTATTATACATCGATTCATCAGATTACGTCAAAAATTTGATTGATTTTAGATTAATGTCTTCATTGAGAGATCAGTATTAAACATTTGTTTCTTTCTTTAGTGTTTTTTTCTAATTTTTTAATTTTTCTTATCATATCGGAACATCTAAATACATATTCTAACGATTTTTCTTCACAATGTCCTACCTCATCCGGTATTTGTGTTTCATTTTACTTGTCTAATTTGTTGTGCAATCGGATGCAGCACAAAATGAATTGCACAAAAGTCATTTTTTTCTCCTTGACATTTATTTTTTTTTTGTCACTAATTTTTCCGGAGACAGTTTAATGATAAAACAACACTCAATTCGCAATACTGTTACAATTACAAATAATAACAATTTAAGTATAATAAATATTATGTTATTACGTTGTCTTAACAATTATCTTAACCAATTTCAATATCGTTAGTATTACAAAAAGTTCACATGTTTACATAATATCGTATGCTTTAAGCAAATAATGAAATTCCAGTGTGCTATTAACTTAATTTAAAAAGGGAAAATTGGAAACATTAATAGCTTGGATCGGTTACAAAAAAGAAAAAAAAACAGAATTAAGAAGGTCATAAAAATAAATAGTACAAACATGAGATGTCCTGAATAAAATAAATTGCAAAAAATAAACTAATGGATTAATACGTAAGTTTTTACATTAATTGGAACAATTCTATATAATAGATTTTTAAATTAATAAGAACATTTCAAATCATCATAAAAAACAAGTTTGCAGTATTTGACGACTTTGCATGAAAAAAATCTATAAATCTGATTGGAAAAAGTAGTTTTGATTTGATTTTATCAATTTGTAATCACTTTCACTTGTTGATATCTATATAATTATAGCTCTACATATTCTAGAATGAACGTAGTTTCCAGTATTTTTAATCGAAAATTTACAAAGTATGCTACGTTGTTCATTAGTTGTCTAATGAAAATATTTTTGTTGAAACTATTGACATATTAGAAAAATTTTTGCATCAATCAAACAGTATAATCTAGTTTTAACCTTTGGATGTCAGTGAAACCAATTTACACAGCAAATATCGCAGTTGCATTTAATAACGGTGGTATTATCGGCTTAACAAGACATTTTTCGTAATTTTTACGATAAAGTCACTTGGTCTGTTGGTAATAAAATTGAAATATACTTATAAACCTACATAATGGTAAGATCAATAATGGACCATTTTCGAAGAAATGTTGAAAATTCCTTTGTAATGATGGCTTTTTATACCTACGTTTGTAAAGCCTAGTAAGTGCTTTCCAAAAATTTAAATATTGACTTACAAAAGCTCAACCTGAAAGCATCATTTGAATAATTTATTAAAAACATGTGCTGAACGAATATCAACTTGTTCAAATGAAGTAAATGTGAATATATTTGCGCGCCATAGTGACTTTAAGCCACGTGGTGTAGTGAATTGTATCAATTTTGCGTCCTCTCTATAAATGGAATGGAGTAGAACATCTTTCTGGGTTTGGTCCAGTTCGATTATATTTTTTTAGTATCTTGTAAAATAGTCAAATACAAGTGGCACAGAAATAGTTGAAAGTAAATAAAATTAAAGCAATTAAAAAGAAAAGTGAGAGAGTATTGTTACCGTTATTGCTGTATTTAGCTGTGATTCTATAAAAATTTTAAGTAGTGAATATGGAGGATGAAATATATGATACAATGGCAGGCCCGAGCCAATCAATCAATGTTAACGTACGTAAAACATTAAAATTTATGATAATAACGAGTTTTTAGAATAAAAACATACACCACGCCCGATCCGATATGCATTCTTTTCGGTCTAAATGCGTTTTAACAACAATGTTGGGTAGCGTCAGTAATCCGCGTTTTTATTGGAGGATGAATTTAATCCAATGCGCCAATTAAAATTAACCGCGCGAAATTTTAAAATATTTGAATTTTAATTTTTTCACTATCAGTATTTATTTCTTGAATGAATACAATATATGAAAGATAATTTTATTGAAACAAAATCTTTCATATTAATTTTTGATTTTTAATGAATTTCCATAATATATATTATATGATAAATAATGAACTTAATCTTTTATTTGAATAATTCAAATATTCATCTTAGAAATAATTTTTATCATCCACCTTATCATAATATAAACATTTTTTTCAAATATTTCTGTAACTGACCTTATTTTTTTTCTTCTACAGCCAAGTGAAACAACACCTTTACTTGTCTCACCACAAGAAAGGAAAATGGTGGAAAAGAACATTGGAATATCACAGCAGACGCTGGTATCAAGATCAAGTGACAATGAGACATCAGGAAGGAAAGTCACTCAGTACATTGCTGGATTAGCAGCAACATTAGGAGCTCTTGCTGCAGGAATGGTACTCGGTTGGTCCTCTCCTTGTGGAAAAGACGGAGTCAAATTAGCTCAGCAGTATGGCATAGTCATCACACCAACTGAATTTTCATGGATCTCATCAATATTCAACTTAGGAGCAGCTACAATCTGCGTACCAATTGGAATCTTAACCGATATCATTGGAAGGAAAAGAGCTATGTTAATATTAGTCGCTCCTTTCACTATTGGTTGGATCCTTATCATCTTGGCCAACTCCGTAGTTATGTTCGACATTGGCCGTTATATTCTTGGTATAAGTGGTGGTGCTTTCTGCGTTACTGCTCCTATGTACACTGGTGAAATCGCTGAAAGTTCAATCAGAGGTAGCTTAGGGTCCTACTTTCAACTCATGTTAACTACTGGAATTCTTATAACTTACATATTAGGATCAGTACTGGAAATGTTCACGATATCATTAATTTCTGCAGCTGTCCCACTAATCTTTTTTGTAATATTCTTCTTCATGCCAGAAACTCCAACACATTATTTAAAGAAAGGTGATATTGATGCTGCTAGAGCTAGTTATCGATGGCTCAGAGGTCCGCATTATAATATTGAACCAGAATTAGAAGCTCAAAATGAAGTGTTGACAGAATCAAGTCGCGATCAAGTATCTTTCTTTACTGCTATTCGATCGAAAGCAGCTCTCAAAGGCTTATTTATTGCATTTGGCCTCATGTTTTTCCAACAGCTCAGTGGAGTTAACGCCATGATTTTTAATGCAGGACCTATCCTTGAATCATCAGGAAGCTCGTTGGATCCTGACATTTCTACCATTATTTTGGGAGCTATGCAAGTTTTTGCTGTATTTATCAGCACTTTAATTGTTGATCGATTGGGTAGAAGACTATTGCTTTTGATGTCTAGTGTGGCAATGACTTTGACAACCCTGGCTGTTGGAGTTTTTTTCTATGTCCAAGCAACAAACAAAGAAACAGCTAGTTCAATTGGATGGCTGCCGCTAGTTTCAATGAGTATATTTTTCATTTTGTTCTCTCTTGGATTTGGGCCAATCCCATGGATGATGATGGGTGAAATATTTGCTCCGCAAGTAAAAGGGATTGCTGGAAGCAGTGCCTGTCTATTCAACTGGTTGATGGCTTTTGTTGTTACGAAATTCTTCAATGATATTCAAACTTCCCTTGGAGCACATTGGACGTTCTGGATTTTCTCAATCATTTGTTTAGTAGCAACTGTATTTGTTTTCTTTATTGTTCCTGAAACGAAAGGCAAATCATTAGAACAAATTCAATTGGAATTAGGTAGTAGTAATTCTTCATTACCTAATCAATTTCGTGACTCTAACAAAGCATAGTGATAATTGTAATTAATTTTTTAATTAACTCAATCGTTCAGGGTGACTGTTTTAGCGATGCATTTGTTATTTGAAAATTACTGTCATGTGTGATTGTGATGATACTGTTTTTATACAGTCTTGATTTATACATAAAGATAAATAATTATTTATATTGCACTGAAATTATTAGCCATCATTAAGAAAGTGTATTTTATTTTAATTTTATAAGACTGATTCTTTTATATAGATATAATTGCACTTAAATTCCGATTTATTCTTGGAGTGTATTATTATTTATAGAATTATGTATAATACTGATAGTGTAATAAATGATGTAAATAAATTGCTCTTAAAATAAAGTGTATGTATATTCCTGTACTTAATCTTCAATAATTTTTTCCTTATAATATTTTTATAAATATTCTTAATTTATCACAAAGATTATCCATATGAAATTATTACATAGCTGGAAAAATTTATAATATCGACCTACATTACAAAATAAAAATAAAGATATAATTAACAAATTTTCAATTTGTCTTCATTCTTTTCAGTCTTGATTTAAAAATCGAAACTCACATTCTCATAACAAAATTAATAGAACATTCAACAAAACAGTGTGCTATAAAACTTTAAGTTGATATAACAAATTCAATAATTAATTTCTTTAATTTAATTGAATAAATCCGTTATTTAATTTTTACGGATAATTTAAATAACTTCATAGAAACTTTTTACTCACAGTTCATTTATGGAATGTTAGTTGACCGTTAATAATTTTTATTTACCGACCGATTTTTTTATTGTTAATAATCAATTTCCGTTTGATAACTCAGGGAAAAGTGACACAATCAGTTGATCCACTAGCATATAAGCAAGATGTTTATTTAAAGGAGCATTTTGTAATGGATCTAAAAGTGAATCCATCATTTTAGTCCAATACCGAGTCCGTATACCAATAAGCCATTTCGGACAAATAGAATATAACCCTTCTTTAGCACTTTTATACCGTTCTTCATCTTTCACTACTGGAGATGGAGGCCTTTTCGATACTTTCGAATTGAATATTGTATTATGCAAAAGTTTTACTACTATTGCAGCACGACCTCCACTTAATAATTTGGCTAATGTATCGTCCAGAAATTTATTACAAATTGGATCTATATTCGAAGAAGATAATGATGCAGTTAACCAAAGAATTGTTGATAGTGATGGTGAAACATTTAACAAACTGTCCACTGTAATTAAAACATAATTCTTTTAATCAAATTTGATCTTTATCATTAAATTAGTTTTTTAAACCTTTACAAATTATGACTGTAATAAATTTAATTTACCTGCTTCAGCAATGCAAAAACAAGCTCCTTTAACGTGTTGTTTTTTTGGTGCGCAGTACGGTAAGTTGAGACTTGGATTGATATTTAAATTATTATTAAATGGACCAGATATCAAATCTCTACCCTTTTTCATAGATTCAACAAAATGGTTATCATTTATTGGGTCTACTCCCAAGTTGACTTGGTCATTCTCTGCATTTGTAGACGCTAAGAAAGTGTTCATAAATTTATCAAGATGCTGACCTTTCTCTTTTCGTAATTTATGAGCAACACTTTGGTAAAGTACGCCAATATCTGGTGTGCTATAACTTGTTAAACATGGTTTGAGATCCGGAACAGTTAGGAAAGTATGTAATAATTCACTACTTCTTAATGTCGGTTTAACTAGCAACTTTTGAAGAAACTCTTCATATCGTTGACGGTTTGCTGCTATAGAAACATACTGATTTTTACGTATAGGCAAAGGAGAATCATTCATCTCTCGATCACCATGGAATTCCATCAAGCGGGCACGAAGAGTATAAAAATCTTGATCTCGTCTTAAAATTGTCCTAAAAAAGTATGAGATCTATTTTAATAATTTAATTAAATGTATAAAATAAAGGAATAATGTTTAATTAGTACTGAAAGATAAAAAAAAATAAAATCTCTATCAGTACTCAGTAGTAAAAGATAAGAAAGAAGAAAAGCTTGACAGGAATAATTAATAATTCTCTAAGTACCAGGATTTATTTTCAGCAACACTATGAATGGCTACCATATATAAAGGATAGCTTCCTCCTCCATCAACATGAGGAACAGTCACTCGCCAAGCTGTTAAATCCCTGTTGCACTTATCAGAAGAAAAATTCATATCCTGATAAGTTCTTGGTGTACAATCGACCTCTTCCGCTTGGAAAACATCTGGAGTTTCAAAAGTTGCACCATCAACAGGAGTTGCACGAAGAGCTCCTCGAATCTTCCCAAGTTGATTACTTAATCGAGTTCCCATCCCAGCTCCTCCGGACATACCAGATTGGGTAGAGGTTTTTGTGAAATTACTTGAGACCGGTGAGCCACATAATAGTTTGTACAACTCGTAACTGTGATGGAATGAGGGTAGACAAATAGTTTCAAGAAGAGCATGAGCTTCTTGATGAGCTTCATATAATGGTCTTGATGTTCTTAATTCCTGAATTTTACTTGATCCGCCTTTAAGTATTTGCTGCATTCCTTGGGATATATGCCACGGTAAATAAACATATTCACTACCTTCTGGATCTAAATATGTTGAATAAATATTTTGAGCATCAATGAATAAATTTTCTTCCATTTCTTTTGTCATTTCTGGATTGAGCATTCGTTTACTAAGATCATCTAATAAAAAAAAAATAAAATTTTGTTTTAAAAAAATGATTGCATAGAATTTGTAATATTATATTTCATTAATAAACTCTTACCAATATCTAAACAAAATTGTAACAAATTTACAGGTCCTGTTTCTTTAATGTGTTGCATAAATAAATAAAGAAGCTGAGGATCATTTAGTACTTGTTCCAAAGACGGTTTTAATGGGTCATTAAATGGTTGAATTGTTACAACAGGAGTAACCCACGCTTGTAGAATTGGAACATTTACTGAATCCATATCTTGTGATAAAAAACCCTCACATTGAGTACCCAATTTAATTAAAAAATTAATATTGTCTGGATCTGCTAGTGCATCCATTGCAGGTAAAAGAACCCAATTGGCTAAAATTTCACGTAACAGAACCTTGTTATTAGTAGAGATATAAGTACTTGGTAATAAATGCGGTAGCACTCCAGTAACTAATCCACGCAAATAACTCATTTCTTCCTCTCTAGAATAAGCTGCAGGATGAATTCTATGTCCTAAGTAATCAACTGCAAAATCATCTGGATTTCCACCTTTTTTTGTAGCTTGTTCAGCCAAGACTTGCCAATCTTGAGCATGTTGTAAAGCAATTGGAATTAAATTATCAAAAATCAATTGAGATATTTTTACACGCAAAAGTCGTGCAGTAAGATTTCTGATAGCTATTGTAGTTGCAAGCCGTAGTTGGTGAAGGAATGCATCATCTGCTGATACGTTTGCATACCAAGAAGTAACGTAGGTTTGTAAAACATTCTCTAAAAGCTAAAACATGTATGTGTATATTAATTTTTAGTCTCTATTCAACAATTGATAAATATTTAATAGATTCTGTACAAATATTCTACTTTACATTATGAAGTGCAGCATCGAGATCTTTTGGAATTTTTACTTGAGTGTTGTAAATAGACGGTCGATGTCGATTGCAATCATCTCCACGGCATACTTTACAAGCTTCATTATTAATTAATTTATTAATGTATTGTTGTTTATTTCGTATTAAGAACGTTCTTACGAATGAAATTAATTCATCTGTCCAAAAACGACCAACAATGTAGAGTCCACAGATAAAAAATGAGCAAATGTAGCTGGAACATCAATAACAATGCAGAAACTAAATATCTTCTCATTATTAGTAATCGTTATTCAAATTGAGAATAGTAGAAATTCATTATTGTTTGTTGATTATTATATAAATCGAAACTAACCTTTCAAAAACAACTAAAATCACAGCAATTGTTGATAAAAATATGATTATAAAATAGTCAGGCGTTATCATGATTTATTGTTAAAATAATTACTTATTCTACTTATTATTTACGACGAATAATCATTTCTAAATACCACAAAACAACCATACTTAGAAGTGATAATATTTTGACTGATTTTAGCAGAGACAAGTATTGGTCTCTGCTGATTTCAACAGCTGACAGCCATTGTTGAATAATATAATTATCGACATTTATCAGCAATACAACTGTTAAATTTCTATTTTACCAAGAGTAGGTAAATGAAATCATACGAGATCAGATTACGGCTAATGAGATATGTATTCTGACACACAAAGGAGGATAATTAACATCAATAATGTTTATTTATTGTTTAATTAAGTTAGAATACATGAACAAAAATAATTTTGAGTTTCTCAAAGAACTTTTTTGGGAATTTTCCCTCCCGAGAATTTTCTTGTTTCTACTTGGAAAAATGACAATCATCAGCCATACCAGAGAAAAGAGACCAGAGAGACGTTTCTGTAGTCAAGCGTGTTACCTCTGAGCTGTTACAAGAATATCAAATTGGTTTTATAGCTTCTATGTATGTTACGAACAGTGCTGGACCTTTTCTATTTAAAAATTTGTGCTTGAAAATAAACTGGCTTAGGATTCTTGTAATGAGAGTAAAAGAGAACACAAATCTTATCTCTTTTCTCTCTTAGATTAAGGGGCGTGGCTGAAATAAACCGTTGCAGCGCCATCGCTCGATGGGTTCACAGAAACTTTTATGTTGTGACCTGAGATTACCGACATGTTGACCGAAACTTCGTCCGGATTTTTAACACAGCATTGGACTTCTATACTGGTCTCTCTTCTCTGGGTCATACGAAATTGAAGAACGCCATATTGGATTGCTATTTTAACCACAATGTTGACATTTTCCCTTTCAAAGAGGGCTACTTGAGACAAAAAAGATAATAGATTTATAAAAAGAAGATTAATTTATTCATTCATTCCAAATACTTATATAATTTTTTTAATTATTATGGAATCTGTTTATACGTCATTCAATGCCAATTCCAGTGAGAAATTGAATATAAAAAAACATTTTGAAGACTATGCGAATTTACTAAATTACAAATTTAATTGTCACGATGGAAATGAAGCTCCTAATACTGTAAATATTCCATTACCATTAGAAGAATTAGAACAATTGGCTGAAGATTGCAGGTATGTAATTATAATGTAACTTAATATTGGATTGTTATAATTATGGGATGTATTATTTTTTTTAAAAGGATTGATCTTTTGAATGATGAAGGAATCAAAGCATTTCATGATAATCGACGATCAATTGTACCTAAGGATGTTAAAATCCCTGAAGGTGTAAAATTGCAAACATTGTTAGATTTGAAGAAAAAGTATGAAGAATATGATAGTCACCTATATAACGCATCTTTGAAATATATAAACGAACAGATTGTGGTTTGTATTTTTTAACTTTTTCTTAATTTTTATAAATTACTTTAGAAAGAAAATATTGTATGTCATCAAAAATCATTAACCATCAATTATATCTACTATGTATTTCAGAATTATCCTAAACCAAAAACAAAAGGCCCAAAAGCTAAACCTGGGGAAGATATACTGATATTCATCCGAGTTTACAAACCATTTTCAGCTAAGTCAGAAGATAGTCGCTCAAGACATACAAAAATACGTTTAGCTCATGTAATAGCTATGTTAGGTCGTCAAACATTAGCTGAACTTCGTGATAAAATTCAATGTCTTTCAGACTTATCAGTAACAAAAGAGAGTAGTGAACATCCAAATACTATTGTTGAAGTGACTAACAAAGTATCTTCTAATACATAATATATTTGTGCATAATACCTTATAAAATATCGTTTAATACATAGTAATTGTTTTGTTGCAGGACATCTATAAATCTGGTTTTTTCTATATTGAAAATACTTTTTATAATGATATGAGAGATCCAAAGAATAAAGACAATAGTCTTCCCATCCGAGAATGGGCAAAAACACGTAATTTAGGTCCTTTTTACATAGCAAAAATGGAAGAAACTCGCGTAGATTCGTTAACCGTAAGGTTTGGATATCCTTGGGTCTATCAACATCAGGGTAACTGTGAGCACTTGATAGTTATCAGCGATGCAAGGTAATATTTTATAATAATATAAATTTAAACGGCAAATAAGTTAATATTATTAAAACATGTTGATAGATTGGTAGCATCTGATGATGACTTGGCAATATCTAACTATCCAAGAATACATCGATCAAAACCTGTTAAAGTTCCTTCATGTAATATGTGTCTGGAAAGATCAGCACAGTGGATAGTATATGATAATCCTAGAATACCTCATGATCCGTCTTATCATTGCCGTAAGTGCTTTTTACGGTTTAATTATTTAAAGGGGAAGAAGATAGGAAATTTCAAAGCATATCGCTACCCATACGATCCAAAGCTAATGAAATTAGCTAATGTATATGGTAGATAATATATATGGTAATATATACGGTAGATTTTATGTTAGTTTTAATCAATTGTAATAAATTTTTATTGAACATTGTAACGAAGTTTTAATGAATATTCTAATAAACTTGTTTGTACAAAAGCAGGAAATATACTTTATTCGCTACAACTATAGAATCTTGTTGTGATCGCTTGCTAATCGCTGAATCAACTTATTTAGTTCACGGATTGTCGGAGTGACCGCTTGGAGCGCTGAGGTAAATTGCAAGATGAAATAGACAGAGCCCTCTTAATTTTTACGTCAGAAATAAAAAAAGAACTGGAAAATCACGAACTTGAGGTCGAAAAACTTAACTTTTGCGTAATTTCTGTTCAAAGCAAACAATAAGCCGCTTATGTATATTTGTTCAATGAAGTGAATTTGTAGCGAAGTAATACCTAAAGCATCTTTGTCAGAGTATTTTAGACAATATTTTAATTAAAAATCAATTTAGATAAAATTACTTGTTACTCAGATTAAAATAGTCAACTATTAAAATGGTTGATTACAGCAAATGGAAAGATATTGAGGTATGTAAATTCTATAAACTCTTATTCACTAATTATGGAATAGTACATAGAATATCGAGAATGTTCTGGAATGTTCAAACTTGACAGATAAATTATTTATACAATGTAATACAAATATGGTGTGTGAAATTAAATTTATCATAATATAACTTGTTTTATTGTGCTATGTATTATTTATTTTTACTTAATTTGTTTGAAAGTCTATTACGATAAGTAAATTTTAAAACGTTTTTCATTCTCCAGATTTCAGATGATGAAGATGATACTCATCCAAACATTGATACCCCATCATTATTCCGATGGAGGCATCAAGCCCGATTAGAAAGAATGGAAGAACGTAAAAAGGAACAAGAAGAATTCGAAAGAATGAAGGCTGAGTATGTATTACAATTGAATATCCTGTAATCAAAAGTTAACAACATTATCTGTTACTCTTTATCAAATTCTTGATTAATTAAATAAATTTATTATTCTCTAAATAAACAGAACATTGAAGAAACTTGAAGAGACTAAACAGAAAATTGCAACCTTAGAAAAAGAACAACCAAACACTTCAGACCTAAATGTTTTAAGAAAAACACTTCAAGAATTAGAGTTAGAAGAGCTAAAGAAAGTTAAAGCCAGAGAAGAAGAATTGAAGAAAAAAGAAAAATTAACACCATGGAACGTTGATACAATTGGGCATGCTGGGTTTACCAAAACAGTTATCAACACAAAACCACGTAGACAAGATGATGATTCAAATTTACCAGATGAGGTTCGAGAACAAAAAATGAAAGATTTTGTTAAAGCTAATGAAAAATCTTTGAAGAAATTTGGAATGTTAAGAAGATATGATGATAGTAAACAATATTTATTAGAAAATCCTCATTTAGTTTGTGACAATACTGCAAATTACTTAGTAATATGGTGTATAAATCTAGAAATGGAGGAGGTAAATATTAATTTATGAATCATTTGATATTTATTAAAAACTTTATCCTTTCCACAAATATTTATAAATGTTATTTATTTATTTCAGAAACACACGTTAATGGAGCACGTTGCGCACCAGTGTATATGTATGCAATACATTCTAGAATTATCGAAACAATTAGATGTTGATCCAAGAGCTTGTGTGGGATCATTCTTCAGCAGGATCCAAGTAGCCGATGTAGAGTATAAAAAATCATTTGATGATGAACTTGAGGCATTTAAACAGCGAATTCGCAAAAGAGCAGCAGAGAAAGTGGAAGAAGCTCTAAAAGAGGCTGAAGAACAGGAACGAAAACAACGGCTTGGACCAGGGGGACTCGATCCTGTAGAAGTTTTTGAAAGTTTACCGGAGGTAAATTAAAAATAGAAGAATATATATTTAACAAAACGAAAAAATATTCATATTCTTAATTAATTGTTATTCTTTATAGCCTTTACAAAAGTGTTTCGAAACGCAAGATATTCCTTTACTACAACAGACAATAGCTGCAATGCCAGAAGAAGAGGCTAAATATCATATGAAACGGTGCATTGACAGTGGACTCTGGGTACCAGATGCTAAATCCAAACAAAAAGCTTTTGAGGGACAAGAAGATGCAAAGAGTGATGAGATGAATTCTACTGGTTCAACCGATGTTCCTGATACTGATTAATTAATCTACTGAAATTAAAAAGTGAGTTTATGTAAATTGTTCATATTAAATTTTTGGATATATCATTTATCAAACAACTGAATTCGTTTATTAGTCAACAATTGAGTTTCTCGGACCATCATTTTATTACAATTCCTTCTCATCAAGTTACGCATGCGTTCGCGGCAGTGTCGTACATTAGAACGAACGTACAAGCATAATAACGATGTGTTATAGGGCACGACCATAGATGTAGAATCTACATTGTAGATACATAGAAAACTATTCTATAAAAATAAAATATATTTCTTTTTCTGAACTTGTTCCGTGAATTGATAGAACGCGATGGCCTTTGGCATAGTTGATATTCGTGTTCTATCATTACTTTTTATTGTTACATATTATAAAATTGATATTAACTATCAAACAGTTTTCTATATTTGTAAATAAAATAAAAGTAATGCTAATTTCTACGTAACAAAATAATTCTCTATTCGCATTAGTGATATTTCTGGGTTTATCTCATTACTTATTACTGTTTAAATGTTATAACTTGTGGTGCGTTTGCATGAAACGGCTGGTCAGTATATGTATTTCTGCTCGGTATAAACTAAATATGTTACTATGGCCACACCTTTCTTTGTGTAAAAATCACAGTACACACAAGATTGTCTCCAAAAATCATCTAAGGACACCAACCAGACTTGAGAAGTGTTTGATAATCGTTGCTTTTATTATGTAAGCTAATTTTTATCGATAATAATTCATTTTATAAAATTTAATTTCCATGGTAATTGTGTGATGAGTGTTTTCGATTAAAGATTGAAAAGTTTTTACAATTATCTTGACTATTAAGTGCATAAATTATTGACTTCATAGCCGAAAGTTGTTTAATCATATATTTAAACATAACAAAAAATGTATAATTGTTTACGTTAAATTTTTCTATAGATAATTGCATAGTTTTAATTTTTAAGATGAATTTTACCTAAATGAGATTTCAATGAAATTGTTTATTAATATCAAGAGTAAAATGGACTATTGATTAATATTTTTATTTGCATTGATATAAAATATAATTGTTCATTATATTTAAAAATAGTCATAATATACATATATATAAGACTAGAGCAGTGACTTCTGGGTAATGTAAAACGTGGAAGTCAAAATGGTAACTTGCCGTTTTTCATTGACAACACTATTTTAAGCAAATGAGTGAGAGAGATGAAATATAGCTGCTTGAAGAGGTGAAGAGTTTGCAATTTAGAAAGAATAAGAAAAAGAGAGATATTAAATTATATTATGTTGTAAAGGTAACGTGAATTTTGCTATTCCAACATGTATTTCGCGCGCGCGCAATATCTTATCAAGATAAATTAATTCATGCTAAAATAATAATGAAATTTACAAACATTGATATTTAAACGGAAGTCGATTTGTAATTTAATTTCTGTATGATGGGCATTAATTTCATGAAAATGTTCTTTAAACTTGCTCTTTTCGAACGGAATTAAAAATTGTTTTTTGTCTCTATGAAACGGTCGGGATTTTGTAAAGAGATTAAGATATAATAGGATTGATATAAACGATTTTATATTAAAAAGCAAGTATTGAAATATGTTGATTGTGGAAACAAGGTGGATGAGAGAAAGATAGCACTACATGTATTGAAAAGTACGTGTGCGCATGCGCTCGCATTGCACGATGGGAGATGGTAGAGAACAACGAACACGACAGAATGGCGGCCGAGGAGGGCGAACGAACGAATGAATCCACAAAATGGCGGCGGAGCTTAGGCCCGCGACCATATAGTACGTGAAAATTGGATATTTTTGTACGATGTTATAAGTTTACAAATTAATGATCGTTGAATATTGTGAACGCGTATATGATTGTTCGATTAATCATAAACTCAAAGTTGGATTGTAAAAATTAGTGCTGATATTTAAGCCTCGGGGTGAGACGCGTAAACTGTGGGGGACGATGCAGGTGAGTGCTCGGGAGATGCAAATTTTCTCATTTTTCTCAAATATTGAATATTCTTTTTATTAAATTTATACATTTTTATATAAAATTAATTATGCTCGATCGATGGAATATAAAATTTATAAAAAAAATGTTGAGGGTGTTGTTTGGAATAAGCGAAATTCACGTTGCCGTATGTGTTTTGGATCTCTCTAAATACAATAAAAGCTTTGTAAAATAATTATAAACAATAATTATGTGTTTAGAATAATTTTAAATGATTGGGCGGGGTCCCCAGGCTGTCTAGGCCTAAGATACCTTGTGCTCTTTGGCCTCAGTTTTACATGAATTTTATTCATTTTTCATACTTGTAATAACCTATAAGTTTGTTTACATCAATTCAAATTGTTATTTTTTACTGAAAAGATCTTTGTTCCACTCAATTCTTCCTACAATTATGTTCTTTATACTCTCCTTCAATTTTTTCATTTAAGTATTTCAGATTTTGTGATAGACCCATTTTCATAATTTAAGCTTAAATATTTTTCATAATATCACTTCCTACATAGCCATTGTTGTTTTTTTATTTTACAGTGTATCTTTGCATATATTTTCGTTTTTACATCAGTATAATTTAATTATTTTACGTCTTACAATTATGGAAAAATAAAATAGTTTTTTCCGTACAAAATATTAACATTTTACTTAGTAATTTATTTCATTAGAATTCGCCAGTTTAAAAACATTTGTGGCCAACTAAATCATAGGTAATTCAACATAGTATAATAATTGGAAAGTGATAATCATCATTAAATTAGAATCAGCAGATTTATGTAATTTATCATGAGTGATCATTTCAATTTCTTCATTAAAAAAATACCTCCAACAATTATTACTATTATTCAAATGAATATTTTTGATATTTCATCCATTACCTCTAAATGTAACAAAATTTTACAAGAAATGAATGATAAATAAATAGTATATTGTGGCAAAAAATTGTGAATAGTGAAATAAATTGTGTAACAGCTGTACCTAATAAATATAATATTAAATTCGTATTATTTACAATTATTTTGATGTTCAATGATAGTTGTAAGATTATGTTTATGTATAATATAAACATTACAAAAATACAGATTGCCTTTATACAGAATGAACTTTGTATTCTTCATGTCCTGTCTTTTTATTTTAACACATTTAATTCTGATAATTCAAATTATTACAAAGAAATCATTTTCCCTTGTTTATTCTAACAGTTGATTTGTATAATATTTAATTATACGGTTATGTAATTACAGTTTACATCAAGTTGTGGTTCTATTTTTAATTTTATGAAATATTTAATTGAAGAACTTCTGTGGAGAAAAAATTATTCCAAACAATATCAACAACGTGCTTGAATAATATAAAAATAAATAATATTAAATATTACCTTTTGTGTTCTTTTTTATATATTTCAGAAAATTATCGAATCCGAGTCTGACAAAGAGTCAGCATCAGATTCTGACAATGAAAGTAAAAGTGATAGCAGTTCATCTGCAGGAAGTAATTCCGGATCAGAAAGTGATGATAGGTAAGGAGATTTAATAATCATGTTAGAAATGTTGACATCTTAAATCATTTTTACACATTCACTTTTACAATCCAACAAGCACAATTGTACCTCTTTTCTATTGTCTCTTACGAATTATAATAATGAAACATCGATTCATACAATTCTTTTATATTGATTATTATGTAATTCGACGTATGTTTCTGAAACAATATTTGTCGAATTCTTATTCAATTGAAAACTGATTTACATTTTATTCGTTTTCTTGTTGATTAATTATTCAGTTAATTCAATTTTTTTAAATTACTTGGATAAATAATAGAAAATATCAAAAACTCTATAATTATAATAAATTATTACACAATTCATAAAATTGCTTAATGGCGATTTATAGCGACTCCAGTGCCGGTTCTTCGAGTGGATCTGATTCAGCAGTTGCAGCAGCATCTTCAGTACATTCAGATTCTGATAAATCTGAAAAATCAGATGCACCGTCTTCTGCACCACAAAACGATAGTTACCACCATCACTTAAGCAAAAATCACAGCACAGAAACAAAGCATAATAGGCATAATAATAGGCACGACTCTAGTAGTCGTGAATGGGATGAAAATCCTGATATCTATGGAATCAGAAGATCAGCAAGATCCAGAAAAGAACCAGAAAGGCTTCGTCAAACATCAAATCGTCGTGAAAGTGATAGTGATGGCCGTAAAAAATTACAGAAGAAAAGGTTCGTAATCACTTGCACCACTCCTTGAAGATTATTATTTATTATTTTTTTTTACGTTAAAATTCATTCCTTGTCATAAAAAAAAATAGCTGATTATTTTCTTTATTTGTTTATTTCTATTTTGTTTATTTCTTTTTTTTTAATAGTTCTCAAAATTCGTGGAACTCCGATAGCTCAGATTCAGATTCAGAGAATTTTGAAAATCGGAGACCACAACCACCCCCTAGTAAATCCATTAATCGTCGTGCAGCTCAAAAAGCTAAAGAAAATGTACGTTCCAACAGGAGGAAGAGACGTATATCTGAATCATCTGACAACTCATCTTTTGATAGCGATGATAATCGAAGGTTTATATTCAATTATCTATATATATATATATATATATATATATGTAAGCAATATTGGAGCAAAAAATAAAAATAAAAAAATTTCTAGACTTGTAACAAGACGAGCTGGGACGACAGTAAGTTATAAAGAGCAAAGTGAAGAAGGTACAGACAGTGAAGATTTGGTGGAAGTTGATGAAGCCACTAATACTACAGGCACATCTCAATTAGCAGAATCAGATAATGCAGAGACTATAGAACGTGTTTTAGCTCAGAGAAAAGGGAAAAAAGGTGGTAAGTAAGCATGTGGCACACTTTAGTTTTTAAAATTATTTTTAATTATTCTCTCATCATACTACAGTTCATCATTATTTTAATAGTTATTCTTTAAATAATGATTGTATTAAATCTAGTTATTAGTGAAGAAATGCGTCTTAATTACATACATTTTTTTTTAGTAACAGGCAATATCACTACTGTTTATGCTGTTGAAGAAAATGGTGATCCTAGTGGTAATGTTGAAGGTAATGAAAACGTACCACAGGAGTTGAGTAATAATAAAGATGAAAATGAAATACAGTACCTGATTAAATGGAAAGGTTGGTCTTATATACATAACACATGGGAATCTGAAGAATCCTTGAAGGCACAGAAAGTGAAGGGTTTAAAAAAATTAGAAAACTTCATTAAACGAGAAAAAGAAATAAAATATTGGAGGGAATATGCAGGTCCTGAAGATATTGATTATTTTGAATGCCAACTAGAGTTACAACAGGAACTACTGAAAAGTTATAACAATGTTGAAAGAATTATTTCGGAGTACAAGAAACCAGATTCAGAACATCCCGATTATTATTGCAAATGGGAGAGTTTACCATATGCAGAATCAACATGGGAAGATGGAGCACTTATTATAAAAAAATGGCCAGAAAAGATAAAAGAATTTCGCGATCGAGAAGATTCAAAGAGAACGCCTAGTAAGCACTGTAAAGTCTTGAAAATCCGACCAAAGTTTCATCAAGTTAAAGAACAGCCAGAGTATATGGGTGGAAATAATGAAAAAGAGTTAACTTTACGAGATTATCAAATGGACGGATTGAATTGGATGATTCACTCTTGGTGCAAGGAAAATAGGTATAATTAAATATAAAACGATATTGAATTTCTCACGAAGTTAAACAAGAAATAACTTATTTATTTATCTAATTATTGTTATTTGTTATAGTGTAATTTTAGCCGATGAAATGGGATTAGGAAAAACAATTCAAACTATATGCTTCCTATATTACTTATTTTATACTCATCAATTACATGGGCCATTTTTATTAGTTGTACCATTATCGACGATGACTTCCTGGCAAAGAGAAATAGCACAATGGGCACCAGACATCAATTTTGTCACTTATTTAGGTGACGTTACTTCTCGTAATGTTGTAAGTATTAAGTTGATAATTAAATAAGAAAAAATTAATTTTTAATAGCATGTTAAATTTGAATTAATTAATTTTTCATTTCAGATACGGGAATATGAATGGTGTTACAGTCATTCAAAGAGATTAAAATTTAATGCAATACTAACAACCTATGAAATCGTATTAAAAGATAAAGCTTTTTTGGGAGTCATAAATTGGGCTGTGCTATTAGTTGATGAAGCACATCGTTTAAAAAATGACGATTCTCTATTGTATAAAGCTCTTACTGAATTTCATACAAATCATAGACTTCTGATAACAGGTACGCCATTACAAAATAGTTTAAAAGAATTGTGGGCACTTTTGCATTTTATTATGCCTAATAAATTCACAACTTGGGAAGAATTTGAAAAAGAGCATGAACATGCAGCGCAAAAGGGTTATTCTAAGTTACATAAACAATTGGAACCGTTTATTTTGAGACGCGTAAAAAAAGATGTAGAAAAATCATTGCCAGCTAAAGTGGAACAAATATTGCGAGTTGAAATGACATCTTTACAAAAGCAGTACTATAAATGGATATTAACCAAGAATTACAATGCTTTGCGCAAAGGTGTTAAAGGATCAACTATGTCTTTTATTAATATAGTAATTGAATTAAAAAAATGTTGTAATCATGCGTTTTTAACAAGACCAATGGAAGAAAGAATGAGAGGAGAAGATAATGAAGAATATTTAAGGCAATTAATACGTGGCTCAGGCAAATTAGTTCTTCTTGATAAATTACTAATTCGTCTTCGTGAAACAGGTCATAGAGTATTAATTTTCAGTCAGATGGTTCGAATGTTAGATATTTTAGGTGAATATTTACAAAAACGTCATTTTCCTTTTCAACGTCTTGATGGAAGTATTAAAGGAGAATTAAGAAAACAGGCGTTAGATCATTTTAATGCTGAAGGCTCCACAGATTTTTGCTTCCTTCTATCAACACGTGCTGGTGGACTTGGTATTAATTTAGCTACCGCTGATACTGTAATAATTTTCGACTCAGATTGGAATCCTCAAAATGACCTACAAGCACAAGCAAGAGCACATCGTATTGGACAAAAAAATCAAGTTAACATTTATCGGCTGGTTACGAAAAATTCTGTTGAAGAAGAAATTGTTGAACGAGCAAAACAAAAGATGGTATTGGATCATCTTGTTATACAACGGATGGATACGACTGGTCGTACAGTTTTAGACAAAAAAGCATCGGGCAATAACAGTAATCCATTTAATAAAGAAGATCTTAATGCCATTTTGAAATTTGGCGCTGAAGAATTGTTTAAAGACGATAAAGAAGAAGGTGATGAAGAACCTACATGCGATATTGATGAAATATTAAGACGTGCTGAAACACGTGATGAAGCACCTGCAACGGTAGGTGACGAATTATTATCAGCATTTAAAGTAGCTAGTTTTGCTGCATTTGACGAAGCAGAATCAGAGCCTAATCTTGCCATTCAATCTAATGAAAACGATGATGAAAGTAACAAAGATTGGGCTGAAATAATACCTGAAAATTTCCGCAAAAAAGTTGAAGAAGAAGAAAAATCTAAAGAAATGGAAGATCTTTATCTACCCCCACGAAGTCGAAAGACTCTCCAGCAAATAAATGCAGCTCAACAAGAAGAAAGAAGGAAAGAACGGCGAAGAAAACGGAGAAAAGTTCAAACTGATGATAGTGATGATGCTGGAGGTGGTGAAGATGATTCAGGTGATAGTGAAGATGATGATGATGATGAAGATGGAGATGGTACTGATGATGAACAGCAGCGACCAAAAAAGAGAGGTAGACCGAGAATGTTACCTCGAGAATCAATTAAGAGTTTTACTGACAATGAGATTCGAAGATTTATTAAGAGCTATAAGAAATTCCCTGCTCCTTTAAAACGACTTGATGCTATTGCTACTGATGCTGAATTACAAGAAAAGCCAATGGCTGAATTACGATATTTGGGAGAACAATTGAAATCTAGGTGTGATATTTGTATTACAGAATTTGAAAATACTGCTAAAGAGAATAAAATAACAGCTGAAGAAGAGGTAAAGAAGAAAGAAGGTAGCAATAAGGGACGTAAACGAGGTAGAGGTCCAACATTTAAATTAGCAGGTGTAATAGTGAATGCCAAGTCATTATCAGCTGCTGAAAAAGAGCTTGAACCATTAGATCAAATTCTTCCATCAGATCCAGAACAACGATCAACATGGCATCTTGACATTAAATTAAAGCCAGCAAACTTTGACTGTGACTGGAATTTGGAAGATGATTCACGACTCTTGCGTGGAATATATACTCATGGAATGGGTTCTTGGGAAACTATTAAAATGGACGCTAGTCTGAAACTTGGAGATAAAATACTTTCACAAGACGAAACAAAGCCTCAAGTTAAACAGCTTAATGCTCGAGCAGAATATCTTTTGAAAATATTGAAAAGACAAATTGACTCGAAACAGGGTGTAACCAGAATGAGAAAGCCACGGAAGCCTAAAGAAATCAAGACAGCAATTACGAAAGAGATAATTGATGATAATGATAATACTTCAGGAGAAGAAAATAAAAAACCGAAATTCAAAATCGATAAACATTCAGTATCATCGACTACAACAGCACATAAAAAGGAAGAAGTTGATAGTGGTAGTGCTATAAGTGGAAAGAAAGAGGTAAAAGAAGAAGGCAGTGGAAGTAGTGGAGTCACGGCAGTCGTTAATGCAGAAGATAATAAAAAGAAAGAGAAAAAATTAAAAAAGGAGAAAAAGGAAAGTAATAAGAAAAATAAAAAGAATAATAAACAGGCAGATGTACCGATGCATTATACAGCAAATAGTGAACCACGAGCTCTTGATGTCCTTGGAGACTTAGATCCTTCTATATTCAATGAATGTAAAGAAAAAATGCGACCTGTCAAGAAAGCTTTGAAAGCTCTTGACAGGCCCGACCAAACATTGAGTGAAGCCGAACAAGTTGCTCACACTCGACAATGTCTTGTACAAATAGGCAATCAAATCAATACTTGCTTGTCTGAGTACAAAGATCCAGAGAAAATAAAAGAATGGCGCAGTAACTTATGGTATTTTGTTTCTAAATTTACCGAGTTTGATGCTAAAAAACTTTATAAGATTTATAAACATGCTATGCGTACGAAAAATAGTGGTGAAGATGGTAATAGTATTAGCATGACTGCATTTTCCAGTCCAGAGAAAAAAGAAGAATCCAACAAACATCAACAGAGGCATTCAGATAAATCACATGATAAACATTATTATTCAATGGATGTTAATAGTAGTACAAGTAGTGGAAAAGATCCTCGCTCATCAAGTAAACGTAGATTAGACGATAGTGAAGAAAATTCTAATAGTAGTATACCACCTATGAAAAAACATTTGGTAGCAAATAGTAGTGCTACTAATAACAGCGGCGGCGGTGGAATGTCGGGAGCTAATATGGGAATGATGAATATGACAACACCACTTGGATCATCACTCAATTCAACAATGAACAGTAGTGATATGTCAAGCAGACATCATAAAGAACCAAAGGATAAACATAATAAAGATGTCAAACGTGACAGAGAAAGAGATCGTGATCGAGATCGAGATAGAATTCATGACAGAAATATGGATCGACTTATGAGTAGTGCAAAAGATGAGAGGATTAGAAGGGATAGTGGTGGATATGGTATTGGTGGACACTACAGTGGACAAAGTCGAGATGATGATCACTGGATACCGTCCCGAGATGTTAGAGACATGCGTGACAATAGGTAAATAGCTATTTAACAAATATTTTTTTATCTTTCTTTTAAATACTTATAATTGATATTGAAAATGATCTTTTTTTTTATTTAAGATTTAGTGATCACAAACGAGACAGATTTGACTCCTATGGACGGATACCTGGTGGTGGATATCATCGAGATCGAGAGCGAGACAGAGATAGGGATAGAGATCGAGACCGAGATCGTGGCATGCACTTGAATAATGACAGCAACAAAAGAGGGTAGGTTATCACATAAGTATAAATTTTATTAAAAAGAATTAATTTTTAACTTCTAATCTAACCTTTCTCTATATTTTCTGTTATAGCCATCATTTTCTTTCCATTCATAACCTCAAATAAAAAATTATCTGGGTATTTATATTTATTAATTATATCGTTTAATTTTTTAGTGATTACTATAGATATCCCCCACCAGGTCCACCAGGTGGTGGACACTACGGTTACGGTGGTCCAGGTGGCTATGGTGGAGGTGGAAACGGAGGTCCTGGAAGTTATTTATCAGGAGATATTCCACCGAGTCATTTTCGAAGTGGAGGCAGTAGAGGCTATCTTGGTGATGGCGGATATCCGAGTGATTGGAGGCCAAATAAAGACTACAGACGAGAATATGATCGGAGGCCACCACCGCCTCCAAATGCCAATTCCTAGTGAATTTTAATTTGCCATCGTCCTTGAGTGTGTTGATCGGACGTTTAACATAAAACTCTGAGTATCTATAAACTCCTTTGGGAGAGGAAAGAGTTTTGTGTATTATTTCTTCCAGTGTGACAATGGCATCCATTCTCAAGTGTATCGTTGTACGCTAATATGCGGATACGTGGTACAGTAAAGCGATGGCGTTGAAAATTTAATTTTTATGCCTAAACACAAGTTAATAACGTGATTTGATAATTCGTGTGTAAAATTAATTTCAGAATACTTGTGAAAATTATAGAGTAAGATTTTTATGATTATTGTATAATTCATGATTAATGATGTATAATTACTAATTAATAATCTCTTATTAAGTAAGTGAATAAGAACGTGAATTAACGGATGACGTCTCGAAAATGAAATTCTGATTTTTATCTTCTGATTACTTGGACAAAAAAAATCAATTCGACAGAGTAATAGGTCTGTCATCTTTTTTTATTTAATTGTAATTTGTAAGCTTTTATGTCTTATCATCTTTTTGATTCACCTCATAGAAAAAATCTATTATCATTTCAATATTTTCCATTTTTTGTGCTGTGCCAATCATAATTTTAATTTTGTTTACTTTATAAACAAGAAATATTTTATTTCTATATACATATATAGAATGTCATCGTATTAACTCGCGCTTTCCTCATAAATATTTTCTAACCTAGTAGCCTTCCTTGTAAAATAATTCTTAATCGTGTAAGTGATGAAATAATATACTTTGCATTTTTTTCATCTTATTTTCTTCCAAGTTATTGCAAAATTTGTACAGTCTGTATATACACTTTCTTTATTTTGAATATAAGTAAATTCAATAAAAATTTACTTATATGACCAAATTAGTTGAAGATTATTTATTATTATAGATTCTTTCTTTTACAAAAGTTATTATCAAGTAGATAATCATGTAATATTGTAAATCATACTTTGTAAAGTTAGAAATGTACGAAATTCATGGGGTCAGTAGGTTAATACAAACCCACAGTTATTTTTGTGCTCTGAGGTAATACTGATAATTATTAGTAATCATTATTACTTCAAGTGCTCGTAATAATTAATTTCAATTCTGATAATACATTTAAAGCCAAGTTAAATTGGTTAAGCATAAAAGGTGGAATAATCGTGTGATGTTTATCCTAAATAAAAATTATTTATGTGTTAACATTAAGTATATATCGATTTATACTATTCTTTATTGTTCGTAGTTTTTACAGCTTAATACATTCAAGTTAAAAATTTATAATCAAAAAATATACGCTAGAAAGGTCATTTAAATCAATTATTGCGATTAAAATAAGTATTTTTCTGTTTACAATATGCATAATTGGCGATGGTATATTACAAGTTAAGAATTTACGCACACGCATCTTTAATATTTTAATTTGTCGTTGTCATTCTTTTTTGTTGATATTTTGTTAACTATTATTACTTATTAAAAATCGAAAAAAAGAATGAATAGATAGAAATTAAAATGCATTTTACAAAAAAGAATTAACAATAAAAATTTCAATACTTGATATTTTGCGAAATAGTGTGCACTCATGTAAATAAATTAAAAATATAAATGATATAAGAAGAAAAGAAAATTTACACTCACAGAAAATGCACGCATTAAAATAAGCATGATATCATCAGGCCTGTTTCCTTTTTATAATAAACATATGTACAACTTGGAAATATATGTATGTCGATTATCATTGAATCATTCTGTTAATATATGAATTTTAATCAATTGAAAAATGCCAGTGATTATCATTATTTTTATTCAATAATTTCGATTTTATATCATTTGTTTATAACTTATTTTTAGCTAAACATAAAACATAATTAATAAATATCTAAAATAAGTAAAAAAGTTATATTGTAATGTACATATATATATTATAATTGTATATTACAAGTAAAAAATTATTAGTTGAATGATTCATTGTTGAATAACTTATTTGTTATATTTTATAACTTTAGAAATTGTATGTTTTTGTCCACATAACAGCATAATTTATTTTTCAAACAGATTATTAACATTAATAAAAAAAAATGTGTATGTATTATGATTTTATTTATTATTTTAATAAATAATTTTTTGTAATCAACTATAGTAAATATCAATCTTATCGACTATAAAAATTTCTTTTACCGACCGATGTTACGAGTTGATTTTACCGATTCAGCTAACCTAGTTCTACGAAAACCAAAATGGCCGCACTAGTTACTGTTCTGGCTACTATTTGAAAAGTATGTTGACGTTCTTATCTTCGTATTATCCTGGGATAATTCATGATAATTGCATGTACGTGATGTACTGGAGGCGCTTGCGCGTTTTATATTGAAGATGATACAATGTACGCAGTCCACGGGTCTGGAGTCGTGAGGACTCATTGTGTGCATCGAGTTCTTTACCCTACGTCTTCGGGATTTAGTTAGAGGTTACGTGACATTAGTAAGAGATAACGATTTTTAGAAAAAAAACTTATCTTACAGTTGATTTAAATTGAAAAAAAAACTCGTGGATTAATAGTACACGAGTTAATAAAAAAATAACGAACAGTATATACGTTGACAATTTGATCGACATAAAACAAAAGAAAAATGTTTTCCGGCTTAACTAATCAGGTGTCCAATTGGATGGGTAAGAAGGGCGAGGAAAATTCGGAACTTACGGAAGAAAAGCCAATGTCACCTGGTGAAACTGATCAGGATTTGGAAAAAAAAGATAACAGGTATTTATCTGTGTCTTTTTATTAATTATTAATCATTCGTGTGTAGGTTTTCTTTTCTTACTCCAATGGTTAACAATTATCGAGCAGTGCATGACCGATTCAATTAGACTGGTGGAAAAATACATGAGTAAATATTATATTTACAACATTTTTTATCAAAAACAATCAGGGATCATGAAAATAATTGTCATGTTGCATTAATAGTTATCGTCAGTCACGAAAGTATTTGGTTTTTAGCTAAACGCCCCTCCTGGCTCCTCGTATACGATCGATAAACTACGACAGTTTTTTGCACTACTTTAATTTTTCATTGTACAAACTTGTAGGAGGTACAATTTAAGAATGCCTCTCGATAACTATTTCTGTACATCCCTTTATACTTCCTTTCATCTTTTTTTTTTCTTTTCTTGTTTCTTTTCCAAAAATATTTTAGTTCATCTCATGACACTGAATTATGAGAGAATATGCTCGATTACAATTTGAAAATACATTCCTGGATTTCAGTCAAAAGTTCATACTAATATTAACCATCGTAATGAATAAGTTGTCAGTTATAAAAGATTAAAAATGCGTACAATAGATAAGAGGATCTTTCAAAGCTGACTCTACCCAATATCTCACTCAATGGTATCATATTTATTCCATATTGAATTAATTGTCGAAACATCAATATCTCAAATAAATTCGTTTTTTTCATCCGTTATGAGCATAGAAATGAATTATTTGGAATTATAAAAGTTTACTAATTGCCGACGAAAATTACAGTAAATGAAAGACAGTATAATTTAACGTGTAAAAATGTTATTAATAGACAATCATAATGTGCTAATGGAATGCAAACACCGTAATAATTTCTGTGCAACGTCAAAAGCTGAAACGCATTTAGCATTAATAGGATCTTGATACTATAAATCGTAGGCAGTCGATTGAATTATAGACCAGGAGATCGTGAACGATCGTTGCTGCTGGTGGTGACAAGCTTTCACAAACCTCTGAGTGCTTTTCAGATATTATTGCATAGCAAACTCATAAAGTACCTTTAGATGAAATTATCAATGTTGCTGTGGGAAAACAAGTGGGCTGTCGAACACACAATGCAATAAATTGTCATCTCGGTGGTGAAGAGGAAAGAAAAAGAATACAAAAATTTTTTATAACGATCAATATATGTATATTAAGATTGGAAATGCCGTAATTTTATTTCAAAAGCTCACATTCGTATTCTGAGTGCATGAAACATTTTTATGTTATCCACTATCTGCATGCTTATCTTTCTTTTATCTGTACATTCTTTTTCATCAATACATGCAGATAGATTTTTAAAATTTCATTTGAATCAAAAGTACGTCAAGATTATGGAGTATATATTAAGTACTTTTTTTTATAGAATTTTTTTAAATTTATTATATTAGTGCTGAAGCCCTTCACTATAGCTTCAAGAATGCTTGAAGAAAATTTTTTAATTTAATAATGCTGTGTTGAGGTTGATCCGAATAAATAAATTTATTTATACTTGACAAAAGATTAAGCTGAGCAGTTTAATAATTTTCACTTTATATTTATTTTATATTCGATAGTTTAACATTATTAAGCACTTTGGAAAATTTTTTTTCATTTATTTTTGAAATTTTTTATTGAAAAAAATTTTTTGCTTCTAAATATCAATTTTATAAAAATATATTTTCTTTTATTTGTCATGTTTTACACCGAATGATCATATAAAAAACTAATTGTATAGATATATTTTTAGCATTACTGTAAAGCACCACCTACGTACGATGAACATCGTTGCAATCAAGTGTTACAAACAATACATAGTTAGCTCTTATATTGCCTTGTATTTTCTCGAATGTATTTTTATTGCACAAACTTAATAATTTTTACATGGCAATTAAATCCTAGTTAATTATAGAATCTTAAAAAATATTTATTTCAATTAATATATATGTATTTTATCAAAGTGTACCAACTAATTAACATATATTATTTTAGTCCTACAAAAGGTAGTAAATTGGAGATGCTTGCTGGAGTAAAATCTCAAATGACTGGTTGGTTAAGTGGTGGAATACCAGGATTAACAAGTCGAGGGACTGCAGAAGCAACAGAAGGTGAAGTTCAACAGTCAGGAGAAGCAAATGAGAATCAAGCATCGGGGGAAAGTGCACAGGGCACATCGCCCGATCATGTAAAAGACGATGATGCTAGCAGGTGGGTCTCAGGGTATGTGGATTCTGTACTACAAGCTGCTGGGCATGTTCCCAATAGTTCTAGTCCGCATATCATACTTTTCTAATATCTCTAAGTTATTCCATTATATTCATAAACCATTCTATTCTATCCTACAGTGCAACTGGAGGTGCTGACAGTGGTCCAGCAAGCCTCGAAGGTACACCAACAGAAGACAAAGATGGCCAACAAGCATTTGGCGCTGGTAAGTTTTAACTATGGCTAAAATCTATAAAATTACTTTTGTGATGTGATGTACGAAGCCATCTTTTTTATTATAATTGGCATCGTTTCCGACCCAGCGAGAGTTGGCTCTTTGAAATCTAACAAAAGTCATTCTCAATATAATATTGATTAATATTTAAGTTAGGAAATTTAAGTTATTTCAAAGAAGAAAAAATTATTTTATCAAAATCTATTTTAAGCTTTTGATAATAAATTGACAAAGTAATTAGGTTTTTGAATGAAGGTCAGTAAAACATTCACAAAAGTTTTATTTCATTTATTGTTTTTTAATTACTCGAATCAAAGTTTAATATCATAACTTTGATTGACTCTGAAGAAAAAGTATATCATTATTTTTAAAAAGAAATGTTGTCTACTGACACATTCAAAGTGATTGTTTTTAAATAACATAAAAATTAATTTGTTCATGTCAATTGTTATTAAGAGACTCAATTTAAGTTTTTATTTACTATGTATCATTAAGAATATGAGTAGAAACTATGCTTATAAAGTTGATTAGATTTTCAATAGTATTAGTCTGTAGATTGAGAGTTTTAGTTACGTCACAAAATTCGATTGAAGAAGCTAAATAATATACAGGTACATAAAATCGATCATATAATACAAAATAACGTTTTACATAATTGTAAAGGATATTGCTGTATCATAAGGGAATGACCGCCATATTACAAGCATAAATCATATTTTCTATCTTCGAATATTTTTATCTCATCATTAACAAACCTTTATTGTTTTTAATGATAATTATTGAAGTTATCACCGTTGGTATTATCATTATAGAAAAAAAAAACTTTCTATAACTTTCTCAGTGGTATTTTTTAATTAAATGCACCTGATACCTTACTTTCTTTTAAAGTTAGGTAGTAGGGGTTTTTATTACTTCCCTGTCTTTAATGACTCTGGCTAATAGAATGGAAAGCCAATTTCAATATTTTACACAGAAATAAAGTAGAATGTAAATTCATTTCTTCACTCTTTAACATTTTTGTAATCTTTTAATTACTTTATAAAAAATTCATTCAAATGAAGAATAAACATTAACAGATTTGACCAGTAAAAAATTTTTTTTAAACATAGTGGCTTTCGATTTTTTGATAATTAGATATCTTTTCAATCTTCATTTATTTTAATATATATTTCATTTATTCCATTCGCTCTTTCTGACTGATTCTTTATATTTAAAAATTTTTTTACGATGTAGTTGCATTATACTGAAATATTAAAACTGTTGGATTTTTTTCCAATAAAAATGAAAAAAAACTTTCAAAGCTTTTAAAAAAATCATATTGAAAAAAACATGGAGCGTTTAAATGCTCTTATAAAAAAAGTATTCTTTTATCATCGATATCTCTTAATTATTGATAGAAATAATCTGATGTTAACGAACGATTATATAGTTGACCTAATTAAGGGTGCAAAATCAATAGATCGAGAAATCTTGGAGCACGTGTATTTTTTTTTGTGTTTGAATTTTTTTTTATAACTTCAAATAATTATATTTCACAGGCGAATGATACATCCAGATTTTTTCATGACGTATCAATTTAACTTGCAGAACTACAAATAGTTAAAAAAAAATTAATATAAGAAACTCATATGATTTATTTGATGATTAACAAAGTTAATACAGAAAAAGATTCTTCTGTTGATTTATGAACTTGATTGAAGGTAAATTTCATAAACCACCTATCATTTCTTCCTAAAGGGCCAATCGTCAAAGTCATGTGTGTATTCAAGATAAATGTTGCTGTTCAAATATCCCCTCTATGAGTAACCAGTCATTTATTCTTCATATTTTATTTCTGATTCCTTTATTAAGTTAGCACCCTGATTAATGTTCACCTTAGGTTCACCATGATATAGTGATAATTCAATTACTAAGCACGTACGTGAACTCTGATGAGAACAAAGGGTTAAAAGCTATTGTGTACTATCTACTCAAACGTGTTGATCGTACAAATACCTCCCTATTCATCTTCTGTCTTTTCTTTTTATTTAGAATATGTGTGAACAAGATGAATTTTGAGCCGCACTATATTCATGAATGAAAAAAGTGTTAAAACCATTAAAATAAATAAAAATTTCTTGGGGTTAGGAAACTCTGCACTATAAATTTTCAGTATTGATTTATTGTTCAACTTTGTTGCTCCCCTAATTCTTAGACGGATGTGTCTCATGGGTAATATTTTACGTGACTGATATTTGTCAGCTTATTTTTAGTTAGTAAATAAAAAATTTTGAAGCTTGTTTATTTCACAATGCTTTTATTATAACATTAAACGTGATCTGTGAATTAATTTTATAACAAAGCAAGTGATGTTTTTATTATAAAAAATTTCTCAGCTTTTGATAACATCTCAATCTTTGTAAAAGGTCACAATCCTTTTAGATTTTTTTCTATTGAGTTATTATAAATTATAATTGACAGAAAAATGTTCTATCATTATTTGAGATTATCAAATTTATTTTCTAAAGTTTTTATACTTAATCAGTTTTTGAATAAAAGCTGAATATGATGATGTATTGAAATTTTTATTGAAACTATGAAGCTGTTTTTATTTACTGCCATTTTTTTCTGATTTTTGTCTACATGATAGAAAATTATATTCATGTATGTTGTTTATATCGTTGTGTATCCTCATGAAAAATTCAATTTTTAAACATGAATTTTTTGTAAAAGTTGCTTAGTACAGCATTGAATTCTTTTTTGAGTTACTTTAATTTTGAATTTCAATCTAAAGACTTTAGCAGTAGAACATTTATTTTACATTGAAATTGTAATTATAATTATAAATTGATTTTTATAATTAAAAATACCTTCTAAATAGCTAGTTTGCATCTAAATAGCACATGTGAATTTTTAATCATAAATCTGGTAAATTCCTCATTCAATCTACACCACAAGTATTTATTGAACGTAATTATAGACATTTGCAAGCTTCCAAAGCTACAACTGAATTTACAATTTAATTTTATGATAATATAATTCCATGTTGTATGACCTACAAGTTGGATTTTTCAAATAGAGGTAAGATTTATCACCTGAAATGTGTATAAACTAACCGATGCATAAAAAACTATGAAGAAGGTTGAATTATAGAATTGAAAAACCAGGTTACCACAAAACGTTAAAGTCCAAGAATCTCCCAAGAGGATCACTAATTTATCAGGAATAAATTTCCCTCTAATCCTCTTTGGAACAAATACAAAAATCGATGATGCTATCATAGTAATTTAGAAAAAAGAAGATCAAGAATAATGAAATTAGCATTCGATAAAAATTTGAGTATATAAATAACAAGCTAATTTTATACTAATATTAATAATTCACCATTGAACCAATAGATAAATTTTATCGGAACATTTTTTTTAGGTTTTTTTTTTTTTTTATTAAGATATTATGTTTTAAATGTGTATTTGTGTATAAATGAAAACAGTGGGAGACTCTAGTGAATCTTGGACTATAACCAGATTCAGTCGACGAGTTGCCGTCACCCGGGGGCGGTTGGTCCATCTCACCCCGATCAATACAACACCACTTCACTGAAACTCTGTCTCTTCATAGCTCTCTCTTTTCCTCTCATTTATATCAACTCTCTTCATCTCTTCTTAGAGACTTAGACTCTCTAGCTGTGAAATCAACAAAATAACCTTCTGTCGACCTTTTCAATTTCCAAAGCAAAGATTACTTTCCGGAAAAGATACAGTGGTTGATAGGTTGAAGAGTTAAATCTAGTAAATTGGATAAAAATTGTATTGTTTCACTTTCATTCTCTCATCCCATATACTCAAAATATAAACGCAACTCTAGTTATTTTTTAACTAAAAATAAATACTATTCCAGTCATTTTCTGCTATTATAAATTTCCATTTCAAATTTTCATTGCTGAATTTTCTTCAACAAATATAACTTCAACTTTACATCATGTTAGTGAGTACAATCAAGCACTCATCAACCTGGCCACTGGAGGGTTCTTTTAATCCTGAAAGGTCCAAATTACCATCATCGCGAACACTGCAATTTTTTCAAGGTGACATCCAATTATAGTTAAAGTAATCAGTTATTTTAATGCTTTATCTATTTTTTTATCTTTTTTAGTTATTCTAAATTAGTATGGCAATAGATATATATGATAATTTATATTATATTAAGTCTGAAATATAAATTGACTTTTAACGCAGCATGTCTGCTATTTGAAAGTAATAAGTGGAAATGAGCTGAGGAAATTGCAGGGAGCTGAAAGAAAACTACTGTACTTCGTGCTAAAGTCTATAAAAGTATTTCTAGGCCAACCTGGGATAATCTTATGTCGACTTCTCGCCAAGAAAACGATATATAATAGCAAGAAGAACAAGCAAACTTTAAATTTTTACAATTTATTTTAAAACTATATAATGATACAATAAATCAGTATCAATGATATTGAATAACTTTTTTAGTGTCATTGTTAATATTTTCTATTCTTTATTTTATAGTTTCAACGAAAGCTTTAGCTGGAGCAAAGAGTCTTGGTGGTTTCCTCTATAGTGCTGTTAATAAAGCAGGAAAAACAGTTGTTGAAGCCAGTGCGAAAATCAAGAAAACCGTCGAGGAAAATGTAAGTTTTATTCCCTTTTTTACATGTTTTTTTTTTATTTTTTATTTGAACAAAAGAAAACATTTCTCTCAACAGTCTCCCATTGTCTCACCCACTTTAGCACTGATTTATTATTAACTCAGATACGATGTGAATGTTTCCTCCTTATCATTTACACTTTTTTCCTTTACTATTTTTTTTCTTATTTATAACAAACACGAAAGACTTGATAATGGGATATTATTTATTCTCTTATATTATTCGAGACATTGAATCCCTCTATCATCTGTTTGTTCAATATTTTATAAGAGAAGACTTAACAATGATTTATTATTCATGAAAGAAACTGGTACTTATTGCAAATCAAACAATAAATGAAAAGGATATAGATGAATATTGACGAGTAAAGTTGGTCAGTTGTTAACAAACCTCATGAGGTGCACACACGAAAATTTATTCTCTAGAGAATATTGATTGTTTTATGTTCTACTCCTTCTCTAACTTTTATCAAAGTCAGATTAACTTACTTTTACGTGTCAATGTTTATATTTCAAGTTTATACTCAAAAGTAAGCCTGTATTCATTCACTGGTAGTGACTGAATCAGGTGAAGTAGAATAAGTAGATGAATAGTCAGACGTTTAAATTATAACGTTGATTATATCAACTATTGTCGCATAAACGTTAGAATTATTTTTTTTTATCTATTTTTTTCAAGTATTATTAAATATTAAATATTTTTAATGGAATAACAGGAAAAAAAATAATTTTATAAATTCTGTTAATTAGAAAAAAAAACATTTTTATTGTTGAGAAAACATTTACGTATTGAAATTTCTTTTTAATTTTATTTTTTCAAGTTTTCCAACTTGTAGAATAATAATTTGAAAGTATATACATTATTAAATATCAATATTTTTATAATAAATTAATTTTTGTTCATATTCGAGTCCGTTATTATTCAACTACATTTAATTTGATAATTAGCATTACAGTTACAGTATATATTGAATTCAATCTGTCTATCGTAATATCAATTAAACGTTCGTTATGATGTAATGTAATATTTAACGTCAGATTAATTGAATTTGAGTTAGTCAACATTGAAAGGTCAAATTTTCTTCACCAGAAGCACCAAAATTCTTTTTAATTCTTAATAATATTTAGAAAAAAAAATGAGATGTTTTAAATAAACAATCTTAGGTTCATATTTTTTTTAAAGTAGACGGTATTAATAATGTTAATGGTAAAACTTAGATGCATGAAACTATCTCTAATAATTTAATTATGTTCTCGTAGAAGTTACCTGTATTGGAGAAATTTAAATACATAATGTCTTTGGAAAAATTCAATTAATTGAATATTCTAAAGTTGAATACCGATTAATACAGTGAATACTTGATAAATTAATTCTTTACTTCAATTTGCATATAAAGAAAAAGTTCTATTCTTCATTGAAATACACTATATTTTAGTATAAAAATTTTTACAACTTTCTCATTTTCCATTTTAAATCCAGTAGTTCAGTTACTCTTTCATTTATACAAATATGCAAATAATTCATTTTCTATTCACAACAACATGCAGATATTAAAATACATCCATCTCTAGAGGTATGAAAAAAACAGCCATACAGAATATGTTCCGACATGCAATACATTGTTGAAATCGACACAGTTAACGAGAAAATGTATTTTTCCTTCATAACTGTTGGAAAAAAAACCTGTTGTTCTAAAATGAAAAAAAATTATATGACCTTGTAAGAGTATTGGACTCGTCTCGCGACCGTGTACCTAAAGAATATGGGGTTGCACGTATTGATCGAGACGCCACCCTCAACACGGTCACACCCTTAACCACGAGACCTCGTTATTGTGTCCTCGACGTTTACATGATGTAACATCCGTGATAGTAATCTGTAACTAAGAATACCAAACTATTTTAAGGTTGTTTCTTGGTTCTTACTTCTATGTTTCTCTTGTTCTTATGTTATTATTATCAGTTATCACCTGATAATACTATGTGAATTAAAAAAAAAAAAAAGCACAACATGTTGGCTATCCAGATATGTCCAACGCAATAATCTTGATGATGAATCGATTGCTTAAGCCTTGAACTTTCCAGCACCCCTGTCATATTCGATTGTCGCGTCCCATGTGAGTTGTTGAATCTGTTCATTCAATCGCTTTATCATGCTTTTGATAAATTGACTGAGGATTTTAAAAATTGTTCAATTACGAAAAAAAAAAATGATATAGTTTATTAAACGAATTTTTTGTTTTGATAATTTAGATGAATTTTTTGAGTTCCATTATGTCAGCCTAATATTTATTACTATTTTTCAATTAATACTGAGTTACTTTTTTTATTTGTCTTTGAAATGGCGTAAAAACGGAAAGATATGACCAATCAAAACCAATAAGCCGACGATAAATAATATTTTTTATAGGTTTAGAATCGACTGAAAATTTTTTTGCTTATTTTTCTAGAGGTTCAGAAATAATTTTTACTTTAAATTAAATACCTTGTTTGTTTCGTTGAAATATCTTAATTCATTATAGTTGATGATTAATTGTATTAATTCATTCCAACAATTATGAAACATTTTGTTTTTTAAATTTTTACTTTGAAAGACAAAGTTTATTAAAGGTAATAATCTGCTAAAATTTTCTCGATTTTAACCACAATGGAAGCTATTTAATATAAGAGGAACAAACTTTTACATAAAAAATCCATTTTAAACTTTTTTGACTTTCCAAGATATATTGAGTTTTGAGTTCATTTAAATTATTGTTAATTTTAATCGTTAGTTTATTATAGAATTATGAAATTTATCGTTGTTAGCTACTAAAGTGGGTGTTAACTTGATGCTGTAGAAAATTTATCAAGAAAAACTTTAATTCTTAATTTAATCATCCAACCGTTAACATTCTTTCCATTTCAAATAATTATTTCTATTTCAGTAATTTCATATTTCTTTATAAGACGTTTGCCCACTCAAGTGTCATTATTAAAAATATTTAGCCAGGAATACTTACATTTTTATCATACTCTACCCTATTCCCTAAAGTTTTTACTTGATATTGCCATTCTTATACTCGTTACTTCTATGTGGATGAGTAGTATACAAAAAAAGGCTCAATTGTTAAAGCTTTGAGAGCTTTTTTTTTCAATTGCCATTCGATATGGTTGATGAGTGATCAAACGATTGTATGATTAAATTAACACTGTAGAATAGATCCAATGTTAAGGATATGATATTATTACTTGAATTGTATTCAACATAAAATTCTCAAATATATCATGAAACAATTTATTTACGTTCCATGTCTTACTCTATTAATTCAGGTAAATAATCAGGTACATATCAAATCAATTTATTGAACTGGACTTGGTAACAATTTAAAATCATTTGTGCAACAACATTATATAAAGCTACATGCACAATTTTCTGTTACACTTTTGTTGTTTGCTTTGATGTACTATTTGTTCACTTGCTCTCTATATTCATTTCAATTCCTCTGTTTAGCAGCTACAATTAATAGCTTTTATTAACATAATTAATGAAAGTTCAAGTAATTCTGTACTGGAGTATGAAATTAGTAGTGGCCATAAATAAAGTCTTTAGAGCTGGATTATTTTTAATCTGATAGCAAAATGAGAATGTACATTTTGAATTTTATTTATTTTTCATTTAATTAAATTTTTATTATAAAATTTTTTTCAAATTATTAAAGTGAATTATTTACTCTACTTTTATATATAAAATTTTAAATGATTTAATTGAAATCTTTGGTTATTTTAATTTTAAATTTTGATTCAGAGTGTACAATAGATGCTTTAATATCCAATATGTATTAATTAATTTTTCTTCTACTCCTTTGTGAGTTACTAACCCACAGTAATTTTATGAATCAGTGAATGTAATAACAAACTAATTCATAACCAACCGATACTGCAATTAATTAAATAAAAAATAAAGTTTCATTTTTATATTGTTAAATTTAGATTGGTTATACTTATAATCTAATAAACTTTGTGCATTGGATTAAACAAGGTTTCTTTGATTTAATGGAAAAAAAACTGGAGCTTGATCAATTTATATTTACTTTTATTAGTTATCTATTTCCAGATCAGCTTATACTTTTCTCTAAAATAACTAAAAAATCGAAAATAATTTTAAATTTACAACGAAATTTTATTCTTCTTGATATCATGAAAGTCATTTTTGACATTTTTGATAAACTATTAATCACTTTATTGTCAAGTTAAAAAGTTATTTAATGATTTCGTCATCCCTAAAGAATTTTTATTTATTTATTTTTATTTGGGGGAAATAAAATGGATATCAAAGTGTAGGGTCAGAAAATATGTTCTTGAAAGGTGGCTAACCCGCCATCAATTCCGTAAGAAACACTTAAAGCTTGTGCTAGTATAACGAAAGTTGCCAACATGACGTCACGTTCACTAGATATCTAGGTCGGAATAAACGCTGACCTAAATCCTACTTTTACCTCCTTACTCATATACACGCTTTGACACCCTCTTGTACTTTTCGATGCCTGTTCAGGCTGCACCACTACCAAAACTTGTGCGCTGAAGCAGCAATTTCAATCCACAACCATCAGCTTATTGAAATCCATCTCTTTTCCTTGTTCTCGTAATCGATCTGCCTTGATATAATGACGTGCCAATGTCAGATCCAGCGCGCATGACTTTCAAGTACATCTTTTTGCTATCTGTATTCGAAATTTGTATATATTTTTTATGAATTTAGTCATTTTTTAATTATACCTTGTATGATTACTTTAGTTAATTGACCAACTTTTATATTATTCTTATGTTTTTTTTTTTAATTTCAAAATAAAAAAGGCTTTAAAAGAATTTCTACTCTTTGTATTATATTTAATATCTAAATTTTTTAAATGTCATCATTTTATATTTCATAAGATAATTAAGTTCTACAATTATTTAATTAGATTCTACAAATTTTTATAACACTAAAATTTTTTATTAATTTGAATTATCAGCTGCTACTTTAGCTTCTAGAAAGATGTTAATAATAAATAAAAAAAATTAATTTAAAAAACTGGATAAAAATCAATTTTGTGAAAGAAGTGGTATTATCCTAATTCAGTCAGCCACTTCTCGCTTATAATTCGTCATATAAAAGCTTTTCCTTGCGCTTCTTTTTCAGCTCGCATTAATCTTGAAGTTATCTTTATTTTTTAACTCTAAAGTAGTTTCAGTCTACATTTCTAGTGGTGGTTTTTATCATGATTGTATTAGACTTGATGTTTTGTGGGATTTCTTTATGTAGTTTGCATTTCTAATTTCTTTCTCACCTTCTTCTTAATCTTTTTTCTATTAATTAATCTTAATTTTATTCTAATGATTATAAATTCTCTTATAAATAATTATTAATTTATCTATCTATCTTGTCTATTTATTTATCAAAGTATTAACTAATTTATATCACAATTTCAACAAGTTATTTACTTTTGATTAATATTCAAGCAATTTAACATCTTTCAGCCAATTACTCGATACTAGCTGTCTCATGTATTATGCTGATAGTAAATAGTATATTTAAGGCTACTAAAATTATAGCTATCAAACTTGAAAGTTATTGGTGATTTTACATACGTCATACTCATCTAAAATTTATCTTTTCTTATTTATAATTGATGTCTTTTAATATTTCAACTACTCAATATATAATTTAAATGAATAATTAAATAAACTTATAAATAGATAACTCTACTCGATCAATAAAATATAAGAAAATTTTCTACCTTAGTGAACTTACGAAAAAAAAATTAGAGTTAAAATTTATCCTATTATTCACACATATATAATAAATACACTATCACTAATCACACATTACTTTCACAACATTTCCAAGCTTCTTTTGGAAGAAAATGTTCGAACGGTAAGTTCTATAAGTCGATGAAAAAGCTATGAAAAATTACTGAGAAGGATATTTTATCGTATCCTGAGTTGTCAGTAAAACTGACACGATGAGAATAAGCTTGACGTTTCAATGCTTTCTCACATAAGGAAATATTATTTTTATACAATTTTTAACTCAACGATCTATGATAATACTTGAAAATTTCTTTTATCAGTAGTTTTCACCATCAGCAAATAGCAGACTTATAGTTTGCTATAATAAAATAAATTAGTTTTAATTTATGTACACATTTATATTCTATGAACAATCTCTATCACATGTTGTTATTCAGTATATTTTACTTTCTCGCGAGAAGCACAATTTACTGGAATATATGACTGTATCTACGTACAAGAACATTGAAAATTATGAGGGTATTTCATAATAGTTAGGACATGAAAGTTTCACATTAAATTATCATTTACAAAAGCAGTGAATGAATAAATTTTTCTGACAACAAAAACAGTTTTAAACCAAAGATTTTTTATTACGAAATACTATTCTTGTTTTTTTGATGATGGATAAATAAATATATGGGGTATGTTTAAAAATTACTTTAATCATTTTTTAAACATATCCAAATATTTATTAATTTCCTGAACAAACTTCATATCAAATGCTGTTCTTTTTCTTTTTTACTACTAGAGAAAATTAAATCAATGAGAAACAGACGTTCGTGAAATTATTGAAATATATTTTTAATCCAATAGTCGGCTTTTTTGCAATAAATAATAAAGATTAAACAATAACATAATTAATTTTTTACAAAAATTACATCTTAATTTATTCATCAGTGGTAACCCACATTTCTTGATGAAATTGAACTAATTTCCTGCTGGAAATACAGTAGAATACTAATTGTATAACTGTCAAGGTGAGAAAAAAATGACAGGGAAAAAAGAAGAAAACAATTTATTTGCGCGTGAAAAATGTTGAAGATTCATGAAAAATATGGAAAAATAAGAGATGTTGGATTAAGAAAAGATTCAACTGAAGAAATCGTGAATGTTCCATTTTTTACGCCAAGACTCATGTTACGTCAGTAGTGTAAACCTTCTCTTTCAACCCCTATATTTTACAGATCAATAAACTCACATCCGCAAAGGAGAAATCATGTTCTTCGATTGTATTTAACATTTGACTTTAAAACTTTACATCTTAGAGGAAATATTGATCAATAAATATCCAAACATCCGAACTTTTTTTACACTTTAGCACTTATTAAAGATTAACTCGATACAGAAAAGTATAAAAAAGTATTTAATTAATTTAATGTCAATTTTTTTTCCAATAGACATATGGACTATAGCTATATTTAAACTGATATGATCGATAGAATTTCAAATTTTATTAACCATGATTTTAACATTTATGACAACTATTCTGAAGAAAATAAAATAGAAGAAACACTTTACAAAAATAACCAATTTTTTCCTCGTTTCCGATTTAATGTCTTGAGTTATATCTAGAGCAAAGAAGATATAAAAACTTTATATTTCATGTGCTCGTTCAACACTCTTGTAGGAAAATAGTATTTTTCTTAAATATCAATCGATATTGTCCTAGTCACTATATATTAACATTCAGTGTGCTCAGCTATAAAATTCACCATCTTATTCTTCTCTTTATTTCATTTACTCTATTATAAAAAATATATTATATATTGAAATGGATAATATGTCAGTCACAAAGTTTTTCCATGCTAATATTCATTGATTCCATCCAATGAAAAAATGATGTCTAGTCGTATTGAAAAATTTTTTTTTTTGATAATCTAATAAGTACATTATTCAATGCATTATGTTTTAATATCACGAAAGATATTTTTATAGTCTAGATTTAGAATGATTGACCCATGCTTAATCGCTATCTTTATTCCACTTCATTGATCCAATCTTTCAAGTAGTGCATTATATCTCATATATTCTAATACATATACACTCTTGGCCCTCTTGAACGAACAATTTCATCCAACAAATGCATTTTTTTCCAGAGATTGATCGCAGAGTTGAACAAAGAGCAAGATGCCTTTATTGCTAGTAAAAATACTGAAAAAGGTGAGGCTGTCGCTCCATGGGTTGGAGCACCAAATGAAGATGCGTTACGTGAAGAATGCCTAGCTCTATCAACTGTACGTAATGTAACATTTAAACTTAAAAGGGTAAAGAATTTTTTATTAATCATTTATTATCTTTTTTCTATAGGATCGTCGTAACTTTGTAAGAGCTCCACCACCAGGAGTAGAATTCGATTGGGATTTCGAAGCAGTACAACCTATGGCTCAGGCCACACTTGCCCTAGATCCTAACTTAGAGAGCATGAGGTTCGAATTGGTCCCCAAAGTGTAAGTTTCAAATTCTCTTTCATTGAATATTTAAGAAATGAAGTATAATCATTATAACTATAAATTTTTTATTTCTGGGAAATATTCAAATATTTATGTGGAAAAAGTGTAACTTGTATTACACGAAAAAAAAATCTAAAAAAAATTTTTAGCTAATATTATTAGTTTCATTATTGAGTTTTACATTTTAGCTTTTTTTAACTATGATAAATCTGTGATATTATTAACAAAAGAATATTTTTCATCGATTTGAAATTGACAAATTATATAGTGAAATTTTGATTTTCAATCAATCATTTTGAAGTTAATAAATAGACTCTTCTAAATAATGAATAATAAATTAAAATAGACTTAATAAAAAAATCTATAACAACGAATATTAATATTGATGATGATAATAACAGGATAAGTGAAGAAAACTTCTGGCGTAATTACTTTTATCGAGTCTCCCTACTTCGACAGAGTCATGAGCTAAATGCAATGTCTAGTTTAGCAGAAAGTAATCTAAGCGAGACATCGAAAGCAACATCAGGAGATCCATCGGCAGCAATCGATCACCCCCAAGGTAAAGTCTTAGAAAATAAATAATCATTACTTAGTACTTTTCTCGTGTATTTGCATTTTCATTTAATTATTACGTTTGTGAAAGTAGAAACAATATTTGAGGCTTTTATTGCACTTTATATTCTTTTAAATGATGAAGCTAGAATTTAATTTATATTAAAATTATTATTTGTTCAAATAATTTCAATTACTCACAGAAAGTTGATTAACATCGTCAGATAGATTTAAATAACTTATCAGGTTGAAATCTTTGATAATCATTTGCATCAACAGTGGGATTTGACGATAGTTTCACATAAACAAATCAATAAGGTTTGCGTTTACTTATTCAATGTTCATAGTATTTATTGATAGATTAATGGTATTTATTTGTTTGAACATTATTACAGTAGTTTGATGAATGTTTACAATTTATCACGCAGTTTGTTAGCTTGAGTATTAGTAATGCAGTAGTTAGATGCAAGTATTGTACCTGTACACAGCTCGAGTAGATAGCAGTGAAGAAGTTACAAAAGATGTAGTTACAACAAAAGTTGACCCTACCAGTTCCAACGGGGATGAGCTTATTCGTGACCATGTAAAAGTATCTGTTAAAGATGTGCAAAAGGTCAAAGAAGACATTAAAAAGTTGGCTAAATCGTCCAAAGGTCAGTAAATTTTACATAAGTTTAAGGGAAAAATAACTATAGTCTCTGGAGAGAACGACTTCAAGAAGAATTTTATATATTTTCCTTTAGAATCTAATTTAAAAAGCCTTTTTTATTTTATCAAAAAGAATTAAATAGTATTTTTACATTTTTACTTAAAAGAATATAAATTCAGTTAAATTAAGTGATTACAAAAACAGACTAATTATTGAGTTTATTATTATTTTTTAATAAGGTTAAATTAATTAAATTATTGTTGATGTAATATATTCTTTCCAATTATTTTTTGAGTAATATCTAGATTAATATCTATGGGTTATATTTAGTTTTCCCTTAGACCTTTTATCTTAATACTTCGTGCAAACTGGCAAGGAGCTCTGGAAAAGAAATGGATCTTTCTCTCTTAGTTCTATTATTTGTTATTATTATTTTTCTTTCTTCTATTCATCAAATCCAATGTAAGTTTATTTACATTACCATTTACGGTTCTTGGGTATAGCTCAATATTAAATATTAATCTAATCAGCTCCATTTAAACCAGTTCAAAACTTATAGAAATCAATTGATCAATAATTAAATGGTCTTATACTTATTATACTTTAAAAACCAGTATTAAAAGTAATAATACTTATAGAATTTTTTGCTGAAAGTTATTTAATTGAATGTTGCATTATATTAAATATTAAATTACTACGATAACTATCTCATGCTGTGGTGCCTACTGTAATCAACTGGCCAATTATCGTTGTAAGTATAATATAGTTATACTCTATCATTTAGCACGCTGAGAGTATCGTTATAATAGATTAAGTTATCTCCTGGTTACTCAAGCTTTGTCGACGTTATTTTTTAGAATTTTGCACAAGTTCAATTACATGAGTGTCTTTATGAAAAAGTAGTTGTCTTTCTGTTACAGTAAAATATTTTAATATTATTGAAATAGCTGTAAATTTTAAAAAAATATATCACTTTTATTCTATTTTGTCTACAGCCTAAGAAGAGGAGATCCCTATATATCATATTCCAAAATCACACCCTCCCTAGTACCTATTTATTGTTATCAATCTAAGAATTACTTCAATTCCTTTCATTTAATTCCATTCGTTAGTATATAAATAAAAATCCTTTACACACATCAGATTAAAAATTTAATTAATTGTTATCTTATTTAAAAATTTTTTTTTCTATTAATTAAATTATACAACATGTTATTAGTGTCATTCTTTATTTAATTGCGACTCGAGAATAATAACACCAATCATATACAATAAATCATGCAAAATTTTCGCAAAAACAATAAGTTGTATTGAATAAAATAATAATTGGATAAAATTGAAAATGTAAATTTTAAAATATATATATATTCATCATTTTTCGAATTGTACAACAATTGTAGGTAATTTACAAAATTTATGTAGATTATTATTAAATATATTCGATATTGCGATATGCGAAAGAAAATAATTGGATAAAATAAGATTTAAAATTATAACAGAAACGTTTAACTATCTGTCTGTCTGTCGTTCACTTGTCTACGTCAAAATTAGACTTATCTCGAGTGCGTTCTCTCTATGTTAAACATAAAATTATAAACTGTAAGTATAAAAAAAAAACCAAACAGAGAACACTGACGAAATTTTAAGAAAAACAAAATATATTAAAAATTATAATAAAAATAATAATTATTATAAAATAATATAAGAGTGAACTGTAAAGAAAAGTAAATTTATTAAATAGGTACCTAATTAAATTTGTTGAATGACAATACATGTTTTATTGAGTAGTAAATAATATACTGATTAATTTTTTGATTATACCCATGCAGTATAACAGAAGTGATATACAGTTTGTGGCCAATATACTGTGTACTCTATTAATTGCCTATTAGAGTATGAGTAGTCAAAAATGAAAACTTTGACGTAGGTGAAGAAAAGAATACCACAATATTTACACCAATACTACTAGGTGGATGAAAAACCGCTTGTGGGCTTTACAGAGTATTTGGTTGTGGATTTGTGCTTTTCAAGTATTCACTTGAACAGCATTGAATGCATAGAGAGCAAAAAAAACAACTAAATATACATATATGTGAATAGAGAATGTGGTATTTTAAACTATTGTGGAGGCTGAAACAAAATTGGTGTGAGCAGTTTGAGATGGGGGAAAAGAGGGCGATAGCAGCATTCAATTATAAAGATTTTTGAAAAAATTCAATTAAAATTTTAATTAACGTAAAATCAAATCGATTTGAAGTCGCAAAACGAGAACAGTAATAGAGAAAAAGAGAAAAAGATCCATTGCTGTGATTATTTATTTTTTTCATAAGTTATTTTGATTAATTATTATTTGCTTTATTTATAAACCTTATGTTAATCCTGCTATTTAACTTCCTGGAAAATCCTTCATTGACATTATTCCATTGAATCTACACGCAATTACGGTATTGTATCATTTATACATCTTCGTTGATACATTTCATTAAAATCAACACTCATTCATTCATATACACAACATACCCAATTACCCTCTACAAAGTAGCTACAACGGTGCTTGTGACTCTCCGCAGAAGAAGAATGGGAAGGTGAATTGGAAGCTGAGCTGAAGGACTTTGAGATTGTGCCGGGTGATAAAAAAGCTACAGCATCAACAACAAATACAACATCTGGAAAGGAAGACTGGGAGCAACAGATGGATGAGCTGCTTGGTGAAGATGAAGATTTAAAATGAATCAGCAGCCAATTAGGGATAATTGTGCTTGATTAATTTGTTAGAGTTGCAATGGGATATAAAGATGAATGTTGTTCATTGAAAAACAAAAATGTTTCTCTTTGACAAAAAAACATCTCAATGCTTTTAACACATCATAGCTCGTTGTACTATTGATCGCACAAAATTCATTGATGTGTAATAATAAATAAATAATAATGCTACGCCAGCCTCTGTACAGACAAAGATTATAATTAATTGTTATAGTCACTTATAGATAACTGAAAAATATATTTATTACAATTGAATATAGCAATTCAATGCGCGCCAGAGAAATATAAATGTAAAAATTGTTTAAGAAAAAAATAAGTTGTATGTTTTGTTCTGGTTTTTTGTAATTAATAATAATGATTTATTAGCGTATTAAGTAATTAAATAATAATATGCAAAAGCTTTTAACCTGCATTTTTATGTATCTTCTATGCGAATTGTTTGTAGTAAGAGAATTGAATTACTATGCGTAGAATTTACTGAAATTTCAAATATTTGTAAAGGGCCTAATATCATCAAGGAAAACCTATATATTATCAGTAATAAATTATTACTATCAAAAAAGAACTGGAAAGAGCTTTCTAATTAGAACAGGTTTGCATTATTGAAGGTGTAAAAATATTCCATTGTTTATATCAGTTATTTATTAAATCTTGATCAAACATGATCATTAATTTTGTTCATTGTTTTTATGGCATCGTGTTACTTCAGATGCAACAATATAATGTGATGATGATAATATATAACGTGAAAAAAAGAAAAAAATAGATGAAATTAAATAATAATTTAAATAAATTAAAAGCATGACTTTTAAAACGTCATATCTAAGTCTAATGAGTCGAGTTAATAGAGTTTTATTTGAATAATATTCTCTGATACAAAATAATTATATTTATCCGTAAGATTATACACTTCGGTACTTATGTATGATGTATATACACACCGTACACATTACCTATATAAAATATATGTTGTTGAATCCATTGAAAGTATGATATAATATATATAAATATATATTATGACTATGATTATTAATTAAAATATAATGATACAGCAGACTTTAATGAGAAGATAACTATTGAAAATAAATTAATATTATTGCGATAATGTATAACAATAAAACTCGTGTACCTCGTGAAACAATAAAATATCGCGTCAACTAATTTGTTTTATTTTTTAAATCCTTCTCTAATTAATCATCATTTATGTTTAGTTACACAAAAGATAACTTTTATGTTCATTTAGTGAATATTGCAGAGTATGTATTGCATACTAATTAAATTAAATGATTATTTAAAAGGCTTTATTATTATTTATTTTTATAAATAAAACTGTTTGTAATAATTGATACTTACTTAATTCAATAAAGAGGTAGATAAAAAATGCGTAATTTATGTAAAACAGAACTAGGTTTTATTTTTATTTCAAATAATTTGTTTTTTTTTTTTTTATTTTTTGAATTAAATTTCATTGTTATCAACTTGAAGAAAATTCTTTCATGTTTAAAAGGTCATTTTTTACCAAAGGATTTCAATTAATTACAATTTTAATTTAATTTTTGTACAAATTTGTACCTCAAGTAGAATATTAGAAAGAAATTTTTTTGTGATAATTTGCTATTTGTTTCAATTATGTTCAATTGTTGTCGGGGCTAAGTTGGCAGTAGTCTTCAAATTACCGCCATATGAGCCATCCTAATCACTGTTGTGTTTGTAATCGGTAAGGTTGAAATGTTCTGAATAGTTTTAATCCTCAAATTTAACATAAAAATTGATATTTCATCATTAATGGAACTTTAAACGTTCTTTTAATGTAAATATTGTTATTAGAATTAATTTACTTACGAATACATAGCCTTTCGATATATTTTTCTTAACAAAATAAATAAAAATTAATATAACCTTACTTTTGATATAATTTAATTTTGATATTTCCCTTGTCCTAATGGACTGATTGATGAATTTACTACAAAAATTTTATTGTCAACACGTACGTACGATAAGTAATTTATTAAAGTTGATATTTAATAATCAAGTTCTGTTTTTAGGTTATACTTTTATTAATTTCCTGTAAGTGATTATGGATCAAGAAAATGCATCAACTACAGTTGAAACTGCCAGTTCTTGTGATAAAGAATCAATTGATAATCCTACAGAATCTACAGGAATTAATGAAGATTCTCCAACCACTAGTATTCAAAAAAATACATCTGAAATAAATTTAGAGCATGATAAAGTATTTAGTGATAATTCTTCAAATCAAGAAGAAAAAACCAATCAATCCAGTGAAAAAGAAAGTGGTAATAAATCTGAAAAAGTCAATCAAGTAATAGGTAATAGTGGCTCAGTTGAACAAGATATAGACGTAGGTATAGAAATTATAAACGAAAATGTTACTGATGAGAAAAAAGAAACAAATAAATCTGAATTGACAAATTTAGAGCATGAAACTATTAGTACTACTGAAAAAGAAAAAGTTAGTGAACATAATGAGAGTGAAAATGAGAAATCAGAGAATAGTCAACCGAAAGAGAAAGAAAAAGATAAAAGTACAGAAATAAATAACGATAAGAATACGGATAATCTTGACACTGAGCCTCAAAAAGTAATCGAAGTAGATATTGAAAGAACAGAAACATCAACAGGAAGTGGAGATATGAAGGAAACAGACTCTGTAAAAAATAAAAAAAATTCGCCCACAGACGTGGATTCTGATACGACAGAGAAAGAAGGAACATCTTCAGATAAGCATGATACAGAGACTGAAAACACAGAGTTTGTTCATATAGTACAAGATAAACAAGATGAATCTCATATTGAAGGTCAATCAATTGAAGCTGAAGATCCCTTTGGCGGTGACAATATTACAGCTGAAGCAATTGAGACCGATGAGCTTGAAGTGACGAACATGAATTTTTGTAGGGTAGGAAATGGAGCGGACAATTTACAAGATGTTATTAATGCTAATAATAAAATATGCGAATCATCATTGACTGATAATGAAGAAACTAGTCATAAGAACAATCAAAATGAAGATGTAATTTTGGAACCATCAAAAACAAATATTAATAATGATAATAATGAATTATCTGCGGAAAATAAATCCTGTGATGACAACAATCAAGTGACTTCTAATGAAGATGCAGAAACTAATTCAACAGAAAATTCTAAAACTGATGGAAAAGAATTAGAAAGTAGTAATAAAGAAAAAAAGAAGAATGATAGTGACGATGTAGTTACTGTAACTACAGAAGAGCAATCGACAGTTTTACCTGGACAGGATGACGAATTATGTATTATACCAGATAGCATGAAAATTATTTTACCGCCACCAACAGGTTCACAAATAAGTAGAATTAAAGTTAAAAATGCTGATCAAATTAGTGAAGATTCATGTAAAATTACTGAACTTAAAACGGCTGAAGAGGTAGTATTAGACAGTAATTTAAATACTGCTGAAAAAGAAACAGATAGTAGTGATAAAAATTCAGATCAGCTTCAAACTGGTACAGCATTAATTCCTGTCGCAATAGATGATAATATTATTGATATTGACGATGAAGCAAAAAGCTTAGAAATTGAAGAAATAAGAGCTATAGAAATTTGTAAACAATGTAAAAAAGCAACTCAATGTAACATAAAAGTTAAAGTAGGTGCTGAAACTTATAGTGTATGTAGTAATTCATGTAAAAAATCATTTACAACAGAAAATAATAAAGCTACAGATATTCCAAGTGATGGAGCTAATTCAAAATTTGAAAAACGTTGTGCTGGTTGTCTTTTGATTGTAGAACCAAATGACGATCGTAATTTATCATGGGAGACAATGGAATTTTGTAATGAGGAATGTCTAGGTAAATTTCAAACCAAGTACGGCAGCTATTGTAAAAATTGTAATGGTAACGTAACAGCTATTAGTTTAGGAAAATATTGTGTGAGATTTGGATATGATGTTAGACAGTTTTGTTGCTCTTCATGTTTAGAAGAATTCAAAAAAGGACTTAAAGTTTGCAGTTACTGTCAAAAAGACATTAGTTCAGGTACTGATGGCTTTTTAGCTCCAGTAGGAGAAAAAGGACAATTTAAAGACTTTTGTACTCAATTTTGTATGGAAAAATATTCAAAAATGAATTCAACTGAACCACCGATTCCTGAAAAGAAAGCATGTAGTGTTTGTCAAGAAGAAAAAATTGTTCATTGTGAAGTCCAAATTGAACGTGCAGCGGCAGTTGCTATTTGTAGTGAACCGTGTTTTGCAGCTTTCAAATTTGTTAATAAAGTTGATCCTGATCAATGTTCCACTTGTAAAAAATACTTTGATAAAATCAACAAAAAAAGCACTGTTGTATTTTACAATAATGAAGCCCATACTTTTTGTGGCAAAACTTGTTTAAACATTTTTATAATTACACACAGAAAAATAGTTCCCTGTAATTGGTGTAAGGTAAAAAAATATAATTTTGATATGATTAAAAAAGAACTAAAAAATGGTACAGTAATAATGATGTGTAGTTTAAATTGTCTAACATTGTATCAAGTATCAATGAATGCAGTATCAGCAAGACGGATAAATTGTAACTTCTGTAAAGAATATTCTCAAGCACAGTATCATTTAACAATGTCTGATGCCACAATAAGAAATTTCTGTAGCTATGATTGCGTCATGAAATTTCAGGGTCAATATGCAAAAGCTCCAATTACGATTCCTGCTGGAGATGATGCTGCGCCAGTACCAACAGGGACACCGAAGCGAACGTATCCGGGAAAAATCCAAGCTTATTCAGTTAAAAAAACAGTAGATGTACAGAACCTGCCAATAGCAAATATTCAAAATAAAAAAACTTTACCTGTGATATCGTCAGTAGCAAGTCTAGCATCGAATGGACAAACTGTTTCAATTACTCAGAAACCAACATCTACCGTTACGGTAGCAGTGAATAATGCAAGTATTACAAATTCTACACCAACACAAACACAACAAGTCATTTACAAACAACAAGTGATAACAAGACCTCCAAGCCCTGTGAAAGTATGCAATAAAGTAACTCAATGTAAGCCGATAATGCACACTAAAGGTGTATCTGCCAAGCCTCATCCTTGTACTAAATCAACACAGACAGACGATATTCCATCTAAAATAGCAATTCCAATTCCAGTACCTATTTATGTTCCGTTTCCTGTTCATATGTGGAGTTTTCCTTTTCCAGTACCTGTGCCTGTTCCTCTACCTATTCCAGTACCTATTTTTATTCCAACTACTCGAAATAGTGCTAAAGGTATCTTTAAGGAGATCAAAAGAATACAGGAAAAAATGCCAGCTGATCCTTTTGAAGCAGAGCTGCTGATGATGGCTGAGATGGTTGCTACTGAAAAGAAAAAGACCGAAAGTGATTCAGATTCAGAAGAAGAAGCTGAAGCTGAAACTACTACTGAACCTGCTGCTGATTCTAATAATACTTTCGGTGAAGATATGTTACAAATAGCATTAAAAATGGCAACAGGAGAAATAGAAGAATCAGCAGTTGACTTAGAAGTTGCGTTAACACCCAATACAATTACTGCATCCCAGAATCCAGCTGCTCAATCTGAAGCAACAGATTCTGATACTCCTAATACACCGTCTACTAAAGGAAGAAAGCGAACTGTTTCCTATAAATCAAGAAGTGGACCAACAAAAAAAGGACGAAGAGCTAGTGCTAATAATGAACCATGTTTACCATCACCTTCTGAATCTCAAACACCACCAGCTCAGCCACCAATTATCGAACCTATCGAAAAACCAGATGCTAATATGGCTCTTAAATATACGTTTGGAGTAAATGCTTGGAGAAAATGGGTTGTTGCAAAAAATACTGAATTAGAAAAACAAAATGCTGCTGGTAAAAAAGTCAAACTGTTCAAATCTGATTTATTACAACTAACAGCTGATGAACTTAATTATTCCCTCTGTCTTTTTGTAAAAGAAGTACGTAAACCGAATGGATCGGAATATGCACCTGATACGATTTATTATTTATGTTTAGGTATGTTTAATTTCTTTAATTATAGTAAAGTTTTATGAAAAAATTATTTATATTGTTGTTTACTTACAGGAATTCAACAATATCTTTTTGAAAATAATAGGATAGATAATATATTTACTGATACGTACTATGAACAATTTACAGATTGTTTAAATGATATTGCAAAAAAATTTTCAGTCTTGTACAATGATGCCCGTAAGTTGTATTTAGTTTTATTATCATTTATATTCGCTATTAAACCCAAAAATATTTAAAATTCTTTTATAAATCCTCAGAATATATTGTTACACGAGTGGAAGAGGAACATCTGTGGGAATGCAAACAATTAGGTGCACATTCTCCTCATGTATTACTGAGTACTTTGATGTTCTTCAACACCAAGCATTTTAATTTAACGGTACGTAGAAATCATTAATTTATAGAAGACTTGATTATGACAGACGAGTTAATTTTATCAACATAAATACATGATTCTATTGTTATAACAGACAGTGGAAGAGCATATGCAATTATCATTTTCCCATATAATGAAACACTGGAAAAGAAATCCAGCTACACAAACTACTGGAGCCACTGGGAAAACTCCTGGTTCAAGAAACGTACTTTTACGATTTTATCCACCTCAGGCTGCATTAGGTTTGATTGTTTTTATCTATCAATCATTGTATTAATTCTATGGATATTTAATTTAAAATTTTACTAATTCTTTTTAGATGCAAACTCGAAGAAAAAAAAAGTATACGAACAACAAGAAAATGAAGAAAATCCTTTGAGATGTCCTGTAAAACTTTATGAATTTTATTTATCAAAATGTCCAGAGAGTGTAAAAACACGAAATGATGTGTTTTACCTTTTGCCTGAAAGAAGTTGTGTACCAGATAGTCCTGTATGGTATTCAACTTCACCTCTCGGTAAGGAACATCTCATAAAAATGTTGAATCGTGTTAAGATGGTTAAAGAGATCAACATTGCTTTATTGTCTACCTAGACTTTTTTTTATGACTTATTAATTAATAAACTATATAACATATAGATTTGAAATGATAAAGTGGGACGTTTAATATAATAGTATTAAAATTATGATTATGATTTTTTATAAAATAAAAACAAAGTGAAATGGACTATACATAAAAATTATTCGTCTCGAAATAAATGAAAAAAATAATATTCAAAGTTGTAAATATTTAAAGAATTTTAGATAAAAAAAAATCTTAACTTCATTTTAAGTAATTATAGCTCTCATTTTTTAACATACTTTCATGACTAATATTTATAATAAAAAGTATTACGTTGACGAAATACAATAATTATGATACAACCATGAATACTACTGACATTAGTCAAATAAATTGATTACTTTTTTAAAAAAGGGACATTCACACATTAAATGAATGAAAGATCATTATAACATTTTTGTACATTTATTAATACAGATTTAGAATCTTACGTATAAATTCCAGTAAATATTAAAAACTTCACGTTTAAAGCATAACAATCTATCCCTGTTTCTTTGGACGAACAAAACTTCGTTTACGCTGCAGTTTCTTTCGCGAAACTTCTAGTGAATGTAATTTCATAAATATTTCCGAAAAGATAGTTTGTTGTTCTTCTTCCGGAATAGTTTCTCTGTAAAAAATAAATTAGAGATTTAAAATTGAATAGAAAAAATGTTGTCATGAAGTAATTGATATTCTAATTACCTGTAAATTTTCATAAGATCATATGGTTCCCACGGTTTTTCATTCATCTTCATCTTCATCTTTCTTTTTCTCGTTAATTTATCATAATCATAACTTATACCTTTCAAGCCTTTTTGTTCCCACTTACGTATCCATGAACCTGCTTTTAAAGGTACGATTGTTTTATTTAAAGGAACTGGACTACCTTCTGGTAAAAGTTCCATTTCCATATCAACTGGGAAAGTACTATATTCGTTAGGAGCATCTCTCAAGTAAACTAATTCATCATCCAATCTTCTCTCGAGTCTAAAATATTAATCCACATAAAATATAATTTCATGTTATGTTTAAATTTTAAAAATTTTAATATTAGATTTTTCATTTTTTTTACTTTTTTACTCAAGAGTAAAAGTAAGCATAAAGATTACCTACTAGAAAATTCAAAGATGCGAATTATATAATTTCTATTTTAGAGAAAAATTATTGTTTTTACAGATACAAGAATGAGTTCAATAAATTTTATTTGCATAAAGTGATTGAGATTATTATTAAAACCTGTAGTAAAAGCCAACTATACCTTAAACATTCCACCTTCTGTATAGCTGGATCATATATGTGGAATATAATTTCAATACCTTGATGATCAATAACATTCCTAAGTGTAAAATTCGCTCTGAGTCCACATCCTTGTCTTTGAATACAAATCCCTACGAATCTACTCTTTTTTCCAGGAGTATGAGGATCAGTATAGTTAACAGCAAGAATTGATCCCACATAAAATTCAGGAATTTCAACGATTGTTCTTCTTGCTATCATATCCATCCTCTCGAGTTTTTCTCTGAGAAAATTGCGATGTTCTTGTACTGGATCCGGTAAAAATTCAGGATATATAAATCTGTACTGTGTTGGAATATCATCAGATTTTGTACTGGTTGGTTTATTTGTTTGAGTTTCATTTTCAGTAGATAACGGAGCTGAAGCTGCAGTAGAAAACCGCCTGCTTTCTTTGCCTGCCATAAAAAAAACAATAAAATATTTAAAAATGAATGTAAAACCGGCAAAATAGCATACACATGCACAAGGTTAAATGTTTCATTTAGTATTAAGCATAAAAATTGAAGGAGGTGATAAAGTAGTCAATAATTAGAAGTAATAATTATCAAGTTAAAAAATTTTAAGCTCTTTGAAATATGTTATCATACCAATTGATTGTAAAACATAAAGATTTTTCCAAATATCACGAGAAAATAATTTCTTCATCGCCATTATGACGAATTGGAGCAACAAATTCTTTAAAAAGTAGTTCCTAAACTTGACACAAGTCGCGTGATAGTAATCGAATGAAGTTGGCCACCAATAAATACTGTGAAGTCAGACAAAAATTACGTTTTACCCACACACCATTTAGACGCGCATTATCCACACTGTAACGGCCATATTGTGTTGGAATACAACGAGAGAAACTGGTGGATTAGAATCTGGTTATCTATCACGCCATTAAGCAGGATTTTTAGTTGAGAGTGTTAGAAAAGTATAGGATTATTTGAAAATTTAGATTTAAATGAAGTAGTTTCAATATTACTAATTTTTTACAAAATTATTTGTCAATTTTTCTCTAATTTGTACACTAAACTGATACTGGTTAGCTCCACGAGGTAAGGAACAAAAAGTATTCATACGTATAGTAGAAATATTTGATGAGGTTTCTTTATTCCTTCGTAAGCATATTTTTTTGAAATGTTCAAGTTTTACTCATATCAATCAATATTTGACTCAACTGATAATTATTGAATTCCAATAAAAACTGTTCAAAGCCTTAAACTTACATTTATACCTTCTATCTATTTCTCAACTTGGCTATTGTTGGTATAATGCGACATAAAAGATGGCCTTGGACACAGAATTGATAACATGTGCTCTGTGCTTTTATATTTAAGAATAAAGTTTTACAACAAAAAAAAATGTTGACTAAATTTACCAAATAATTGTCATACAATAAATTAAAAGTATATTTTCATTTTACATGATCTATAAATTCGAATATATACAAATGAAATTCATGTTGACAATAATAGTTTTTTTAATAACTATTATTAATGCTGAATATTTATCATTTTGTTAGTTACATTGGTGATAAGAGAAATAATGATGATAACTTGAAAATAACGCTATACATTAATAATTTAAATTCTGAACGAAATTTATACCATTATCTGTTGGTTTAAATTATGTCAGCTGATTTGTTTGAAAATTTAATGAGTCAGTGTTCTAGAAAACTGTTGAACCGAGGCATTAGTGTATGTATTATTTATTCCAATCCGGTGAAAATGGCTACTTCCGTTTTTTTTTATTTTTCACCTACCTGTAATATTTATACGTCTCTACACTAATAATTAACAATAATAAATAGTTCAAAATTTTATCTTGTAAATCTTAGCTTGTTTGATAAAAAGTCTAAGTAAATTTTTCGTTTCTTTCCAGAGAGTTAAATGAACTAATACAATGTACAACAGCAATATAGACCCTTGGGAGCCAGGTTATGGACCAGAACGCAGGAGCCACAATTCAGAGTATTCAGAATATCGTAATGAGTATCGTAGCAGTAAATCACCAGATTATGGAGATGTAGAACATCGTGAAAAGGATCGCCGGAGTCCAGAATATAGAAATCATCGACGTGAGAGAGACAGAGATCGTGATCGTTCACGAGAACGCAGAGATCGTAGTAGAGAAGATCGTGATCGTAGTTACAGGGACAGGGATGAACGTTACAGCCGTCAAAGAGATCGCGACTCTTCTGATAGAGAACGTGATAGGGATCGTGATCGCGATCGTTCTAGACGCGATAGAGACCGTGATAGAGATCGGGATAGACGTGGTAAGCGTGATGATCGTGATCGTGAACGCGATGACGATCATAGTAGAGAGAGTTTGGACATTGAACACGATCATGGTCGTTCTTATGGTTCGTCTATGGAGGGTGTCCACTACAAGTCACAGACCCCGAACAACACCATTATGATTCGGGGCCTCGCGCAGCATATTACCGAGAACGACGTAGGTTGTCAACTTAGTGGCCCACAATAATGGCCACGCGTGAGATGTTTACGTATCATCATGCACCAATGTTATCATTATGATGTTATCACAGGTGCGGCAAGACATCCTCAACTGTGGTCTCATGCCTAAGGACATTCGATTAATCCGGAAAAAGGACACAGGTATATGATTCACCAACATCTTTTTTTTTATCTCTAGTGTAGAATACTTTTGTATCATCTCCGATTTTATACTTAAAGTAACACTACTCTAAAGTAAAGTAAAACACGTGATCATCATGTAAAGAAAAAAAATTTATTTATACTTCTATTGAAGACCGATGAAAATAGCTTTCAAGTAGTTCTCATAGATTTTTCTTTTTATATACAAATAAAATATTCAAGTATTGATTACACATAAGGTAAGTATCACATTCAAACAGAAAATGTAAAAAGTAAAGAATGAGAAAAGTTTTATTAAATATTGTTGAGAGGGAATATTATTTTTAAAAAGGAAAGAATATTTAAATATCTATTCGAATATCAGAAATTATGAAAGCTTCAAACATAAAACACCAACTATTCAATAAATAAAGTCTTTTTAACATTACTTTTTCATACTTAATTATTTTATTTCTTTTTAAAAATAATTCTTCCACTTGATGTGAATATAAAAGAACTAAAATTTGAATAATGGATTAAAAAGAACAATGAAACAATATATTTGAAAAAAGTAAAAAAAATTTTAATAGTTAGAATCAATGAAAAGATAAAGTAAAATAATGATCGGAGATTAGGGTAGTTTTTGGGGGGGGGATTTAGGTAAAAGGATAAGAAAACAAGTGCTGAAACGAAGAAACTAAAAAGCTTCGTTGAAAAGACGATCTGTCAATGGTTGGTGCTGTGATTGCCTGCCCTCTCAGCGTAGAGACACCCAGGCAATACGTGGATTAACTCTGGATCTGTGTGTATTTGCTCTGTATAGGTGCTTCGCGAGGTTTCGCATTCGTCGAGTTTAACGCGACTCAGGAGGCCGCACGATGGATGGAGATGAAACAGGTAGAACGAAGTTCAGTCCACATACCCAACTGATGCGTTGCTCACGTGCTACCGACGCCTCGTGGCGGCAAGGGCACGGTAAAGCCGTCCAGTGGCCTTCCTCTGGGCTATGGCTCAACAACTTATCAAAGGCTACTTTAATCTACCTTTACCTAAATTATTTATTCTATCTAGGATTCCTCAATCACCTTACAGATTTTATATTAATCGCTCATTATTTTGGATTAACTTAATTTCGAGCGATAATCACGCTTTTATCCCATTGTATCAAACCAAATTATTCTGGATCTATAACAATTCATTGTAAATATTTTCATTTAGTTTTGCAATTAAGCATTTATTTATTCTTTAATTTTAAAAATAAATTATTATCCATCCTAATTTCATTTTCCATTACTCTTCATTATTGCTTTGACTTTAGTTAATTTCAATTTAATTTATCGAAATTTTTTTTAAATTAATTTTTATTATTCTTTAGAGTTCTTAGGTTATAGATCCATGATATTGAGTTTATTTATAAAAAAAAAAATACAGTAAAAATAAAAAAAAATTTTTAAATTTTCATTAAAAAAAAACAATAGTTATAATTAGTTTGATATAATTCATCAGCAACAAATTTTAAGGGACATAAAGAGGCCTGCGGAAGACATTGAACGGGATAACACTAAAATTCTCTGTTTCAGGGGGTTTTGATGCTACAAGATCAGTACCGTGCCTTGATGCAGTATAGTATACCAAAAGATAATCATTCCGATAAACCACCATCAAAAAATACTCAAGATTGGCACTGTGTTAAGGTATGTTTTATTTTTAAACAAATGAAGCTGATTTTTAGAATTAGCATTGAACTAATTAATTAGCATAACATCAAATGAAATGAGATCGAGAATAAATATGTTATTTTTGTTTCTAGTGCGGAGCTCATAATTTCAAGAGACGAGAAACTTGTTTTAAATGTTCAGCTTCAAGAGCTGAAAGTGAAGAAGGTGGGGAAGGAAGTGATGAGATAAGTCCACATCCAACAAATATAGTTCTACTTCGTGGTCTAGATGTTCTAACAACAGAAGATTCGGTACTTCAAGCGATGAAAAATGCCTCATCGATGCCAATTCGTAGTATTCGCATAGGCCGCGATAGTTTAACTAATACATCACGAGGAGTCTGTTATTTAGAAATGAGTAATGTCGTAGATGCCATGTATTTGCACACTGCACTGACGAAACAAGGACTTTCAGTAGATGGTAGAAAGGTTGAAGTAACTTACTGTAAACTTCACCAAATAAATCACACAGCCATGTGGAAATCTACTGATAATCAGCCACAGAGATATACGCTAGATGATGTTGCTCAATTGGCTGAATATAGTGCCAATATGTACGCAAAAACTCCTGCTCAAAAAGCACATTATCTTCAGTACTACACGCAATATTATCAGAATCAAATTATGCAGGGTTCTTTAATTACTTTACCATCACTCAATCAGACTGACAGAGTTAATGCAGCAGCTGCAGTTGCTCAATCAGCTATTCAACAACTTCAAGCATCTAAGAAGTTAAGTGATGCCGAAGAAATGAAAGGAAGACCAACTCCTACAGCACCAAATAGCACAGCCTTAGCTAGTGGACGTGTTCCGGCTCATGCAAGCGATGGCAAAGTTTACTGTAAGTCATCTTAATGCTGAAAGCCTTGTAAAAAATTAATTATTGAGTATAAACAATGCTTGATTATAAATCATATTTTTTGTTAAAAAAAATCATCTTCATTAATATGTATTAAACAAGTTTACATCTTCTTTATTGATTAAAATTTTTTTTAGCTATTCCTGATGTCAGTACTTATCACTATGATGAAACTTCTGGGTATTATTACGATCCTAGTACTGGATTGTATTATGATTCGAATTCACAATATTATTATAATAGTCATACACAACAATTTCTGTATTGGGATGCTGAATCATTTTCTTATCAACCAGCCAAGGTAACATTATAATATAAATTTAGCATAATAGAATAATTAATTTCTTCAAAAAATAGTTATGTAAGCTATAACATAATACATTTATATTACAGACAAATGTTGGAGTTACGGGTGTAGCAGGAACTACATCATCCACAACAATAACAACTGTAGACAATGCCAGTACATCGAATGATGCAAATTCTTCTGTGATGGGTGGCCAAGAGACTTCAAAAGACGAAGATAGCAAGAAAAAAGACAGTAAACAAGACAAAGTAAAAGTAGCTAAAAAAATAGCAAAAGACATGGAACGTTGGGCAAAGACGTTGAACCAAAAGAAAGAAAATGCAAAGAGTAATTGGACCTCGGAATCTTTAAGTAATGAAAATTATCAAGGTTTTGGAAGTGGAGCAGCTGATGCTGGCTATGCTATTCTAGAAAAGAAAACAGTTGCTTCTTATCATGAAGAAGAGGATCCAGGAAATAACAATGGATTAGTAGCAGCTTACGGAGGAGGTAGTGATACTGATGAAGAAATTGAAGACGTTCAACAAGAAGAACGCCAGCATACAGACTGGATAAAAGCTTGCCTGTTTATTATGTAAACGCCAATTTCCAAGTAAAGAAGCCTTACTTCGCCATCAACAATTGTCTGATTTACATAAACAAAATCTTGAACAATGGTATCAAGTACGGGGTTTAGATCCTAATGATCCTCAACAAAGAAATAATAAATATCGAGATCGTGCTAAAGAGCGAAGAGCTAAGTATGGCGAACCTGATCCACCACAACCTAATAAATTGAAAGAAAAATATTTAAAGACCCGTACGGAAGAATCAGTAACACCTTATGAAGAACCAACTAGAGCGGGAATTGGATCTGACAATGTTGGAAATAAATTGTTACAAAAAATGGGCTGGAGTGAAGGTATGGGTTTAGGAAAAACTAATCAAGGCCGTACAAGTATTATAGAAGCTGAAAGAAGAGTTTCTACAGCTGGTCTTGGAGCTAAAACATCATCTTATAATGCCCTACCTGGAGATACGTATAAAGATTGCGTGAAAAAAATGATGTATGCTCGTTATCAGGAATTATCTGATACGTAATATAATTTTAATCTTTAAACTAAGCTCAGTAATTACTACCTAGGTATATCAATTTGTATTTTTCATAGAAATATGCAGGTATAACAATTTATTAATTATTTTTTATCGATTGAATTAGATAAAAAATTTTCAAAATCACGATTTTTTGAATTTCTTAAAAAATACTTTTTCATACTTAGTCTTATTTAGGCAGCACTTTATTTGACAAACTATATAATTTTTCATATAAATAATGTATTATGATAAAACTACTTCTATTCAAAGTCAATGATTTTGAAATTCATTTTCTAAATTTCTTATTTTTTTATCTATTTATAATTTACAATATGTTACCACCAATAATATCGATAGTATAAAAAATAATTGTTTTGTGTCAATACCAAGTATTTATTTGGTACATAATAATGAAGCATTTTACATCGCAAGATTTCTATTAGCTGCCGAAACAATACATCGTGAATGACTAAATTTTCAATGTTTTTCGATAGTTGTATATAAGAAAAAAGAAAAGCTTTATCTATTGAAGTAATAAACATGATAATTGCAACTGATGAATGAAATGATAAATAGTTAATTCATGAATACATTTCAACTAAAATTGGTATTCATCTATTGGAATGTATCACAATAATTCATGAAATCTTCGTTTGCATCATAATGTAATCATTGTCGTAATAAATAAAATATTAATATACAACTGAATATCTTTCGTTCTAATTTACATCTACAATCAATTTAAAAAAAAATGTTTATGCTTGATTTTTACCTCTATATTTAATGGAGATTAATTATTAATTCTAGTTGATTTCACGAGCATTTTATTATTCATTTTTTCACATTTTTAACATTCAATAATAATAAATAAATATATCGAACTGTACATTGAGAAAGCAATAGTATAATAAATAAGTAAATCTTAGTATTTAATACATCATGGTAAGCAAAGTTTGTTCTTCGAGATATGTTCACATATTGAAATTACTTCTTTAGTATATCCAGTATAAGTTTTTTTACTATTTTATGATATGTTTCTATATATAAAATTAAGTGCTATTCAAAAACATTTAATATTTTTGGTATGAAAATCGGACTATGATTTGCATAACCCTTATTTTAACTGAATTAAACATCAGCTAATATCCATGAATAAAGTGGACGTAATTCATGATCTAAAACTTTGTATTTTAAATTATTAATACCATCAGAATCATATCTTTTCGCTGCACTTTCTAAATTAGCAAATCTCGAAGTACTTGGAGCTTCTTTTTTATGAGTTAACATATAATATTGAGCTACATCTGGCCCGAAACGTATCACCTGAAATTATGAAATGATTTTAAATTAATTCGCAAGATAATTTGAAACTTGATAAAAAAACAAGCTATAAAAAATATTATAAGTACCGTTAGGCCTCTACTTTGTAATCGACTGTAAAAGTCGTCATCTTCACCACCCCAGCCAAAAAAAACATTAGAAAAGCCATTAACTTTTTCAAATTGTTTACGAGTCATAGCTATAGCTCCTCCAAAGAGTCCAGTATATGGTAAATTATATCTAAAAGTATTCACACTAGAACTCATATGTCTTGGCATTTTTGTACATGCATAAATATTGTTTGGATTTTGTGGTATTAAATCAATGTCTTGGAATATAAAACAATGAAAATCGTTGATTTTCGTTGCTTCTTTGAAGCCCACATTAAACAGTTTTGCTCGATTAAATTCACTTAATGGGCTTTGCTCTATTACAAAAATCCTATAATCTAAATTTTGTCCTTGGAGAAATGGATGTATATAATTCATGAAGATATTTAATTGAGCTTGACGATTACGATAAGGTAGAATAATGGCTACATTAAATAGTGAGTGGCAATTAAGTGGCTTCCATTGTCCTCCAGGCAATATCCCAAGTCTTCTAGCCATCACGGCAGGATCCTCTTTAGGATTTTCATCTGGATACCATAATTCTGAAGCTTTTCGTCCACGAATTGCTATTGAACAAGAATTCTCTCGAGAATCATAGAGTTTTTCAAGTTCGTGATAAATATCTTCAGTTTTGATAAAATTATAATGAGATGCAAATCTTCCAGGGTGCAGACAGTAAAACAATACTAAAACTCCAATAACAAAATAAGATATCCCACGTGCATGTCCATAGAAAAATGCTATGAACATTTTCAAAAAATTTACAAAATTTCGTGACATTTTTAACCTATTTTGCACTTAATTAATCAATAATGTTATATTGTTCATATATTTTTATACTTAATTCTTTGAATTTTTCCATTGAAAAATTACCGGTTTCAGTCAATATAGCGGATTATTTTTATAAAATATATTACCACTTCTTTGATAAACAAGTTTTACTGACGATTATTCATTAATGTCAACAATACGTTTTGACTAGAATCGTTTTCTTTGTTGGTTTCAATTATTACATTTTTAAGTAAAGAGCTATTGGACACCAACTAATCGAAAGACATTACGTGAAATGATGATTTCGTATTTACTTAGAAATTTAGTCTGAACATGCGATAAATTTTATCAAAATTTTAAATAATGCTCTTTGCCTCATGAAATAGAGTAGCGTTATGCTCACATAACCTTTAAAGGTACAAAGCAATGTCATCAACTTGTGGAAGTGAAACTGTACTTTTGATAAATTATATTAACCTAAAGAAGAAATTTTCCAATTTAAGGAAGTTTGTGTAAATTGAATAAAGAATTATTCATATTTTCTTTCAATTTAAATTATATACTCAAAAAAAAACTATTTGTCACTGATGGTAACACAGCTCATAAATGAAAGCGCGCATAATTTTGAATATTGTTAATTATTTTTCTGCGTATCTATATACGGACACAGGAAAGCAGCATATTATCGAAAAATTATAAATGTAAATTAATGTTACTTACGTAAAGATATGCTTCAAAGTTAAAAGGCATTGATTAAAACATTTTACTTACACTTGCAATGAGGAAGTGCTCAACATTAATTAATCCATTTATGCTAACTTTTACAAAAGCAAAAAATAAACTTGAAATCAATACAAAAATGAAAGTTTTAGTTAATTCATTGAACTTTATTTTGTGTGAAAAATGACAAAATAATTTTTTTTATTGTCATATGTGTAACAGTAATCACTCTAGTACAAATTAATAAAATTTAGTTATCCGGTTCTTTATAAAAAAAAATGGGTTTCTTGAAAACACATTTGTCACTTAATGTTATTTTATATTAATTATTAATTCAGTCAATAAATAATGGGGAATTCTGTAATAAAAAATATCAAAAATCTTATTTAACCAAACATAACTATTATATTTGTCATAGATTTGTCATATTTCTATATATTGCAATCATCAATGAGTATGTGTACACTCAAAAATTTAAATTTCATAAATATATCTTGCCATAAATATAATTCAGATATTTTAATTTAACTATTTTTTGTACCTTGGAAAACTGTTATATCTTTGTACTGTAATAATTTGTCAATTAACTGATATTGCTTGGTTTAAAGTCATTGCATTAAAAGATGTTTTACGTGCGTTTAAATCATTAAATACGGTCAAAGCATCATCAACAAATCTATCTATCATTTCCGGAGTATGTTTCGGTGTAGGTGCTAGACGTAATTTCTCTTCCCCCTTAGCAACAGTTGGATAGTTAATTGCTTGGACGTAGTGACCCTTTTCTTTTATTAAAGTATCGGCAATTTGGCTGCACAGAAGAGGGTCTCCTACCTGGAATTAGACAATGAGATATAAAATTATTATCCTATAATGCATCTCTTTTAATACAATGAGATTTTCATGTAAATGGATAGTACTTTCAAATTGATTTTAGTCATTCACTTGTATTGTAAATCATTTTAGTCGACAATATTAATGAATACTCAAAGATAATAGTCAGTTATTTCAATATTAATAATAAATCAAGCATTGGAGGACTAAAATGATATTTAAATTTTCAAATAAATAATAATCTTAAAATTGGTCAGATATAAAAGTTTGGTGAAAACTATTACCTTAATAGGAATGATATGAGATGGCGTTGGCTCTAGAGGAAGTCCAACAGAAAGCAGTTTTGATTTCATGTAGGCCACATTCTTTTGATGAGTTTCTCTTAAAGCCCGACCCTCATCGGAGGCTAAAATTTCAACTGCTGTCAAAGCACCGTAAAGAACAGTTGGAGGTAAAGACGTAGTAAAAATAAATCCAGCAGCATAACTTCTTATCATATCTATTAACTTGGAAGATCCAACAATATATCCGCCTATATTTCCAAATGCTTTACCTAAGGTTCCAGAGATAATATCCATTTTATCAAGAACCCAATCTCTTTCTCCGATACCTGCTCCTGAATATCCATACAAACCAACTGCATGGACTTCATCAACAAATGTCAAGGCCCCATATTTTTTTGCTATATCACACATTTCTTCTAAAGGACATATACTACCATTCATGGAATGTACAGTTTCAAATGCCACTATTTTAGGCAAGGAACGATCAACACTTGATAATAATTCTTCAAGGTGTCTTACATCATTATGACGAAATATATGTTTTGGCACTCCACTATTTCTAATTCCTTGAATCATAGAAGCGTGATTTCCAGCGTCAGAAAAAATATGACATCCTGGTAAGCTCTTAGCTAATGTAAACAACGTTGAATCATTAGCAACGAAACAAGAAGTAAATAGAAGTCCAGCTTCTTTTTTATGTAAGGCAGCAAGTCTTGCTTCTAGTTTTTCATGACCCATAGAATTGCCTGAAATGTTACGAGTTCCACCTGCACCTGCCCCGAATTTCTCTAAAGCCTCACGAACAGCTCCTGTTACGGCAGGATGACGAGACATTCCCAAGTAATCATTGGAGCACCACACAGTTATAGGTTTCTCACCCCAAGAATATTCTACAGCTGATGGAAAATTTTTAGCTAGTCGATTGACTTTTTTAAATACCCGATAAGAATGATCTTCCTTCTTCTTCATAATTTGTTTATGAAAGAATTCTTCATAAGGAAAAAGTTTTTCCTCATTCAAATCATTTTCCGGAATCTTTTCAGGAATTCCTAAGTTTATAATATCTTCCTCAACAGCAGGGCTTGCCTCTATTATTGCATCAGGCTCTTTAGAAAGGAAAGGACATTTTTTTATCGGTGAAGTCTTGCCAAATTCCTCAGTTTCTACTGATGTACTTGATAAACGTGACATTACAGGACAGTATTGACGATAATTAGTCAACAATGATGCACTATAATTACGAACATAGTTCGCTGATAAACGTGTTAAGAATGGGCACGGCATTGTGTCAATTTTTCCTGCAAAAACAATTTATTTCCTTTATATACTGATAGCAATGAGAGAGTGATTGTGGTTATAATTAATCGGTTAAATAACAGCCGTTTCAAATGTTATGTAAAGAGTGTAGATGTTGCAAAATTATCAATCATATGGAGCAAGGTCTACTAACGCAAAACTTGAAGAATATTAAAGAGAAAGTATATTGAAAAATGAAAGTCACATAATACAGATGGTACAAACATTAATTTTAAATGAAATTTCAAATTACCTTTGATGGCGTTGGAAAAATGATAGCTGATCTGCAAAATTCCTTGTCTACCCAACTGTAAATGAAGAACACAATTTAAAAACGCTTTTAATTAATCAATTTTCTATTTATGTCAGAAAATCAGATGGTTCACTCTTAGTTTCCAGCAGTCCTGTCAAGTGACTCGAATGTGTAATCTGACTATTGCTCCACTCACTATTCCCCATTCAGGTCAATCTACCTAATATTTGTATTGCTCAAGGTGAAAATATTGACCGATTCGAGGAATCGAGAGAACAAATATCGATTCAAATAATTTAAAAACTTATTGGCGCCAAAAAATATGAAATTTTTTCACTACTTGATATTTTTTTTTAAATGATATTTTAGACATGATTCAGCACTTCAATAATACAGAAAATATTTTGTCAAAGTACTTTATTTAATTTTGATGATTGAACAAAATAAATAAATGTATATAATTTAAATTTCCTAGCACAAATGCAATTTAATCAGGATATGTAGGAAATTATAGTATAATTAATTTTTTAACATTTATTATATAATAATCTTTTATAACATTGGTAAAAAAATTAATTGGTGTGCCAGAAATTTTAATTTAAGAAAAAAATCAAGTAATACAAGATAATATATCTCTGACAATACATATTTGTGTAATTATACAATATTTCAGTAAATTAATTATAAATGTCAACTAAAATTTACTAAACATTATAATGTTATTGGGGTAATTTTTTGAAAAATAACTATACAAATAAATTTTTTGTAATAAAAAACTGATATAATTACCATTTTTATTGCTTCTCACAACAGAAAATGTATTTTCCTCTAAACTTGGTTGTAATTTACTTTGAAATGAAGAAGATTAATATACAACTACTGTCTTTAAATAGTTCCTCTCTACAAATGACCTGAGTACCGATCTATCTGCAACTATAACCCGAAGACTCGTGATTTTAACTACTAAAGAGTGGGATTTTAAAAGAAAAAGTAGGGATTAATGAATTCTGACATGTTCCAATGCATACGAAAAATGATGACTTGAACTATTGAAAGAAATTAAATAGTTCTTGAAAAGTAATTTACACACGTGAATATACATCAACCAAATACATCACAGCTGTTACTATATTGACATCATTATTCATTTATAATTATAGATTCAAACATTAGTAATTTATATTTAATTTTTGCGGAATCATATAAATGAATATGAACTTCTAGTATTCATGAATGTAATTCGAAATAATGACATTTCATGAAAATTTAGGAAATTCATAATTTCCCGCTTATCTAAAGTGCATCATAGTTCCAGTTTATACAACTAGATGACAGCTGTCTTCAGAAATTCAACTGCACATGCGCATTATGTGATACTTTAAAAAGGTAAACATTGAAATTAAATGATTAAATGAACTGTAAATGTTAAAATTAAATTACATATACCTATCTTAATAATGACTTTATTGAACTAAAAATATTTATTTAACAAACTAATCATTTTATTTATTTTTTTACAAATGAGTACGTGTGTTCTGATAAATCTACATTTTGTGTATAAAAAATCAATTTAAAAACAATAACCACAATCTTTCAAATATCAATCAAATAGTAATTATAAATTTTAATATTATTGAAAACTTATTATTAGAGTATTCAGTAATGAAAAAAAACATGTCATTATTTGACTTGTAACAGAAGTTTTATTGTTTCCATAAACTTTTAAACGGTACGTAATTGAATACTATTCATATGTGTATAGATCAACAATTAGCCACAAAGTAAATTTGGAAATTCAAATGGTATAAATAAGTTTCATCAAGTTATGGTTTTAGTTTCTCGGAGTAAAAAAACTATCGAACGCTCTTTGTATATTATATTGTATAGCGTCGGCGCGCAAGCAATTTACTTTATGCGCCTCTTTCTATGGTAGACCCCTTCAGGGTCGTCCATTACGGACATCTGAACTGATACTCTCATTGATTCTCCGACAATTTTGTCGAGCAGATAAAACGAAGTGGAGAGGCATCAATTTTGTTACTCACAGTTTTTACGTCGTTTAAATCAGTCATTCTTCAATTGAGAAGAGTTATCATTGCCTTCAACTAATACATTGTCATTCGTCAATTCTTGTAAGTAACAAATTTCTATTGTTCATTTTTCAAGTTCTTGTTTCATTGAAAGCTTTTATTTCTTATATTATAAACAAATGTTGATTTTAAATTACCAATTAATGATATGTAATGAAAATTTTGCTTTTAAATTAAACACGTTATTCGTTATTAAAAAATATGAGCTGTCACTTGAGCTATTTGAATTAATCTTTATAAGCATACAAGGCTGTTTAAATACTTGATAAAAATTTTGTGTCGTGCTTAAAGTCACGATCGATAGAATTTTGTTATTATAATTCTAAGAAATACATATTTGGTTAAAAAATATACATAAATTAATTTTTTTTCTGTATGATAACTTTTGTTATCAAATAAACGCCTACTTTGATAATTTTCAAAATAGTTTCATTGTTCATTTAAATTGGTCAGCTGCACATGACACTCATGAGTTCATGACCCCGAATTACGTCACAAAATCATAGCGTGTAGTTAGTGGTTTTTAATATTATATAAAGAACTCTATTTTATTATTGCATTAGAATGTTTTTCTTCAACTTTTATAGATAACCCAATTTTTTAGAAGAAAATTAATCCTTAGCTCTTTATTGTGTTACTTTTATTGACTCAGAAAATGATGAATCACAATTATTTTTATTTATAAACATCTACCATTACTGTTTTGTTTGCATGCAACTCATATAATATTCAAGGTAATAATAAAAATTTGTGCTGATAATTATTCATTATGCATATTTAAAGTATGTACATTGTATGTTTCGAAGTTAAAATTTTTTTTGCATGATCTTTATTCAGAAAATAATTCGTCTTAAGTACAAAAATAACGCTTGAGCTGTCATATTTCAATTTGAATTAAAATAAACTTTTCTAAAAAAATTTAATGTTCAATATTTTTCTTTGTTCTCATGTATGAAATTAATTTTTTTAGCCATAGTTTTATCATTTTATTAACTAATTTCGAAATGATTGTTCTTTCATAAGATATGAATATCTTTTTTAATGATAAGATTCTATAAACACCTCTCTTTATCTTTTTCATATTTTTTACATACGGATGAGAAAATATTCTAGGTCAATAATTATCAGTTTCTTTCATTGTCATAAACTTAAACAGTACGTCAATATGAAAGATTACATATTTAGTCATTTACTCTTGTTCTGCTATTCAGGATTATTGTGTTACATGAAATGTTTGCAAAAGAGAACAAAGTAAAATAATGGAATACGACCAGAAAGTAAATAAATAAGCCTGGTGACCAATTTTACATATGATTCATTGATAAATACCATGATCGAATCTCTAAATCCTTTCTTTCCTAGTTTTAACATGAAATAATATTTTTAGAAAGGTTCAATAACCTATTGCCCATGCCAATTTACTCAGAAAGATACTTTTCAGTACAGAAGAAATTTTTTTTTTGAGCTTCAAAATTTAAGTTATCAATGTGAATGAGCATTTTAAAATACAAAAATAAATACTTTTGCTGAAGTTCAAATTTTGCAAACAATTTTTAAAAATATCATCCGATGTTTATGTATGTATTCAGCTGTTTACAGTCAATGGAAATTTCAGTTTTTCTATTAATTTTTTAATTGAATTTTCTGCAAATAATGGAGTGACCTAGTCTTATGTATAGCAGGCTGTCATTATCCATTCTATCCAGATGTAGAAACTTTATTCAAGTATATGTCAATTATGTCAAGATTAATACTAAAAACAATATAAATTCTGTCAAACAATATTTTTCTGAAGTATATTTTACTTTTAATTTATTCAAGAATTCAATATTTATTAATATTTAAAAATAATACTGTTATTAAAATTCAAGGTATCGTTATGAAACGATACATTTCAAACATTTCCAATACTTGTTTAATACTAACTGGGTTATTTTATCTGTTTTTTTTTTAATGTTAATAACGATAACAGCAAATATTTACAAAAAAAATTTTGAATTAAAAATTATTTTCTCAGTTATATGGAAATATTTGACAATAAAATACTTAGTCATTCAAGAATATCAAAAATCGTAGAATACAAAAGAATAATTTTGAATGAGAATAATGAGAAAATCATTGAATCTTTTTACTCTATGCTAACTATTATTATATTAATAATAACTTATATTTTGTCTTGAGTTGATTATTTTATTACATTAGTTAATTATGGAGAAATCCAAATGATGTATTGTTTTTAAATTTTTCATTTGGACCCCATTATATTGAGTTAAAAATAATTATCCATAATTTGAAATGCATATGTCAATATGATTCACTTCAGTGCTGACTAGACAGTAGACATTAGACTTATCAAAACAAAGTGCGATTTTGTTTTTTCTTTTCAAATTAGCATACATAAACAATGGTGCATTAAAAAAGACAAAGCCGCATACATACCAGCACTAAATGCACCCATCAATAAAATTATAACACTTAAAACTGTTTTGTCATTATTGTGAAATAATAAGTATTACATATTTATCATTATGAGTAAGAAATATAATCAATTTCAAGAGATAACTTTTCGACATTTTTTCTCTGACTCTGTAATCTGTATGTTATTAGTTTTATATATTATAGGTGCGTAATAACGCATATTAAATGTTCTTGGACCTCAGAATGACTTCATTTTTGTTAGTAAACAACGTAGTTTATATTATGTAGTATATGGAAGCATATTGCGTAGATACGTCCAAACTTATTTATAGTGTTATCCAAGTTGTCTGGCATTTCAAAAATTCTAGTAAACATTTGATCAAATGAGGAAATTCATTTTTCTAGGTGAATGTGTGAGTCTATTACCTAATATTTCATTAGAATTGGTTTTTAAAAGATGCATTACATGCGTCAACACCTGGAAAAAAATTGTTTACAATTACAAAGAAAGAAATAAAGTTTGAATAAAATAATTTCAATTATTACCTATGCTATGAATGAAACCTCCTGCAAATGATTGATGTCATGGACTGCCTCATCTGTTCGTATTCTGATAATTAGTACAATTACATATGCTCCAAAAATTTTAATAAAAGTTTTTTTTGAAGGGAAATTCTAATACTTTGTAATATTAATTTTTTAATAGACAACCAATTATGATAAAATAAAATATTAGTATGTGTGCTTCCAAAATCAATCTTATTACTTTTTATAATACTGTTCACTACCAATTATAGGTATACAACAGATAATACTTATATTAATGATAAAGTATCATTTATTATCAGTCTTTATGAATGAATTACATTAAACTTGTTTACAATATAAATTTTTTCATAATTTTTCATTTTATTAATTGAAATTAAAATACACACTGCTACTTAAAATATGTAATTTATGGATCACAACACGGATATCATTGACACGAAATAATATTTTGCATAACCGTAAAATTCATGCTAATTTTTTCGAATTTTTGTGGGAATAAAAATCTTACTTATGATGACTATACCGTTATTTTTAATTTTATTGATTTACGTTTGTTGTATAATATATTTTGATAATTTGTTATCAAAAAAAATTATACTATAAAAGCGTGGTTTATATGAGGGCTTCTCTTTAAAGAAGAATACCTGCATCGGCTGCACCATAACAGCATAAAAAAAATAGAATCCAGTGAACGTTCTCGAGAACAACGTGAGAGAGTGGTAACGATGGTTACTTACCAGGCTGAACACGCGGATGCTCGCTGATGTGCACGTGATTCCGGCGTGGGTCGATGGCAGCATTGACTGTTTTTTCCCCACTCTTTTATCCTTTTTCACACTTGGCTTTTGTATTCGTTGTTATTATTATGATTTCCCTTGGATATCTCCTCTTTAACTGGTTTTTAAAGTACATACAATTTTTTTACTACCAGAATTAGACTCCAATTGCTTGAACTGTTATCTACCTATTGAAAAATGGTAGCATATTATCTTCTTATTTTTTATTGACCAATGGTTGTTTACGATTCACTACTACACATAGAATCTGTTTGGTCAAAATAGAACACTTGATTTCATCAAAACAATTTTATCATTGTTGTAGTTAAGATTCATCACATAGGTGTCAAAGAAATATACAATTGTCTAAAAATAATTTTTAGGTTATTTGTTTTGAACTGCGGAAATAATTTAAGATCTGCGATATTTTAAGAGCGAACACCGCGGTCAAACGCATAAAAAATAGGAAAATTTTTCAAACTATTAATAAAAAACTCAACCGTTAACTTAAAAACGTATGTAAATAGATATTTAATTCAATCTTAATGATTGTAACCTTTTTTGTATTCTATTAATTTTTTTAACGAAGTAGAGAATGTCTTAACTCCTAGAGAAGACATGGTGTTTCTAATATTCAAGAAATTTCTACGGCGCACTAATTTCTTGTTGATTCGCTTCATCAAGCTAATTTACTAATTTAATTCTAACAAATTTAATATTAATGTATTACTCACCTTTATTTATTTTATTTTTCATCAGGTTTTCTTGATAATGTGCAAATAAGTAATAATCATATTTTAGGTATAAATATTTACTTATCATATGAAGTTTATTTTTGTAAATGTTCATTTAAATCAATTACAAATTTCTTTAATATTAGGATAAATCTAGATAAGTAATATCAATCAGTGGTCAATAATGATTCCATTTATAAAATTAATATAGCTACACAGCTGGTAATAACGCAAACAATTAGATGAACCGTTAATGTTTATAACAGGATGAAATAATCAGTTGTCCAAGGTTAGTTCGGTTACCATTGTATTTATTATATTCATATGTCATAATAGTCTTTATTTATTTGATGTATAAAAGGGAATTACAAATAAACTTGATAATCTATTTTTGTACAATTATCAACTAATGTTTCTATTTTGATCCACTGTTTTAGGGTCAATTATTTTCATATCTCATTAAAAAAGAAGACTACCAAACAAAAATACATGGCGTAAATAAGTGTGTGATGCATGATGTAAAAAAAGGAGAAAAAGTTGTGAGCACGCATGTAGTGAGTGTTCGTCCACGTTACCCCTTCTACAGACAATGTTTTTCTCTCTATACCAACAAAGCGCGCAGTATAAAGAGGGAAAAGACTGAATCCTTCCAGTTAGTCTCTCGTAAACAGCTCTCAAGTATACTGCGAATATTTATTAGTGCAAAATCTAATTAAGTTTTTTAATACCTAGTGAAAAAGTTTATTCTTGAAGCGTTATTAATAAATAATTATTGAATAATTGATAATATTGTAATTGTGAACCTGTTTGGATCGGTAAGACCTACGGGTCAAGCCAAATTATTGATATAATCAACATTATTTTTTACAATTTGCCCTACATTGTTGATATATTTATTTAATCGTTTTCAATTACACTTACAAAATGCCGATTGAAATAGAACCAATTACTCAAACTCATGTGAAACATGTTCAATGCAATGGGTAATTAATTATTTTACTTAGTTTTATTATTTAACATCAAACGAAAGTAGATTAAATAGAACTGCTTACTTAAGTATTTTTTTAAAAATAAATAAATCAATTTTTAAAAATAAAATAGAAACACCAATACTTGATAGTGTATTAATACATTCGATATAATCCTACTTTAGTAGAGATTATTTATTCATACTATTATTAAAAATAGAATTAAGTATTTTATTGAAAACAAATACGATTTCTTACAAAACAAATATTTTCTCTAATCGTTTTAAAAAATTTTTATATCACTAGTTAAATATTATTCGAAGACTATATTCATTATCATATTGATTCTGGTATTAAAAATAATATTTGCAATCTTCTCTGTTTTTAAATCAATTTTCGAAATTTTTTTGCTTGTTTAATCAATCGTGATAATAAAATTAATCATAAATCAATTAACAAATAAATTAATTTTTCGTTTTTTCAGAGATCAACCTAAAAAAATGAATAAACTCTGTCGCCAATTGTCAATTGAAAGCCCCAGTGTGACTGGTCGAGAATGTGTCTTCAGTTTTGATGTCCCTGTACCAGATGTACCACCACAGGGTGCTAGAATCCGTGTAATTTGTGCTGGAGCATGTTATCATCCCAAACGTTCATCAAGCCTTATAAGTTTGGCATCAGTTTCTAGTGCAAGTAGTCTTGCAACGGAAACTTCTGTTGAAGGTGATTTTCCAACATCTCTACCTCACTATGGTGTTCGTGATGCAGCTCTCTTCCCTGGCTATGAAGTTGCTGGTATTGTCGAATCCCTTGGGTCTGGTGTGAGCGAAGACTGTCAATTCAGTGTTGGAGATCGTGTCATTTTATATCCATTTGAAGGAATTCCCAACGGATATGTCGAATATCTTGTAGTAGATGATCTCAAGTATCTCATCAAAGTTCCAGACAATATCTCTCTCAGCGTTGCTGCTATGTTACCTGCTGGAGCTCTTCTTGCTATGAATACAGTCTTCGCTGCTCATGAACATGTTCAGGTAACTAACTTATAAATGAAAATTATAATTATTTAAATTATTATCAAACGAAATAAAAGCTAATCGCAAAATTTTTTCTAGCAATTGGTAAAAGAAAGAGGGAATGATGGAGTTTGCAAAATTCTTATTGTTGGCACTGGAGGCTTAGCTTTGTGGACTCTTCGAATAGCTGCTTATTATTTCAGTGACATGCAGGACAAAGTCACAATTGCAGTAGCTTCATTGAAAGATGATGGTCTTCTCATGGCTCAAGAGTTTCAACGGTAAGTTCATTCTAGAAAAGAAACTTTTTTCTCTAAATCTAATTTTTTTCAAATTTCATGAGCTCTTTAATCCTCAAATTGACACTAAATTGGTCATTTATTTGATTTTTAAGGCTTATCTAATTTTAAGACTTGAAAATAAAACGGTTTAATATTCATGATATCATTTTTAACGAATATTTTTTAATTATTGAAGAGGTTGTTGATCAGTTATCATAAACCTAGAAATTTTATCTATTAAGTTTTTTATCACTTGCAAAAGATAATGTTCATATGTTTACGTCTAAATGTTAATTATTATATTATTGCTCATCAATGACATGTTAAAGACTATTTTTTTATATTTATTAAGAGTCAATTCACATTATCTCTTGTTTATCAGTAAAGAAGTTATTATCAAATTCTAATAAATTTTGATTACTTTATTACTTAAAGATAGCTGACGTAATTAAATTGATGATAACTGACGCGAGAACGAGCCCATAATTAAAAAGACCTTAAATAATCAAAAATAGAATTTAAAGTGAGTTCATTTATTCTATTGACTTATTGAATGAATTGTTATTACAGAGTTAATGTGGTAGAATGGAATGAAGGCCTATATGAGAAACAGTTGATTGAACGTACAATGGATGCTTGTCAGGGACAAGTCGATGTGGTTATTGATTTTGGAACAACTTCAAGAAGTCTTCATAGAAGTATGCAGTGTCTCAGTAAGGGTGGAGTTGTCTTTGTTATTAAAGAAGTAGCAGATCGTCTTTTACCTAAATTTAGCAAACGTGCTGAAGAACGTCAGCAAAGTATCAAACCAGTAGAACTAGGTACACTAGAACAATTACAAGAGATCGTACAGCTAGTGGCTTCGGGAAAAATTGAGCCACCACCTCACACAGTTTTTCCTGCTGAAGAAGCTACAGATGTTGTTCACAAACTCTGTCATTCAGAAATTCATGGTAGAGCTATCCTTCGCTTTTACCCAGCTGATTAGAACTCATAGTATTCAGAGGAATAAAGCTGAGTGAGAGTAAGAGTTTTTGAAGAAATTTCTTGTCATATTTATGGTCAAATTGATAAATAGAACAGATGATAATATAAAAGGAAGATTTAAATGGGAAAGATTTTGCTAAAAGAAGATTATGATTAACAATAGAAGTAAAGACGATAAAAGAGTCTATTGTGAGTTGTTGCATTTTTGAGATATGGTAATATGAGATGCAAGGTTACAGGCACGATTATTATTATTGATATATTTACTTGGATAATATTTGGTAATGGTTACCGCAAATTTATACAATACGGTAAACAATAATGTAACGTGTAGTTTAATATAACATTTCCAGAATTCATACTTGAAATGTTCGATATAATCATACGTATCTAAATTTGATGGAAAATTTATATAAATTATCTTTTTTTTAAAAATTCAATCAAGTGATCAAAACAGTGAGAACATATAATAGGTTTTGAATATTATTTTTTTAAATTAAATTTTTATTATATTTATTAAAAGTTTATTTTTCAAAGTTACATATGTTTACAATTCAAGTCAAAATATTACGTTGATGAAAGTAAAATTTTGAAAGAGTTAATCGTGTCTCGAAAATTATATTATTATTATTAATAATGAGTTCATTAGTCTATAATCAGTATTTTTTCAAGTTTTTAATGCTACTTAGAAAAACATAATATGAATTTAAAAATCGAAGTGAATAACTAATGTCATATATCAGATACTGTAATACAAATATTGTATCGATAATTCTTGTACCTTTAAAAGACTGTTTGTTTATAAATTAATTAGTACTATAGTTTTTCCATTCAAGCTGTTATACATGTTATAATTAATACATTTTGTCATTCGTATCATCACTGTGTAATGGCTACAGCCAAAACATATATTGTATTATATAAAATACTACGTTTTCTATTAGAAAAAATTTTGATTTTTTTTTATTAAATCAACCCAGCCTAAGACATACATTTCTAACTGATAATAAGGGAAATAATTATCAAATTGTTTCTATTAAAAATATGTTATCCATCTATACCGTTCTATGTACTAGAACTAACTTGTACTCTCTTAAGTATACCATTTGTCCTATAAATAGTGTTGTTTAAAAACGAAATTTTATTTACTCAGAAATATTAACACGAGAAACTTTCAATTATTAAAAAAATTTTTTTAAACAAAATCAGAAAAGGTAGTAAATTAGTTAATTACTGTTTAAACTAATAAGTACATATTTGAATACACGACTTGGAAAAGTTTATTATAAAAATGATTTAATTGCAGATGTCAACCATAATGATCCAAGCAACAGATGGTCGACCACATGAGATTGAAATAGAATCTGTTGTATACTCTGAAACTATTAAAGACATGCTGGATGTTTTAAAATCACCTGAACCTGATGAAGTCATTTCTATACCAGGTGTACCCGATAAAGTTCTCATTCAGATTATTGAGTGGTTAAACTATTGTCATTACAATTCATTACCATCTAAAACCCCTGAGATCGAAAGAGATTTGGAGCAGTGGAAGAATCGATTTCTTCAAGTAATTTGTTTTCATTGATTGTTACTTTTCTTTTCTTTCTTATCAATAATTGAAAATTTTTATTTATTTTTAAGCAAAATGCAAATACATTGATAGAACTCTTAAAAGCAGCTAATTATCTCAACATAAAAACTCTCTTAGATGCTACATCAAGCCAATTAGCAAATATAATTTCAGGAAAAACACCAGAAGCTATTAGAGCAGAATTTGGAATTGCAGATGATTTAACTAGAGAACAAAAAAAAGAAATTCGTCGAGAGAATGATTTATGTGGAGTATCAAGATCGTAATTAGATATTTTACTAATTTTAATAAATTTTGTAAATTTATTTGTTACAGTGACATTATTAGAAAAATTACGAATTTTTCTTGAATATACTACATTTTTGTAACAAATATTTTAAAAATTGAATTGTTAACAAAAATACCGATAAAGAAAAATTAGTGATTACCGCCAAAAAGTACATCATTCATTTATCATGAGTCGGTAAATTCTCATGAGCTATTGTCGGTACAGAGTATAGATGTTTGTGAGTGTGTTCTTGTTGTGAATAAAAATAAATTAGTAATAAATAAAATTTGATGAAACTTAAAAAGTAAAAAAAATAATGAAGTTATTAACCTCAACCCATTGTTTTGTTATGAAATAATTATTGTAGCTGAAGCCAACGGCATGATTTTATTGTCACGGTTTTTTTTTCGTGCAGGTTATTCTGCAAGTCGGTCATATTTTGTAATGGTTTTTAGTTGCTTGCATTCACTGTCAGATGGATTTTTATTATAGTTGAAGTAACCATATAATAAATGATAGCGTACCTTTTTGTTAAATTTTGGGTTGATATTCCTAGTTTGTATTGCTTGTACACATAAACTGTTTATATTCTATGAAAGAAAAGTGTTGATGATTTAATTTCTACTCACTCGTGTAAATTGTGACGTTAATCAGCAATGGCAGGGATTAAAGGTTAATCTAGTGCACTTATCATTTTAAATACATAATCTATTGATAAAAAATTTGCGTATCCATTTTTATATTATCGATAAGTTTGTAAAATGTTAAAATTCAAGAGAAAAAAAAAACCTATTTAGTTTACAAAAAAACATAACCTCTAAATTAATGTTAAAATATAAGTCTTATCATTATTTTAATAACATCACATGACTGGAATTATTATCTTTTCTCTTAATTAAATTAGTAGTTAATCCCTTAATATTCGTTGTGGATCATTAAAGCCATCTGTTTTGACAAGTAATTTAGTTTTAATAAAACATGAGATGTATGACATATTTTATTATAGTTTATTACAATGTTTTTATACTCTTTTTTTCTTACATTCTACATTCAGTATAAAAAAAACTAACACAGAATTAAATTAGATTACTTTAATTAATACCATACTAATGACGAATTTTTTCTTGTGTTTCATGTTATCCAATATGTAATGTGATCACATCAACTTTTGTCAACAGCGTAAGTTATTTATATTTTTATCAAAATATTCTTCATTTTATAATTTTTTTAATTATATTTATGATTCAACTTTATTGAAATTTTCAGACTCGTTACATTGGCATTTGCCGGCTCCATTGGAATGACATTTGTCATTCTGGCTTGTGCGTTACCATCATACCAGTAAGTACAATGACATTTCTACAAAACATTCGATAAATCAATTATAATATAAAATTACTGAAATTGAATTTTTTAATGTATTCTAGAGTATGGTGGCCTATTTTTATGGTATTATTCTACATATTAGCACCGATTCCAACGTTAATTGCTCGTCGATATACGGAAGATTCTGTTAATAGCAGTAATTCATGTTTAGAGCTTGCAATTTTCATTACTATGGGCATCGTTGTATCTTCTTTTGCATTACCAATTGTCTTAGCACGTTCACCAGCTGGTAAAGGAACGGTCAGTAATTATTTTTCATTGATATATTTAATAACTTTTATTAATTAGAGTATTTTTAAATTGAAACATTCAAATTTAATTACAGATTGAATGGGGAGCGTGCTACCTAACATTGGCAGGCAATTTTGTCGTTTATTTAACATTAGTTGGTTTCTTTGTGACGTTCGATCAAGATGATCCTGATTACAATATGTGGTGAGAAGTTTAGAATAATGTACTTATATTTTGTGGACAAAATAGTATACTCGTGAATGAAAGCTGAACGAAACAATGAGAACAAAAAATTCAGTGAGCAATGAATGTAATCAGTGCCACTGTTTTTTTACGAAATTCATTTTTTTACAAGTAAATGAATGTAACAATAAAATTAGCGACTCAACTGACTGATGGCTACGCTTCGATTTTTAACTAAAAACTTACTGTATCTTATTATTATTATAATTATTATTATCATTATATATACATATATAAATATAAATAATTATAACATCAATACACTTGTAATAGTAATATCAATTTATGTATTTTTATTACAATCATCATTGATAGTATTATCAATTATCATTAGATAACACGAATTTCATAGACCAATAGAACAATGTTATTACCGTATATTAAAATTATTAATATAATTCAATTAATCAAACATTCACTTATGTAGCTTTTATTTTTCGTGCATTGAATTCATAACTACATGCTTTTATAATTATATAAAAACGCAACAATTGAAAAATATGCTTAGAGTAATTTTTACATATGATTTTTATTGATCATAAACTAATCTATACAATTGATTTTCTTCACTACTGTGATCGTAAGATAAAATAAACACATAAACAACATATAGATTTTACATCTTTTTCTTTATTTATTTGAACATTCATAAGTTCAGATTTATAAAAAATCATTAAATGTTAATCATTGATGAGTGGAAAGGATTTTCCTATCATGTTCACCATCATAATATAGATCTAAATTCGCAATCTCTATAATATCGACTGAGAGATTAGAGTGATGAAAAGTACGAAAATACATGCATATGGAAAACACAATGTCGGTGGCACATCATCATGTATATGTACATATGTTTGCCGTACTACTGTCAAAGACACGTTGAAAGGTACCGTCATTAATGATTAAAAATTTTCAATAACTGATAACACGGTTGGAAAATCGATAGAGATAAGAATTTTATAATCATAAAACGTTTATAAGTTCTCAACTAAATGAAAGGAAAAGTTTGACATTTAAGAACTCTGAATCATCTTCGAACAATTACAATAATCGAATGATGGAAGATTTAATTATTGCACCGGATCAACATATAGAGGGTAAAGTAATTTTTATTTTTCGTTGCTAATAGAGAGTAATTTTTATTATAAATAAATTATTTGATTTTGATTTTATTGTTAAATTAATTTTAAGTTGCAGTTCATTTAGTGTTGAAAATTTCTTTGTTCGATCATAAATAGCTCAATAATCAATTACTCGTCAATTCGTGCTTACTTATATCAAAAATATTTTTTTACAAGTATAAAAGTATCTTAAGTAACATTCAACAAGTATTTTAATTTTTTATAAGTATTAAATAATTTGAGAGATTATATGTGAGAGTAAATAATTTAATCTTAATATTTTGAAGTATTCATAAACTTACAAAATTTGATTGATTTTTTGTAGTTCAACCTGAAGCTACGACTAGCAGACAAAATGATGAGGCGATTGATCCTTCATCACTTCTGCTACATCAAGCAGCCAAGAAACGTTTTTATACACAGCATACTCAACATTTACCTTCAAGAAGTCTTTTATTATTTTTGAACAATGGAAAAACTTCAAAAGCCCAATTAGTTAAAACTTATAAATCATTACCAAGAACGAAAAAAAACAATAGTCAAGTTCACAGTGAAGATCATGTTGATTCTATTGTGAGTCATATAAAATTACAAGAAGATTTGATGCAAGATGATCCTATGTCTGAAATGCGACGTATAGAAGCATTAAAAGGTATTCCTGAATGTTTAACAGTGAAAAGATCCGTCAAGGATAAATTAAATAATTCTATAAATCAAGATTCAAAGAAAAAAGTTCTGAGTCAATGGAAAAGATTTCGATATACGACAAGTATATTTTTTATAAAAGTGAGTTCTTATGATTATTTTTAGTAGTAATATTTAATAATTTGATTATTAATTTTTAGATGTTTATTACTCTGAAAGACTTTTTGTCGTCTATTGAATTATGGTATAGTGCAATTAAATCAATTGAAGGGAATTTTGGAAGTGGAGTAGCAACGTATTTTAAATTTTTGAGATGGTTATTTCTTTTAAACTGTATGAACTGCCTTTTAAGGTAATAAGTTATCTTTATTATTATACTTTTAGTTATAATTTTATGTTAGAAACTACAAACATTTATTTATTTTTTCAGTATTCTTTTTATTATTCTCCCTCAATCATTAGTCAAAGCTTATTCTTATGACACTGAATTTAACTTCGGCGATATATTTATAGGAAAAGTATGATTATTTTAATTTACTGAGAATCAAAAGCTCAAAATCATTTCTTGAATTACTTTAGAATTAAATAATATCATTAATGCAATCATTATATTTCAGGGTTTTTTAGAGAATACAATTTTATATTACGGATTTTATTCCAATGTTAGTGCAGAGTACATAGTTGGATATAAGTACGACATACCATCAGCATATTTTCTAACTATGACATGTTGTTATTTATTGTCATTTATTCTTCTTTCGATAAAGTAAGTTGTTTTACTGAACTAGTCAAAGAGTTGAAATTTATCAAGGAATTTTTGAATTACAGGGTTGCACGGTCATATAAAAAATGTTATATAGAAACGTCCGGTGGAATTCGTAATACATATGCTACCAAAATATTTTGTAGTTGGGATCATAATATTTCTTCCAGTAAAGCTGCTAGTTTACGCTCAGCATCTATATATAGAGAATTAAAAGAACTTCTTGCTGAAACAAAATCATCATCAAATTCACTATTTACTTTAAAAAAATGTTCCAAACTCTTTATTGATTTTTTATCAGTTTGTTTGGTGATTTTGGCCATTACTGCCACTGGAATGTTATTATGGAATTTATTAGAATTACATAAACCATCTCGAGAAGCGGATCCTTCTTCATATTTAACTATACCTCTGATTGTGACAATAATTATGACTGTTTTTCCATTATTTCTATCACGATTAGTAAGTATGTAACATTAATCCTAGTTTTATTCCAACATAATTATTAAAATAGAATTGTTTTACAGGCAAAGTATGAAAATTATCGTTCTCAACGGAATGCTCTTTACGTGACAATGATTAGAATATATTCAATGGCTGTGATTGTGATAGCAACTTTATTAATATACTGGTTATCATACAGTACTTTTGACTGTTGGCAAACAGAATTAGCTCAAGAAATTTATCGTCTTATCATTTTTGACTTTCTTATATTTACAATTGGAAGTTTCCTTGTTGAAGCAGTTCACTATTACATTCATTCATCAGTTCAAAAGAACATCAGTGCTCCAAGTTTTGACATTGCTTTAAATACTTTGAATCTTATTTATAATCAAATTTTATTTTGGGTAGTGTTTTATTTTAGTCCACCACTATCTCTGATAATAGTTGTTAAATTATTTTTAACATTTCATATTAAAAAATATGGATTAATGAGATATTGTGAACCACCATCAATACCTTGGAGAGCAGCTCAAACACAGACATTATTTTTGGCTTTATCTTTTCTTGGTATGACTGGGACATTAACAGTATTAGGATATATTTTTACAAGTGTACAGAGTAACGAATGTGGTCCGTTTAAAAATTATACTTATACTTGGGAAGCAATTGTAGAATATGTATTTAATATTAAACGAGATAGTGAACTCTGGAAAATTATTACAAAGATAGCCAGGCCAGGAGTAGGAGCTGCAATAATAGTTGCACTGAGGTAGTTTCTTATTTCATTGAGATATATTTATAAATATAAAACGATTCTAAATTACTTTGTTTCTATCATTTCAGTATGATTGTATATTATCTACGTGCCAAAGCTGAAGCCAGTAAAAAAATGGTTCGCATTCTACGTGAGATGTTGGTTCTCCAAACTCGTGATAAAGATTTTTTGATGCATGAATTTTCTAAAGTAGCAGATGAAAGTAAGATTTTTTGTTATGTATAAAATTACTGTTATTGTTAACAATAAATTAATAATATATTTCTGTTTTAGATTGGTTACAACGACGAACTGCTTTTAATGAAAGTCGTATTTCTGGCTATGATATAGAACTATCATAAGTTCGAATTATTTACGATTGTTACCATGGAATCGGCTATAAACATTCTTGTTTATTTGGCTACAATGTATGTGTCATAACCATAAATTAAAGACACAAAGTACATAATCATCCATCTTATTGTATAGATTTTTAATATTGTTAGAATGAAGTGATAAGAGATTTTTAATTTTTTATTAATTTAACTATTATAAATAATGTTAAAAAAAGAAAAACAAGGAAAAACATTAAAACTGTCATCATCAACATGTTCGAGACCACGTCGAATACCGAACATTGCTGTAGCAAATATTAATGATGATTCAAAACCATCTTCTCAAGTTACAGAAGCATTAAAATATATTGAAAATCCTCCTATTTTACAAGATCAATCATGGACAAAAGCAGTGCCTTTCAAAGACTGTTTTAGGTATGTTAAACCATCAGAAAGTATTGCAAGCTCTTATACTCCAAGTGCATCGAAATTCAGTATTAATAAATTATCAAGAAAACGCAAAAAAGAAATTAAATCGATTACTTTTAACTTTTATGATGAGGATGGAGAGCTCGATTATCCACCACGAAAATATGTACAAGCTTTTGAACAGGAAATGAAAGAAAAAAATATTGAAAAAATGAAATTGCTCGAATCTACGCCTCAGAATATTATTAATCTAACAGATTTAGCCGATGGCACTTGGCTTCGAAGAAAAGAAGAAAAACGTTTGTTAAAAATTCGAAAGGAACGAAGAAGAATAAAGCAACAATTGCAAAATGAAGCTATTCAAAGAATTCTCGAACAACAAGTATGTTTACAGCTATTGTGTATTATTCTTTGATATTTTTTTGCAATGTACCTTGGATAAAAATTTTAAAGAATTGAATTGAAAATAAACTTTTATCTCATTTTTTGTAATGTGAACAACATGCTTGTAGGAATTAATAAAAAGAGAAGCAGACATGCCTCAATCAATTGAATCTCAAAGAACTGAATTATTGAATGCAATTGAAAAAGAACAAAAGGATATTTATAGTCAATCAGACACTTCAATTTCTCGAATCAATTATTTTATAAAAGAGACAATTGATGATTACCATATTGAGCCATATGATTTAAAAAATATTGATGAAGCTCAAAAAAGACTTTGGGATAAGTTAAAAAAAATTAAAAAGTAAATATTAATAGAACAATCGATAAAATAAAATAAAGATAATTATTTGATTATATGTTCAATTTTTTTTAGCTTCCATCATGTTATGAAAGAATTAGAAGTTGAAATTATTGATGACTATAAACAAAGTGTTCGTTTTGCAATTATTGATTACATTTTACTTGATCCTTTTGAAAGGGAAAGATTGGGAATTGATGTGATTCCAATTCAATATCCTGTGACACATATTCGAGCACCTGTTCCGTGGCATCAAACTGTTATTAGCTCAACTCATTACAGTGAACATAATCTATTTATTGGAAATGAAATAATGACTGGAATAAGAGAGATATGGTTTAATAAGTAATTAACAATTAAATTTAATGTATCGTAAAGCTTTAGCTTGCAATAATCTGATGAAATAATATGTCTAGTGATAAATCAATTCTTAAGAGAATGTATTTATCAACAAATTGTATTTATTTTACTAATTAATGTCAACTATATTTCTTATTATTTTATTAATCTTTTTCATATATAAAATTTGAATAAAAATTTATTAAAGATATTCTTGAATAATTAGATTGAATAATTTTTTATTTAATATAATAACATAATTTCTTTTTCATTCAAGATATTACAAAATGAGAATAATAAAAATAACTGACTTCGGAACCCTTCCGATTCCTGCGTTAGAATTAGAATCATTAGTTGAAAATGTTTGCGATAAAGCAAGCCAAGTACTCTTGACGGAATGGCTTGCAGATGTAGCTGAATTATTTCTTAACAAAAAAAATGCTTGGTCTCATTTATTTGAAATAAAAATGAATGCTTCTACAGCTCTTATTGAAAAATATTTTCGGAGTGCTAATATTTTACTTTCTGAACAATTACGTCATACAGTAATTGAAACTTTGAATGAAATTAAAAATTTTTTTATTCAATATAAGGATGGAAATTTTTTCGAAGGAAAATACCAAGATTTATCATTTATTCGGTAAGTTAATATTTAATTTATTCAAAAATTCAGTAATTTGAAATAATATTAAGTCAATATTCTCTATATTTTTCTCTAGAACTCCTTTCATCAGAATTTCGGTTGAGCCAATATTAGGAAGTACAAAATTTTTATTAAAACCAAGCATTCAAGAAATGTACCAAGTTCTATCAAGATGCTTTGATAATATTTTAGCAGTAGGCTCCAAAGTGCCAAAAATTGAAAGTGTGCTTTTTCCAGAATTCAAAGGAAGTGGGTATATGTTTTCTGTATCACGGAAAGAAGTGTTGGTAAATAAATGATTAATTATAATTTTTTAACTAATTAAATCGAGAAATAATTTAAATATGTTTTGATCATATAGGTATCGAAGATTATTGACGAAGCATTAGAATGTATTCTAGCAAATGAAATTGGTCCAGATTTATATTTAAAGTCTTACGAAAATTTACTATACATTCTAGACGGTCAAGCACATGAAAATTTAAATAGTTATTTCAAAATTGATCCTATTTCATCTTTGAAAGATTTTGGAAAGAAAATAGACGGCTATAATAGTCTCAGCAAAGAAATTTGTTTATTTAGAAACAAAATACCATTAAATATGATAGAAATAGACTGCACGTTTATAAATGAAACTTTAAGGAATATTCTTCATGAATTTCGTACTAAAATATGCAATTTTCTTTTAAATGAATTGAGAATGAACAATCACCAGTTGTGTCGTATATTTGAAGAAATTGCGGAAAAAATAGCTGAAATGCCAGAGACAACTCAACAGGTAGTGAATTTACTTTCATTCTTGATTGACAGTCGTGATAATACAATGTTTAATTTACGAAATAAATTAGCACGTTGTGCAGAATTAATTATGTTTCTTTTGGATTATCAACCGCAAGATGATGAAGATATTCAATTGAATACGCGAACGCTTACATGGCCGAAAGAAATGGAAGTCATCATGGAATTAGCACTTGAAAGATTGAATATGAGAAAAGATTTCGTGGAAGGAGTTTTGCGACAACGAAGAGATAATTTTGAACAAAAAATCCAAACCATGCAGCAATCAATAGATGCGTTTAAGAAAAAAGACCCTCCAGTTTTGATGTTGGAAGATATGGAACAAGCAACGAAAGAGATAGAACAGTTATCAGGTATTATGGCTGAAATGAGAAAAGAGGCTGAACAAATAAATGAGGAAGAAGGTCTTCTAGATATTGAAATAAGTCCTTATTTAACTTTACCTTCTATGTCGACTACAGTTGAGACTTTTGATAAACTTTGGCATACTGTTTTAAATTTTCATAAAAATTATGAGAAATGGTATTACGGACCATTTTCCGGCTTGAATGCTGAGGAAGTACGTGATGAAACTGAAAATGCTTGGAAAACTTTATATAAATTGGGACGAGCGTTATCTGATACCCCAGGAGCTCGACGTATTGCTGAAATGATTCGAGGGAAAATTGAGAAATTCAAACAATTCATTCCTATTTTACAAATTATTTGTACTCCTGGATTGCAAGCTCGTCATTGGGAACTAATTAGTAATGTTGTTAATACTAAAATTATTCCCAATGAAAAAAGTAGTTTATCAGACATGATTGAATATGGATTGTTGCCTCATATTGATAAACTTGAAGAAATAACTTTAGCTGCTACAAAAGAACACTCACTGGAGAAAAATTTGAAAAAAATGCAAAATGAATGGAAAGATATTTATTTTAATCTGATACCTTATCGTGAAACAGGTGTGGAAATTTTATCATCAGTTGATGACATCCAAATGCTTCTTGATGATCATATTTTAAAAGCACAGACAATGAGAGGTTCACCATTTGTTAAGCCGTTCGAGCATGAAATGGAAAGTTGGGAAGCTAAATTAATATCAATGCAAGACATTATTGATCAATGGTTAGCTTGTCAGGCAACTTGGATGTATTTAGAACCAATATTTAGTAGTGAAGATATCATGAGACAGATGCCAACAGAGGCACAAAATTTCCGCAAAGTTGATAAAACTTGGAGAAGTATTATGGTTTCAGTGATGGAGGATAAAAAAGTCATCATTGCAACATCTGTTCCAGATATGCTGAAACAATTTAAACATTGTAATTCTCTGTTGGAAGAAATACAAAAGGGTCTCAATGACTATTTAGAAAAGAAACGATTAATATTCCCGAGATTTTTCTTTTTGTCCAATGATGAACTTCTAGAGATTTTGTCAGAGACAAAAGATCCTCAACGGGTACAGCCACACTTGAAAAAATGTTTCGAGGGAATAAATAAGCTCAGGTTTACCAAAGATGAAGAAATAGTAGGAATACTATCAGCAGAAGATGAATATGTACCTCTGAGTGGAAAAATTTATCCTGCAGATGCTAAAGGTATGGTTGAAAAATGGCTTTGTCAAGTAGAAGAAATGATGGTTACATCTTTGAGAGACATTATTCAAGATAGCATAATATCTTATTTCAAAACTATGAGAGAAGAATGGATATTAGCATGGCCAGGACAAATAGTTCTTTGCAGTAGTCAAGTTCATTGGACCAGTGAAGTGATCGAAAGCTTTGCAGATAATTCTATTAAAAATTATTTGAACAAATGTTCGACACAGATTGAAAAAACTGTAGAACTGGTTAGAGGAAAATTAGATGTTGGAAACCGAATTACCCTGAATGCTTTGATAGTAATAGACGTTCATGCAAGAGATGTGGTAAAATTATTGGTCGACAAACAAGTCAATGATCCAATTGATTTTAACTGGATATCTCAATTACGATATTACTGGTTAGATGGTGGAATAACAGTTTCCATGATAACAACTGATGTCATTTATGGATTTGAATATTTAGGTAATTCATCACGATTAGTCATAACCCCTTTAACTGATAGATGCTATAGAACACTGATGGGAGCATTGAAATTGAATCTTGGAGGAGCTCCAGAAGGTCCAGCAGGTACGGGGAAAACAGAGACGTCTAAAGATTTAGCAAAAGCTGTTGCTAAACAATGTGTGGTATTTAATTGTTCCGAAGGATTAAATTATAAAGCTATGGGAAAATTTTTCAAAGGATTAGCTCAATCAGGAGCGTGGGCGTGTTTTGATGAATTTAATAGGATCGAATTGGAAGTGCTTTCCGTAATTGCTCAACAAATATTGACTATACAAATGGCAATCAGTGTAAAAGCTGAACGATTTATATTTGAAGGAATGGAAATAAAATTAAATCCCACTTGTAATATTATTATTACTATGAATCCTGGATACGCAGGACGTCAAGAGCTCCCAGATAATTTAAAAGTACTTTTTCGAACTGTTGCCATGATGATTCCAGATTACGCATTAATTGGAGAAATTACACTTTACTCTTATGGATTTATTAATGCAATTAATTTAGCTCAAAAAATTGTTCATACTTATAAACTTTGTTCAGAACAATTAAGCTCTCAAAGTCATTATGATTATGGAATGCGTGCTGTTAAAACTGTTCTTATTGTTGCTGGTAATTTAAAACTAAAATATTCTGACCACAATGAATCCTCATTAGTCTTACGAGCTTTAATTGATGTAAATCTTCCAAAGTTTTTGGCACATGACGTTCCACTTTTTAAGGGAATATATAGTGATCTGTTCCCTGATGTTGATTTATCACAACCTGACAGAGATGAGTTAATAGAGTTGTTGAAAGTACATTTAGATAAACGAAATCTTCAAGCTACTCCTTGGTACGTGGAGAAGATAATTCAAATCTACGAAATGATTCTTGTTAGACATGGAGTGATGATCATTGGAGATACTTTGGGAGGAAAAACTCAAGCTTATCAATTATTAGCTGATGCTCTTGGTGATTTATCAGTGAAAAAAGGAGCATCAATCAAAGAATTTAAAGTCAACTATCGAGTTATCAATCCTAAAGCTATTACGATGAATTTACTTTATGGACGCTTTGATTTAGTATCTCATGAATGGAATGATGGGGTTTTAGCTAATACATTTCGCGAGTTCGCCCAGTCCTTAAGTTTAGAACGTAAGTGGATTATTTTTGATGGACCTGTTGATGCAGTTTGGATTGAAAATATGAATACAGTGTTAGATGATAATAAAAAATTATGTCTTATGTCTGGAGAGATAATTATGATGAACAGGAAAATGAATATGATTTTTGAAGCTGCTGATTTAGATCAGGCTTCTCCTGCTACTGTCAGTAGATGTGGAATGATTTATATGGAATCAACTCAGTTGGGTTGGCAGCCTTTTTTTGAATCTTATAAAAAACAATTAAAACAAAAAATCCTTGCTGAACAATTTGAACTCACTGTAGAACTCATAGAATGGCTAACAAATCCTATTTTTAAGTTTATCCGGTATAATTGTCAGACTTTTGTCAATGTTTCTGAACTTCACATGTTTGTGGTAAGTTTCTTTTTCTCCAAGTTAATTTTCATATAATCATAACTTGAACATAAACTTTTCCAGTCTTTCACGAGAATATTAGCTACTATGTTGGAAGAAGAAACTCAAGTTAGCACTGTTTGGCTCCAGTGTATTTTACTTTTCAGTATGGTGTGGGGATACACTTCAATACTTGTTGGTGCTAGTAGACACACTTTCAGTGTATATTTTGAAAACCTACTGGCTGGAAATGAAGAAGAATATCCAAAGCCAAAAGCATTTAAATTATCTAAGCAACAACTTTTTCCCGATAGAGGAACGATATATGATTGGATTTATGATAAAAGAAATAATGGAACTTGGATTTCTTGGGTTGACATCAATACACCAGTAATTATTTATTGAGTTAATTATTTATTAAATAAATAATATTCTTTATCGAATAATAAATTTGTTTTTTTGTAGACACCATTATCAGCAAATGCCAAAGCAAATGAATTAATAATTGAAACAAATCAAGTAGCTCTGCAGAAATTTTTCATGTCGAAATTACTCAATAAATCGATTCCAGTTTTATTCGTAGGTCCTACTGGAACTGGAAAATCATCAATTATTCTCAATTATATGTTGAATCTCCCTAAAGAAAAATTTATGCAGAATGTAATAAATTTTAGTGCTAATACTAGTGCATCTCAAGTTCAAGAAATCATTATGTCTAAATTAGATAGAAGAAGAAAAGGAGTCTATGGTCCAACAATGGGAAAAAAGTGTATATTATATGTAGACGATTTGAGTATACCGCTGAAAGAAATATACGGAGCACAACCACCTGTTGAACTACTTCGTCAGTGGATTGACCATGGATATTGGTTCGATCCAAAGGATACATCAATGCTTTATTTAGTGGATATGCTAATGGTTGCAGCCATGGCACCACCTGGAGGAAATTCTAATTCAATTACACCGAGATTACTACGTCACATGTATATTGTTGGCATAGATGAATTTGATGATACTACAATGAATAAAATATTTACTTCCATTCTTGATTGGCATTTTTCGAAAGGCTTTGAGGCAAATATTTCTAGATTATCAAAAATGATAGTAGCAGCAACATTAGATATTTTTCATGGGGCTATTGACAGCTTTTTGCCTATTCCTGCTAAGAGCCATTATACATTCAATCTAAGAGATTTCCATAAAGTTATTAGTGGAATCATGCTGGTACCTGCTGCAAGAATGAAAGACCCTAACAAACTAATTAAACTTTGGATTCATGAAGTTTATCGAGTCTTTCATGATCGTCTTGTGGATGAGGAAGACCGAGAAGTATTGTTTAAAATGGTACAATACACTGTCTATGATAAACTTAGACAACCTTTGAATAAAGTATTGGCAGACTTATTAAAAGAAAATGAAAAAGAAATAACGAAAAATCACGTTCGTGATTTAATGTTTGGAATGTACATGGAACCTGATGCTGATCCAAAAATTTATGACGAAATTACTGATATGAATGACTTACAAGAAAAAATGGATTATTATCTCACTGAATATAACATGATGTCGAAAACTCCACTGTCATTAGTGCTATTTAGATATGCTATTGAACATATATCGCGAATATCTAGAATTCTTATGCAAGATGATGGCAATGCTTTATTGATAGGAGTAGGTGGTTCGGGCAGAAGTTCATGCTGTAGGCTAGCAGCAAGTATTTGTGAATATTTATTCCACCAAGTAGCAGTAACGAAAAATTATGGTCCTGTTGAATGGAGAGATGATCTAAAAAAACTTTTATTAAAAGTTGGTTGTGATGGAAAGCCCACTGTATTTCTCTTTGCAGATAATCAAATTAAAGATGAATCATTTTTGGAAGATATTAATATAATATTAAATACAGGAGATATACCGAATTTATATGGAAACGAAGAGAAAGCAGAAATTCTTGATAAAATGACGAATGTAGCTCGAGAAGATGCCACAAAGAAGACTGAAACTACTCCTATGGCTCTTTATAATGTATTTATTGGAAGAATTAAAAAATGTTTACACACAGTTTTAACAATGTCACCCATTGGCGATACTTTTAGAAATAGAATTAGAATGTTTCCTTCTTTAATTAACTGTTGTACAATTGATTGGTATACACCTTGGCCTGCAGAAGCTCTTGAAAAAATGGCCGTTGTTTCATTAAAAAATCTTGATGTAGATCATGATATTTTTCATAAGTGTGTTAAAAGTTGCATAAAATTTCATCAAGATACGCAAGAAGCTAGCGAAGATTTAAAAAAGACACAGGGAAGGATAAATTATGTGACACCAACAAGTTTCATTGAATTAATAAAATCTTTGAATGAATTATATCAAGCGAAAGTTGATAAAATAACTGCACAGCAAAATCGATACATTGTAGGGTTGGAGAAACTTGACTATGCTGCTGGTCAAGTTTCAATAATGCAAAATGAACTACATGAATTACGACCAAAGTTGGTAGCTTCTTCACAGTTGAGCGATAAATTGATGATAAAAATAGAGCAAGATACAGTGAATGTAGAAGCAAAGAAGGAAATAGTTGCTGCTGATGAAGCTTTAGCTAATGAAGCAGCTGCAGCAGCTCAAGCAATTAAAGATGATTGTGAGAGTGATTTAGCTGAAGCTACACCAGCTTTAGAAGCTGCTCTATCTGCATTAAATACTTTAAAACCTGCAGATATCACTATTGTCAAGTCAATGAAAAATCCTCCAGCAGGTGTCAGATTGGTAATGGAAGCTGTTTGTGTCCTTAAGGGGATTAAACCGGAGCGTATTCAAGATGCGTCCGGTATGATGATAGATGATTACTGGCCATCATCAATAAAAATGCTTGGAGATATGAAATTTTTAGATAGTCTTAAGACATTTGATAAAGATAATATACCACCAGCGAACATTAAACGCATACGAGATAAGTTTATGAATGATAGAAGCTTCCAGCCAGAAGTTATTAAAAAAGTTTCGACTGCTTGCGAAGGATTGTGTAAATGGGTTCGAGCTATGGAAGTTTACGATCGTGTGATAAAAGTTGTAGCTCCTAAAAAAGCAATGTTAGCAGAAGCAGAGGCTGAACTTGCTGCTCAAATGGAAACTTTAAACGCTAAACGAGCACTTCTTCAAGAAGTTACAGATAAGTTACAAACTCTAAATGATGAATTTGCAGAATGTATGAGAGAAAAAAAGAAATTAGAAGATCAAATAGATCATTGTATGCAAAAATTAGATCGAGCCAAAAAACTACTTGGTGGCCTTGGTGGAGAAAAATCACGATGGAGTGAAACTGCTGCAAGTCTTAAAGCAAGTTTGACTAATGTCATTGGTGATGTATTATTGTCTGCAGGAATTTCAGCTTATTTAGGAGCATTTACGGTCGATTATCGTAATAATTTAGTTAGTGGATGGCATAATTATTGCCAATCAGTTCAAATCCCTTGTAGTGATCAGTTCAAGTTGGCTGACATTCTCGGAGAACCTGTAGAAATTAGAAATTGGATGATTCAAGGGCTACCAGCTGATAATTTTTCAATTGAAAATGGAATAATTGTTAAATATTCTAATCGATGGCCTCTTATGATCGATCCACAAGGACAAGCTAATAAATGGATTAAAAATATGGAAAAACAAAACAAATTGAATGTTATTAAACTTACTGACTTGAATTATATCAAAGTTTTAGAGAGCTCTATTGAACTAGGTCTTCCAGTATTATTGGAAAATATTCTTCAGGAACTGGATCCTATTTTAGAACCAATTTTAGTAAAAAATATTTATAAACAGTCGGGAATATTCTATATAAAATTTGGAGATAATGTTTTAGAATACAATTCAAATTTTAAACTTTACATCACAACGAGATTACCCAATCCTCATTACCTACCAGAAGTGGCAGTAAAAGTTAATCTTCTTAATTTTACAATTACTCGTCAAGGATTACAGGATCAATTATTAGGTATAGTAGTTGCCAAAGATTTGCCTGCACTTGAGGATAAAAAGAATCAATTGATTATTGAAGGAGCTAACAATAAAAAAATTCTTAAAGAAATCGAAGATAAAATTCTTCAAGTTCTCTCATCTTCAGAAGGTAATATTCTTGAAGATGAAACAGCTATTAAAATTTTATCGTCTTCAAAACTTTTATCTGAAGAAATCGAAGCTAAACAAAAAATTGCTGCAAAAACAACCATTGAAATTGACGAAGCAAGAGATGCGTACAAACCAGTATCACATCATGGTGCTATTCTATTTTTTTGTATCTCGAACTTGGCTAATATTGATCCTATGTATCAATATTCTTTACCCTGGTTTATTAATCTATATATTATGGCTATATCAAATAGCAAAAAATCAGAAGATTTAAATATTAGAATAGAAAGCCTTAACAATATTTTCACACGAAGTATCTACAGAAATGTCTGTCGTTCTTTATTTGAAAAGGATAAATTAATTTTTTCTTTGGTGTTAACAATAGAAATTCTACGAGCAAAGGATAAAATTAATCATGATCTATGGTCCTTTTTATTAACAGGTGGAATTACATTGGACAATCCTTATAAAAATCCTGATTCATCATGGTTAACTGATAAATCCTGGTCTGAGATTGTTCGTGCTTCACAGTTGATTGGTCTTGAAGAACTTAAAACATCCTTTGAACTCGATACAAAGAGTTGGAAAAATTTTTATGATCTGTCAAATCCACAAGAAAGTAATTTTCCATCACCGTTCAATAATATTTCAAATAGTGAATTACAAAAACTAGTAATATTAAGATGTATTCGACCAGATAAATTGGTATCAGCAGTTCAAATATTTATATCTGAAAATATAGGGCAAAATTTTATTGAACCTCCACCATTCGATCTTGAAGAATCTTACAATGATTCTAATAATATAACACCTTTGATATTTATTCTGTCTCCTGGATCAGATCCAATGGCAAGTTTAGTTAAATTTGCTGAGACTAAAGGAATTTACAAAGAAAGCCTCATAACAATATCACTTGGTCAAGGTCAAGGACCTCTAGCTGCTAATATGATTAACAAAGCCATTCAAAGTGGAGACTGGGTTGTTCTGCAGAATTGTCACTTAGCAGAATCATGGATGAAGGAACTCGACAGAATATGTGACCAAGTAATTGTATTGGAAAATACACATAAAAAATTTAGATTATGGCTCACAAGTTACCCATCAAAAGTTTTCCCTGTTTCTGTGCTACAAAATGGAGTTAAAATAATTAATGAGCCTCCTAAAGGATTAAAACAGAATTTACTGCGAAGTTACCTCAATTATCCTATTGCTGATTCTAAATTTTTCTTTGGATGCTTGCGCATAATTGAATGGAGATCGTTATTATTTTCTTTGTGCTTTTTTCATGCTATTGTACAAGAACGTAGACAATTTGGACCACTTGGATGGAATATTCCTTATGAGTTTAATGAATCCGATTTAAGGATTAGCATTTTACAACTACAGGTAAAATTTAAATGTACAATCATACTTTATTTAATATACTTTTAATTGATATTGTAAAACCATTTTCAGATGTTTCTAAATGATTATGAACAAGTACCTTTCGAAGCACTATTATACCTTACTGGTGAATGTAATTATGGTGGTAGAGTAACGGATGACAAAGATCGACGTTTATTAAATTCTCTTTTGAAGAATTATTTTAACATTGGTGTAATAAAAAATTACAGGTTGGTTCATTATTTAAAATAATATCAAACAGAATAGCATTTTAATCGATTGATAAAAATATTTTTATTTAGCTATTCATTCTCGCCAAGTGGTAATTACCATCTTCCAGAAGATACTAGCTATGATGGTTGCATAAAATATATTAAGAGCTTGCCATTAAATCAAGAACCTGAAGTTTATGGCTTACACGATAATGCAGACATTACAAAGGACAATAAAGAATCAATGGAGCTATTAGACGGTGTACTATTAACTCAAACGCAGCTAACAGTTACAAGAATAGATGAAAATACTGAAGCAATTGTATCAACTCTAGCTTCGGATATACTATCAAAGATTCCAGAACAATTTGATATTGAATCTGTTTCTGACAAATATCCTGTTCTTTACAAAAATAGCATGAACACTGTTCTTCAACAAGAACTTATTAAATTCAATCGGTTAATCAAAGTTATAAAAAGTAGTCTTATAAATATACAGAAAGCCATCAAAGGTCAAGTAGTTATTTCTCCATCGCTAGAAGAAATCTTTTTCAATATAAGCATCGGTAAAGTTCCGAATGCTTGGAGTAAAATATCATATCCTTCTCTAAAGCCACTTGGAAGTTATATTAACGATTTATTAGAGAGAATTCAATTTTTTCAAAATTGGATTGACTATAACTCTCCGGTTGTTTATTGGATCTCTGGATTTTTCTTTATTCAATCTTTTCTAACTGGAGTTTTACAAAACCATGCACGCCAACATAAAATACCAATTGATCATTTAGATTTTGAGTTTGAAATAACTGATATTTATAATATCGATAATGTGAGCAAAGTACCTTCAATGGGAGTTTTTGTAAAAGTAAGTATTACCTTTATACTTTATTTAGTTTTAAATTTTTCAAAATTATAGTGTTGTTTAATAAGTTAACATACGTCAAAATTCCATAACAATTGTTTCAATTAATTTAAATTTATCAAAGTATAAACCTCTTTATTGATAAGACAAAAAAAAATTAACTTGAATTTTAAACTTTAAAGAAAAATGAAAAAAAAAAAATTATTTAAATTGAATAATAATATCTTTTTCATTGAAAGAAACAACATTGTAACTACAAAATAAATATTATGTCAGTGTTTTTATTTTGAAAAGTATGTAATTATGTAAATGACAGGTTGCATTAGTTGATGCAATGATGAATGATGTTACTATTCATTGTGAGATTTTTTGTGAATGAAAAGTCATTTAGAACATTATTTCAAGAATTGTTGGCTGCATGAATTAATTTTTTTTAACAAATGTTATTTAACGATTGGAAAATTTTAAATAAGATTAATCTAATCTATGAATAATTCAAAAATGTTAAAGTAAATAATTTAATGAGGTTATACATTGAGTTTCCTTATCAAAATTTCAACAGAAACATTATGATAATTTTTAATTCATTTGATCATATTTTTACTCTAATACACTTAAAAAATATTTATGCATGTAATTTTAATTACATTTGACGAAAAATTTGATTGAATCATTGATAAATTATTTCTTAGGGACTTTTTCTAGAAGGTGCTCGATGGAACCAGGAAATTAAAGAATTGGATGAATCAAAGCCTAAAATTATGTATGATATTTTACCAGTTATTTGGATGAAACCGGGGATCAAAGCTGATTTTTCTACTCCATCAGCTTATGCATGTCCAGTTTATAAAACAAGTGACAGACGTGGTATTCTTGCTACTACTGGGCATTCTTCGAATTTTGTTATGTACATCATGATACCTACAAAAATAGAAGAATCACATTGGATCAATAGAGGAGTTGCATGTTTAACACAGCTTGATGATTAATTGAATTTTTTAAATGGCAATTTTGATATTTCAATAATAAAAATAAATACTTTACTAATAAATGAATTAAATAAATGATAATAAAATACATTATTTTTATCATTAATTTAAAATTAATATAGAGTGGTTGAAATGTTGTAATATTTTCAACCTCAAATACTGTTTAAATTTAGCGCCGTAAAGTTAGGTTATGTAAAATGAGAATGGCGCTAGGATAACATCCGGTCTCTTCGAGCAAACAAGGCAGGTCACACGGTACATAGTACCAAACACGAGGTATTAAAATCAAATAAAATGGGTTTTTGCGTATAAAGTAAAATTGAAACAACAACAAATCAGTTACTAGTGTATTTATAGTTTAAAAGAGGTCAAGAAAGAAAATAAATATAAGAAAATAAAATAAATTTAAAAGTGTGTACTGTATCGCGGTATTGGGAGGCTCGTGTCACGTGGTGGCCACCCACGTTTCGGATTGTGGATAAACAAGGAGAAAAGAGAATTAGTGAGTGACTGTCGGGTATGAAAAGAGAGAAAGAGATCAAGTGAAAGAGATATAGAACAAGAGAGGATAAGAAAGAGAAAGAAAGAGAGAAAGAGTGCGAGGTGAGCACATTGGCAAGAATAGTCGGCACAGAGAAACGGTGTGTATGGTAAGGTAACCGTGTACATATCTCTTTTGTGGGTTAACATCCGCCGTTGTGTGTTGGGAGAGCAGTTGATAGACGGGGTGAGCCGGCCATATTACGGAAGAAATAGATACACGGTGCTACGTGCGTGCGTGGAGCGTGCACGAAGCGCTTAGCAAGTACAAGAAACAGCAAGAGAAAAGGAAAAGTGGTCATACTGACGAGTGGCGATAATCTTAAAAGATTGGCCACGATGTCGTCAACATATTCGCGAACCCAAGAGAGTGACGCGTGGGCGCTTCTTGCCCTTAAGTCAGCACCGGCAAGTCCGAATAAAATGCAGTGGAACCCAGAGACTAAGGGTGCACCAATAGCAAGATTAGAGGGTCGTGAATTCGAATATATGGTACGCCAGAGACGAATTACAATAGGACGGAATAGTAGCAAGGGTGAGGTGGATGTTAACATGGGCCACTCAAGTTTTATCTCACGACGACACTTGGAAGTATTTTATGATCATCCATACTTCTTCATGACCTGCAATGGAAAGAATGGAGTTTTTGTTGATGGTGTTTTCCAGCGTAAAGGAGCACCTGCTTTTCAATTACCTAAAACGTAAGTAAACATTGGAAAATTTTATCCCAACTTAGTTTATACGTTTATTGCTCCATCTATACGTAACTCTGTTCTATTATTGTATTGAGTAAACAAATAGAGATGATTAATTCTTCAAGATTAGTGATCTCAAGTTATCCCAGTTTTAGCCACGTGATGTGCCCATCACTGAACAGGTTTCACTCTATTACAACTAGATCATATTTCGTAACCTTCAACTCCTAAATACACTATTGATTTATGTCTTTACATGAGAGAAGATACAGGTTACTATATTTCTAATAAATGAATATTTACTATCAACAGTAATGCTTGTAAATACTTCAGCTACTTTTAAGTGAAGTAAACAATCGACGTCCTTTCATCAATTTTCAATACATTACTGTCTCTTATCATAATAAACATTCAATAAGAAAGCCTTGAATTTAATTTATAATCTTTCAAAATACATTGCAATATATTTCTTCATTACGTTGCATGATTTGCTATCATTTGTGCATTTTATTTTTACTTGCATTGTTGAGATATTTATATAAATAATCATCATAAGACATTGTTATTAATTATTGTTATTTGTTGCAGATGTACATTTCGATTTCCCAGTACAAGTATAAGGCTTGTGTTTCAATCGTTAGTCGATGAACAAGAGCATAGCAATGTTCTATCAGCGACACCAAAGCAAAGAGCATTATTGCCACCACTACGAATTAATATTCCTGATACAGGATACAGTAGTCCTTTTCCATCACCAACAGGTACTATCAGTGCTGCTAATTCCTGCCCAGCAAGTCCTAGGGCAGGACAAAGTAGACGAAATATTTCAGCTGATCTACAAATGGTTGCTGTTTATGCAGCAGCAGCAGTAGCCAATGATCCTCAGAACTCTGTGAACGATCGACAAGAGCCTGGCCAAAGTTCGAGCCGACAATTGAGTCCGGAATCTGTAGCTGAATCCCGATATCGGAATAATACTGCTTCAGGTTCTAATGGAACGACTGCACCACATTATAGTCCACCCAAGGATGATTCGAAACCTCCATATTCATACGCTCAATTGATTGTCCAAGCGATTGCTTCAGCTCAAGACAAACAACTCACGCTTTCTGGCATTTATTCTTACATCACCAAGCATTACCCATACTACCGGACCGCAGACAAGGGCTGGCAGAATTCCATCAGACACAATTTATCATTAAATCGATATTTTATCAAAGTACCTAGAAGTCAGGAGGAACCCGGGAAAGGTTCATTCTGGAGGATAGATCCTCAGTCAGAGGCTAAACTAATTGAACAAGCATTCAGAAGACGGAGACAGCGTGGTGTGCCGTGCTTTCGTGCACCTTTTGGATTATCATCCAGGTTTTTATACAATAACTATCATTTTATTTCATTATTAGTTTGCTGTGAAATCTTTAACTTGATGAATTTTGATTATTTTCATTTTAACATATATAATTAAATCATCGTAACTTCCATGTACAAAAGTTAACCTATAATTGGAAAGCTTATATTTTAATTTCAACATGAAAATCTATTCTCATATAAGCAGTTCGTTATCATTTGTACAAAAGCATTTACAGTAAACTAATAAATTTTATAATGTTTATTTTAATGGTAAATCCATTTACTTAGTTCAGTAGTAATAAAAGTTCATAGTGTTAGATAGAATTTTAAGAAATTACTCTTTGATAAAAATCGAAAATGATATAATAAGAGTTATGTATATAGTATATTGAAATAATTATTAGTGGTTTTTATTAAAAAATTTTTATTTACAGAAGTGCACCAGCTTCTCCATCCCACGTGGGTATTAGTGGTATAATGACGCCTGAATGTTTAAGTAGAGAAGGTTCACCAGGACCAGAATCTTATCCCGATAGTTCAGTTCCATCACCAGCTGGTCAACTAACAAGTCAGTCTGCTCCAGGATCACCTGGACATCCTTATGTATCACCAGCCGCGCCTTCTCATAAAACTCGTCTTGTACAGCAGATTACAGTTGTTACTAATGGCGTAAATAGTGATACCCCAAGAGAAGGTGAATAATAATTTTATCACCTTTTATAGTAAATAATGAGGCCATTAATTTTTTATCTTGTAAAATTTCTATAGAAAAATATGTAGTGTCTGGAAATATAGTGGAAGAACAAATGTTATCGCCCGCGGGCCAATATAGTCCAGCTCCTGTTATTGTACAAACAAGTTATAATTACAGGTATATAACAGTGAGTTTATTTATTAAGCGTAATATTTTCATTTACTGATAAATATAATTTGTTTTTTTTAGTGGTACATTTGTCGGTCCTGACGCAGGCGTTGGGGTGAGTAAACGAGCTCATGAAGAACCCGACAGTTCACCCGGTTCTCCTGCTCCACTGTCGATTGTCGAGAGTCCTGAGCCTTCAGAACAACATCAACAACAGCAACAGCAAAAACGACAGCGTATAAATGATGCGGATGATCATTAAATGAATTATTTAGTATCTTATTCTTCTTATAATATAGGACATCGTTATGACATTATTTTCCTATTGTCAGATGAATCGTCTGCTCGTTAATTGTTCAAAAATACTATAGGCTATATTACAATTTAAAAAAAAACCATTGCACAGTTTAATTTTTTTTAAGACGTGTTATATTTTAGACTTGAATGTCTTTAAATGGCCGTGATAATGTAAAACTAGAGTTTATTATATTAGTTATTCAAACAAATTATCTTTTTTAATTAATTATATAGAGAGTACCTCGTATTTATGATTTAAGGATATAAAATCAAAGTTATAACTACTTTATAACAAAACAGCTTCGTTTTGTTCTTTTTTTTTGTTTTGGGTAGATGATCCGTCTGACTTTACGCCCTAAAGCCTTAACTAATTCTTAATCAATGCAAATTTGAGAAGCTTATTATTTTAATTCATTATAACCACAATCGTGTTTGCAGATATAAAATTGAAATATTGATCAACTTATATTAACTCGTATTATATTTTTTGATTAATGACATACAGTAAATTTCATATAACTAATGGCATTAGGGTTAACATCAAAATAAAAAATTTAATAATTCATATTGTTAAATTTATTATAACAAAATTATTTAAATTGTCATAAAAAGTAACAATTTACTAAACCAGTATGAAAAAAAAAAAAATTATTTCAACATAATGATCATATGATTATTTTGTTTTGTTTTGAATTATATTTTTTGTATTTTAAAAAAAAAAACTCATCGTACTTTAATTGTATTATTATTAAAGATCATATTTTTTTGACTTTGAAAGTATAAATTATTATTTTCGTACAATCACAACTTATATGATTAAATTAAACTATTGGTGATATTACAAATTGTTTATAAGCGTTATTGATGACATTTTTAATATTGTATAAATAGTCAAAAGAGAATGCTTTTTTTAACTATCACGTTAAAATAGCAGCTTATACATACATATATTGTTCACGAACAAATTTAATATCAAAATATAGAACCATAAAAAAAATTCGAATATACAAAAAAAAAAACTGAAAAAAATTAACAAAATGTCATATGAAAAAATTATTTAGTATACTATTTTAAACAAAGGATAAAAACGTAAAAAAAAAGTAGTTAACAAATTGTGGGTGACTCAAGCGATTGTTATGATAATGATATAATAATATTTGCCTCAATAGAAATGTATTTATTAATTTGCGGATTGTAGTGAAATTATATAGTTTCACCAGATACATTTGACAAAAGCTTTTACTTTTCATAAAATTCAATCATCCGTCAACTGAATGTCCATTATCTCCTGCTGTGTTTTACCCTTGACTACGATGTAAGATTGGGGACAAACTTAATATTTGTAAATACGCATATTTTTTGTATATATTATATATATTTAAAGCGTTATTAGACATAACGTTACATATATATAATAAATATACAATATTAAGTAGTAGATATCGAAATATGGGGTATTCTGAGTGCCTCAAATTTTTCATACTTAGCCCTCATTAATGAAATATTTTTATTTCAATACTTTCTTTTCCTCATATCGTTTTATTTTTTATGAAACCTCTTTGAATACGTTATTGTTGAATCTCTTTAAATGATGAATACCTCAAAAAACGAATATTTAAAAATTAAAAACCAATTGTCATGTATCATACAATCTTTCGCAGGCAAACAGTTGTTCATGGTGTTTTTGTAGAGAAAAAAAAAATTAAAAAAATGATATATAAACCAAGTGACATCTATTTTTATGACAATTAGTGTAATGATATTAATAATTAATAAAAAGGTGCACATAAGCAATTTTAAAATCAATAAATAATAATTAAGCAACGAGAAAAACATGTAAAATGACAATGTTATAATCGAATTTATTTTCTATATCCTGTATTGTCTAAAATTTATATACAACAATTACTCATTAGCTTGTTTACTCAATTATTCAATTTTGTTTTTGTAAAAGTACAATATTTTAGCAATTTATTATTAAATTAATGATGATCTATTTTTTTTAACAATCAAATATCAGAGTGTTGAGTAAAATTGCTCAGAAATCAAATAAATTATCGATAATAGCAAAAGTTATTAATATTAATAAGTATAATTTATAATTTGTCCAGTACATTGAGGTATAAATATTTAATAAGTATAATTGAAACAAAAAAAGACGTATAGGCCTGATATATGTCTATGTAGACTTCGAGACTGCGCACATACAATAAATATAAAATATTAAAATGTATGTAATTCGTATTAAAAAATATTAAAAAAAATAAAAAACATTTGTAGAGATAAAGAAGGTCGGCTAAAGCCGAGTAGTTATTGTGATTCTGTTCGCCTGCGAAATAAATCTGTAAACTATTGATATATAATAATTAAAACAAAAAAAAAATTGCAAAAAATGTAACACGTCGTAACAAATAATTACTGTAATAAGAAAATAAATTTTCTTGTGTAGTATTTGAAGAAATATATCACTGGTTAATAATATCAAGTCTATAATGTTTAGAATAAAATAATATAGACCGCTTGTCATATTTTTTAGTCAAACAAATGTATTTCGTTAAAAAGTAATGTGATCAATAGTAAAAAAAAACAATTCAAATAAACAAAAATAATCACAAGTGAAAATGTAATAGTATTTATAATTTTTATGTACGATTATTGTTTTTATATATATAAATATATATAAATATATATAATATATATTATATATATATATATATATGATATATATATATATATAATTTTTGAAAATGTCTGATCACCGCATTCACGGGAATCATGTATATGTTGATTATGCAATCAATATTAAATAAGTAGTTTTAAGAGAAAAAAATTGAAACATTTTATTCATGAAAAAATGGTCAAATTGATGATTATGATAAACGAAAAAGTTAATAATTACTTTTGAGCTTTCGGATAAATTTCTGAAGAAAAAAATATATTAATTATAAATTATATATATATCATGTTGAAATTTATTTAACCTAATTAAGCAACCATCTCTAAGATATTTTTTATTCAATGAAATTAGTATCTCTTGAGTTATTTCTCAACAGTCAATTTTATGTCATCTAGTACAATAGTTGAAGACCATTGTTAAAGCTTTGCTAGCAAAAAATTTGCTTGTTGACCTATTTATGTACAATAGATGAAATTCATAAATGTTTTAAGAAATATGTTAATAGATATGGTGTAGTTATTTATAGTGATATAATTTAAATAACATGAGTAAGTATTCCTTAATAGGCTTATAAGCTTAACTAAATTTCTGCTATGATTCTTGACATATCTCTGATATAACGAAAATTTCATGAAGACTGATGTCGCATCTTGAGTATCTCCAGATATTTAACTGTATCGCAACTTGACTGGAGCAATTACCGGTTAAGTAGAGATATGAATAAGAGAAATGAGGAAGAGAAGAAGAAGAAGAAGAAGAAGTACCCTACATATGAAGATGTAGAGTGTTCTGTGTCGTAGTCATAATACAGCGACAGGCGTGAAATATTAAAACACTCATCCCTCGTCGAGTTAACTGCCTCGAGTGAAATTGATTCTCCCCACGTCCGGTTGTTTTATCAGTGGCTGTCGCACGCCCGTCGACTGGAAAAGCATTTCGTTGTTCAAATTAAAGCCGCTTACGATTTACCATGCCCTGAATAATTCTCGATGGCGAGCAGTTGTGGTTAGATAGTACTTTATACACACTTTAAACATATCTTTACTCTATCTCATTCCACCACAAAACTATTCATGGGTCCAGCTGGTTATTCAATGCATACAACGTCCAACTAGAGGCTACTTTACTCCAGACCTTTAAATAAATTCTCTTGATCGACTTGGTAATGCCTCCATTAATTTTCCTAAATGGTAATTGAGGCTAATAAAAAATCATGAGACCTTTCTCTAGCCATTATTTATTGAAAATCGAACAATCATCTGATTATCTTCAACAATAAATTATTGTTCACCTTTATAACAAAAACAAATCAATGCACGTACGAAAATAATCGGGTTCTAAATCTCAAGCACGATCAAACATATTTCATTGAATTACCCACGCGACTAGGGCCATAAAAATGTCATTCGGTTCTCTCATGTATGTGATACTGTACCATATAAAATTCAACAATAATTCTGAACCATTTTGCATAATATTCTGTTGTTGTTAAAAGCCTTTGCAACGTTGTTATGAAACACTAACAAATTTTTATGGCCATTTAATATTGATTTTAATAAAGCGTAGTCTTTTAGAATATATTGTTATTAATAACTTTGCACTTGGTAGTTGAGAATTTTTATATCAAGAATATATTTTACTGAGGATTCATCATAAAGAATGAAATATTTTATTTCATATGCATTTTTTGTTTTTGTTTTATTAGTTTAGTTTTCAAACAGAGATAAATTTTATTTTTATCAATGATTTTTTTTTAATTTCTAACAACTAACAACGCTTTTGTAAACTTTATTATTCTTAGTTCGTATACATGTTATATTAAAGTTTATTACAGTGTAAAGAAATTATTTTTACGTTCAGTATTTCTATCACCTAAGCTGTAAAAATATTTTATAAATGAATCTTCTTGCTATAAAAGCATGAATTGAATGAATTTTTAAAAAATAAACGAATTAATGACTGGTGAATTTTTAATAAAATATTTATTATGATCTTTAATGAAAAACAAAATGATAAACATACATTTAAATTGAAAACTTGAAGACTTAAAACGGTAAAACTGTTGTCTATAAACATAAAAATTTTATTTTTATGAGCTACCAATGCTGTTTGTAAGTAGAAAGAGCCTATCAATGTTATTCGTAAGTAGAAAAAGCTGTGCGAACTAGTGGTAAAAGTACAAACGTGCAGCCGGATGCAGTACTAGAGAAGAAGAGAGAAGAAAAATGGAGAGGAAGTGGAGCGATCGGCGAGCAGGTTAGTGTGCAATAATGGCAAGAGAGTACGTGCACAGGTGGCGAGAAGTGAAACGAGTAAAGAAAAAAAATCAAAGAGGGTAGTATATACACACCAT